TCTTTGCATGTTGTATTTCACGTTCGTAATGGAGTGACATCCACATGATTTCATGCATACACTGAAGATCATATTCATGCAGGCACATGGGAGCAACATATTACTCCAACTCGGCCTATGTTCTGGTAGGGGGAATCAAAAAGCAAAAACAAGAGAGACCCGCAATGCTGTCTGTGGAGAGTTCATCTCTCACTCCTCTTTGCTTTCATTGTTTTTTTTGTTGGTGTTTGGACGACAACAACAAAAAAAAGGACAGGATAGTCGGTCCATGCTTTGCAACATCAACGACATCAACAAAAATAACAGCACTGACATCGACATCAACAAACAACGCAGAGCACTTTTCTGGCAAACAGCCGCCATTCACCGGGTGACAACAACAAAAGCAAAAGGAAACACAAGCCTAAACATCTGAGTACATTTTGCGTACCCTCTTTGTTATTTTTATCTCTTTGTAAAAGTAATTACGTTCAGGAGAAAGGTGTGAGGGGAGAAGAGGGATTCTAAGCAGGGTGATTTTTGTCCATCAATCTTACGGTTTACAGAATGGAAAGGACCCTCAAGGGAAAAATGACAAAGGTGCAAGGTATCGCAACATTAGTGCCTTGGAGTTGTCAAGGGCACCCTCGTCAAAAGAAAACTATGAAAACTGTTCCACCTCTCAACTTTCCTCTGTCCACTGACCCATGCATCCATCTGCAGAGTAGAATGTGACCCCAGCCCCTTCTCCACTCCCCTCCCTTTGTCCCTCTTTCTCCGACACTTCTTCCTCCACACAGGCGGTGTGTCTTGTCACTCCATCCTCTTTCTCAGTCCTAATTGGATGAGGATGACTGCATCCCAATTTCTTGTTGTTGGGTCAATGCTTAAAGAGGAGGAAAGAGGATCATCATTTTTTTAACTACTAGCGCCATTATGCACCTTTCATTCTAGCCTCAAATAAAGAGATGAAAAAAAACAGGATCGGGTCTCTGACCAAAGCGCCTTGTTTCTGCTGTCACACGTAAACCTTTTTTGCATTTTTTCCCTTTTGCCTTTCCTTCCTTGCTTGCTTGCAGAGAAGATACATAACGATGTCATTTCCGAAGAGAGAAGAACAAGAAAAGGCGCAATGTATGTGTGGTGTGCAGGTAACCACAACCGAGGAAGAGTTTAGTGACATATGCTGATTGCTTGCTTTGTTTTGCTGTCTGTTATTGTGTTTGGATTGTTTGGGAGTGGATAGGATGTTGCCATTGCCATAGCGCTCGCTCACTCACACGCACCCACCCCACTTGCCGTTTTCTTCTTGCCCTTCCTTCTTGAGTTTTTTTTTCTTTTTCTGTGTTTGTGCTACCTTGTTCTCCTCTCTATTGTTTCGTGGTTGGGAAGGAAAGGCAAATGTCTCCATCTATTTTGATTATCGGCTCGACCCACCAAAACGAATGTGTTTTCTCTTATGCTTTGAGTTTTTGGTTTTGTAGTTCAACTTCAGGCTATACACGGGCCGTTTTGTCCGCTTTGATACCAATGAGTCGTGTTCTTTTTTTTTTCCGGGAACTAATAAGCACCAATTGCAAAAAGCCCGCACCCTCCACATCTTCTCCCAAACAAACTGCATGCGTGAATGGAGAAAAAGGAAGATGAATTGCTTTCTCTCTTTTTTTTTCCTCAACCAGGATGTCGCGTAGCAAACACGTGCATCCGTCCCTGAATGGAACCGACGCGTCGAAAATCTGTGGGTTTTGTGGGAGAAGAAAGGAAAAAAAAAGGGAGGACAGAACAACTTTTCCGTATCGATCCAATACCACCCTTTTGCTTGTAACCGTTACATTTACTCTTTATCCAATTCATTCGTTATACAATGTTTTTCTGTTTGTGCATGGGTCACAGAACTTTGAATTTTTTTATTTTTCGTTGGAACTGGTCAGGGTGCATTCGGACTAGACCGATCCTTTTTGCCACTTTTGTTGGATAAAAAAGGAAGCAAAGATCTCCTTTTTTCCTATTCGCTTTCCAACTATGTAAACTGGTCAAAAAGATAATGTCGTGGTTCGAGAAGAGAGAATGACGCGAACATGAGAGTATAACAGGATAAAACTTGGGTGATAGAGGCATCCCAAGGAGTGCATGATAAGAAAAGTGCACCCGAGGGTTAGTTTTTAGGGTGAGAGGTGGAGAAAATATAAAGGCGGAGAAGAACTCACACAGCATCACAAAAGTAAGCCTCTTTTCTCTTCACTTTTGTGCTCGTGTTGTGGAGGAAAGACGGGAAAGAAAAAATTGTTTTTCGATGGAACTTAAGTTGTGCAGCGAAGAAGGTGGGCGTTGGGGATGGCGTTGATGTGGAGATTTTTTTAGCTTGATCGTTGGTCTGGTTGGTTCTCACATTTTTTTGATATTCTTCAGCAGCCGAAGATCCAGAATAGAAAATTCCTGCAAGAGTAACGAAGGACAGTAGAAACGATTAGGTCAGAAGCTTAGGATAGAAACTGATGGGGTAAGTGGTCATCCTGCGGCTGACTATTCTCACCCCTCGCCTAGCCGCCACAATTTTTTTTTCTCTCGCAATTGTGAGAAGAGGTGTTGATGGTGAGAAAAAAATACATCCCTCACGTGCTTGTTCTTGACCACACAATTTTTTTTCATTGGCAAAGGGAGGTGAGGCATTTGTCAGTAAAGGGGATGTGCTACAGTACTTTCACAACCGTAACGGCGTAAGTAACAAGGCGACTGTACCAATGAGCAAAACGTCGTTTTCTCAGTTTATTTTGAATGACTGGCTGTCTTTCTTTAATCTCATTCAAGGCTTAGCGACGTTCATTTCTTCGTTGCCTGTCTCTTGTTTATTTCATCCACTCAGAAGGCACCGATCCACTTTTTATCCATTGATACATTGAAAAGGTGCTTTGGAAAGAAAAGGGTCCATCGATAGTGATAAGCTATGTGAAGGCAAGAGAGAGAAAAAGGGGAACGCAATGAAAGATGGAGTCTGTCTATTCGTCGTCAACAGAAAAAAAATAGGTACTGAAGACTCTCAGTAACTCTCTGTCTAGCTTTGTCAAATAAAAATGCGAGGCAGAATGTACTCATCATCAAAATCTTCAACAGTTAATCTACAATCTTTCATACTTTTTCTTTTGCGCTGTCAACGCGTACAACTAGTTAGCCTTGATTCTTTTTCCCTGCACATTTTTTCTCTAACATACAGCATAGAGAAGTCATTTGGATGTAAAAAGGGACAACAGACCAAACCCTTCAGTGTACCATCCACCAGTCGCAGTCCGGTCCGGAACCTGGCTCTGCACAACAATTGTCATTGCTCTTCACAGCTTAAACGGAAGAAAATAAAAACTAGATACGAATGAAGGGGATTCTTCCTATCCTCTCCATCATTAACAACCTCCTCCTTCCTAACAAACTCTCCAACAACCGCTCGTCAGCGTCGCGTGGGTCCTTGGTCGCTCCAGGGCACCTTCCTTCATCATGTGTGGCTAGCGAAGCGCCACACTTTTTTTTTTTTTTTTTTTTTTTTTTTTTTTTAGCCTTTTTTTTTGTTTTTATTTTTTTTTTACTTTCGGCGGAGATGTTATGATTGGTTTCATTCAAATATAGTAGAAAAAAACGCGTTTTCATCTGAAACAACAGCAAAATTGGCCCGCTTAGCTCATTGGTAGAGCGTCTGCCTAGTAAGCAGAAGGTAGCAGGTTCGATCCCTGCAGTGGGCACTCATATAATGTCACCAAGCCATTGGTAGTTCACCTTTTTGTTTATCCTTGGTGAGTGCGATGCAATCTTTTTGGTGCGAATGTGGGTGGCAATGGTGATGGTGAGGCACACCTTTATTTTATTACTTGAAAGCTGGTTAATTTATTGCTTCTGCTGAGGCGTCAATGCGGAAGTACCAATGAAAGTGCGAACTGAGAATGACTGACACTATATTGTTCCTTTATTGACGTGCATAAGTATGTGAGTGTCAATGGTGAGGAGCGCCTCCTTATTTTTGTTTCTTCACAGCTGTGGACAAACGAAAGAAATGTCGATTTTTCTTTCTTCCTTCTCTATTGACATGGGTGTGAGTGTGTCTACCAAAAAAAAAGTGCTTCACTGTCATTTATGTTCATGAAAGGGAGAGTCCAACCCAGAGGAAATGATCGTCAAGTGTGAAGAGGGGTTGACATTTGTTTAACTCATGTTATCGCGCTCTATTTAATGCGAACGAGAGTGGCAATGGTGAGGGTCAACTTTACTTTTTGTTGCTCAGCACCTGTGCGAACAATCAGCAGGAAGACTCACATTTTCTTTTACGTTTTTGTTGATGCGTGTATTGGGACAAAGGCACGTTGCTACATTTTTTTTTTATCAGGAAGAGGGAAAGGTCAACGCTGAGAAATTGATCACCGAATGTGCGAAGAGAGGTCAACATTATGATTAACGTTCCTGATGCACTCTTTTTGACATGGACATGAGTGGCAATAGTAGTGAACGCATCTTAATTGTTGTGTGGCAGCTGTGAACATACAGCTGAAAGACTAAGATTATTTCTCTCTGTTGTCGCGTGTATACAGCAGTATCAATGAAATTACAAAGTAGATTGACTGACAGGTATTTTTGGTCGTTGTTGACGCGTTTATGTGAGCGTTTGTAACAGAGATACCTCGCACTCTCTCTGCAAGACCCTGTCAAGAGAGACGCTGAGAGTGCGAGGAGGAAAGGTTGATACAATGGAGTACTTTGATTGTTCGGGACCAATGAACGGGCCGAGACAATTAAGATTATCGCTGATAGGGTGAAACGACGGCGGTTGATATTTTCTGAACCATCAACAATTGATGAGGGGGATGTTTTTATTATTTAAGCGTAGCTTACGGTTAAAGGTGCATGGGGGTGGGTGTCTGCTGGATACCTTGTGACGGAGGACGCGCGTGTGTGCGAATGTTTTCCTTTGTGTTATTATGACTATGTTTGACGAACGGCGTCGAAGCTTTCGAGGATGGCAGGCGACTGATGTAGGTACAACCTTACTGGGACTTGGGAATCTCCAAGAACGACTTAACGACAATGTTGCCATTGCGCTCCTCAGTAGTGAGAGGGGCGTTGCCGGGGCGATCAGTGATGACAGTCTGGAAGCCAGCCTTCTTGGCAGCCACGATTTCTAGTCAAAGAAAAAAATGAACGTGTAAGGGGTTTATCTGTTGTGATCAAGTTGGTAAATAAGCCAATAACAGCTATAGCTAAACGTACCGTGGATATTGTCGGACAAGAAAAGAATGCGCGCGGGGCTGAGGCCAATGTCAGTGGCAATTTTGGCGTAGCTCTCAGCATTAACTTTCAGTCCAATAGTGGTATCATAGTGGCCAGAAAAGTACTATTTGAGCAGCATTTGCCAAACAAAAGAAAAAAAAATAGAAATGTGTCAAGAATTTGCTCATTTTTAATTGCACAACCGTGGCTACGCTGTGTCACGACATAAACAAGAAGGACTTACGTGGAGGAGATCGCCTTTTTCCGAGAATCCAAAGAGCAGCTTTTGGGCGTCAATGCTGCCAGAAGAGTAAATGTACAGCTTCTTACCCTCGGCCCTCCAATGGTCAAATGCAGGAATGACATCCTCATAAAGACTATGATCATCAAACACGAGGTTGAATGTAATGGGTTAATTTCAGTTGTCTTGGATACAAAGAAAAGAAAGTTCATTGCGCGCATTGGGCAACAACACATGAGTCTTTTACTCACGCTCCCTTCAAGTCACCGTTGATATATCCTTCTCTCCACATATATCCCTGGAAGGCTTTCAGGGCTCCAATCTTGCGGTCGGCCTTCATTTGCCATGCAATGGACGCAATCACATTCTGCTGGACCTTTTCAGCAGTGCTATTGTTTCAAAAGTTGTTCGTGTTAGGCTGCCGCCACGTGGAAAATAGTCTTCACTAAAGAGAACAATAAGAACGATTGCTGTCAACTTACACCTCGGCAGATTCCTTGGCAATTGGGGTTGCATCGGCGACACCGTCAGCAACATCCTTGGCAGCCTAACAATAACGTAACAAGGGATGCATGCGGGGTATGTCAGGGTCGGAGCATTGACAGCACATCACTAGGTGTTGAATCAGCGGTCTTTTGTTTGGCTTCCTTTCTTACCTGAACACGAAGGGCCTCCACGGCAGACTTCATTTCCTCACTGGCCCAGTTTCTTTGGAGGAACTCGGCCAACTTGGAGGTAATATAGGGGAACTTTGAGGCGAAATTAAACAGACACAAATAAGATGGTTCGTTTTAAGAATAGAGTGTGGGCAATCAGTCGCGACGAATAAATTTGTTGCCTCTCAGAAATAGATCACAAAGAAAAGAAAAGCGCGTCGTTGGAAAAAATAAGGAAGCACAGGATGTGGGAAACACACAGGCCAGCGTCCCCCGCTCTCCTCAAACAAAGGCCGCGACAACAAGCAACAAAATCGAATGAAAACAAAACATACTCCGTAACATAACACGTACCAAGTTCTCCTTGACAAAAACAATTGGCGTGGTAGTACCTTCAATGTCCGTGACAACGACATCGTACGGGTGGATGACGTGGTGGAGAGTTGGCTCCTCGGACGAGGCGATCACAGGCTCGGCGGCAGCAACAATAGGCATTTCGACAGGCGCTGGGATGGTCGATGCCTCAGGAGCTGCAATCGCAGGAGGGGGTGTGGGGACCTTGGTGGGCTCCGATGTCTCCGTGGTAGCAGCAGCCGCGGGGATCGGAGCTGGCGTGTCAGCTGGAACAGCAACAGCAGTAGCAGGGGCAGGCGCTGTTTCAACAGGTGCGGGGCGTACTTCTGCTGGCGCTGGCTGTACTTCCTTAGCGGCGGCAACGTCGGGAGTAGAGTCGGTCTTGGTGACCTTGGGAGCAGAGGCAGCTGAGGCGGACGCCTTGCGCTTTGTTGCGGGGGCAGTTTTTTTGGGAGCTGGGACTGGGGCAGGAGCAGTGTTGCCCTGGTTGTTAGATCGCGAACGGGTCAAGACCATGGTGAGTGTGCAACAAGGGTATGAAAAGCAAAGCGATGGTGTGAAATGGGTAGTTGGAGAGGAGAGAATGCAAGTGTTGAAAAGAGAGGGGAGGTGTTGTTAGAAAAAGAGAAAAGGAATGGGGAGGAGAGGCGAAGGGTGCTTTTGAACGAAGGTGGGCGACCATGGCTGCGAAATGGTGAAGGGAAGCAGTGATTCACGTGACCTTGCCGTTTTTCCGTTTCCTTGAGCTGGCATTGTTTTCATTTTTATGTCTATTGTTGTCTTCAGCCCGCTTCTTCACTCGATGAACGCCTTTTTACACACCTGCTCATGACCTCCATCAACGTCCTCGGTCTGCCTCCATCCGTCAAGGACACTTTACTAAAGGGTATGGAGAGCCTTGCACCTGCATTCGACAAAAAATTGCGACCCTTGTTCCCTCGGCATTGTCTCACCAGATTATTACTTTTTTTTATTGGGCGCAGCCTCGTTGGACACAGTCGAAGATTTGCTCTTGTACACACCAGGTCTATCCAACGATGTCCCTTCTGCTCGGTATAAACGTCAGCAAGTCGCCAAGGGAGCCTCCAGTGGAGGTTACGACCGCCTCATGAACCTTACACCGAGCGAGATTGCTTTTGCCTACGATCAAGCAGCGGCCCACATCTTTGAGAACAAGATTGCATATGGGAGTGCTCATGACTTGCTTCAGGACGAGAGTTGGTTGTCTCTTGGCGACCCTGTGCTCGACGCTGCTGTTGGAGGCAAGGGTATAATGACACGCGCAATCACGGAGATCGCCGGCGAGAGGTGAGTTTCAGAGAGTTTCGCGGTGTGCTTAGATTGTAACATTGGGTGTTGAGGTCAAACTAACCTGTTTTTTCTTACCATGTTCCTGTAGTGCTGTCGGCAAGACTCAGTTGTGCCTACAGCTATGCCTGACCGTACAGCTTCCGGAAAGCATGGGAGGCCTTGATGGCTGTAGGTATCTTTGCATTTTATATTCTGGCACATAATGTCAAAATGGTGGCGTAAAAGGCTAACAATTCTTTTTTTCAACATGCGTTCGAATATATAGCGGTGGTGTGGCTGTCTACTGAAGGAAAGTTTCCCTACAATCGATTGGAGTCAATGATCAGCCAGTTTGTGGAGAAACACCGGGATGATGTTCCAGACATGGATGCGGATATCATTCGCGAGAACATCTACTACGAGTCCATGGCGGATCAGGAGACTCAGTTGCACATTTTCAACTACCAGCTGCCCATCCTTGTCCATGACACGTATTTGAACCAAGAAGACGACAACGGCAAGGAGAAAAGCCAGGAAGAGGAGCTGCCTTCAGCATCACGAAAGAAGCCCCTCAAGTTGATCATCATCGACTCTATCACCAACAACTTTCGGAGCGAACTGACCGTCGGGAGCTCTGCCCCGGATCAGACCGGGAACCAAGGATCGAAGGCAGGATTTCGGTCAAGTATTCTCCAGAGGAGCGCCGATATCTGTGAGATTGGTCTCCGATTACGGACCTTGGCGGATCAATATGGATTGGCGGTCATATGTGTAAACCAAGTGACGGACGTGATCGCAGCCGATTCAACATTTCATCCACCACCACTACCGTTTCGCCCACCACTGCAGACACGCGATTTACCACCAGCTTTCCACGACACTGGTAAGATGAAGAAACCAGCGTTAGGCTTGGTGTGGGAGAACACCATCAATGCTCGCCTGGTTCTTCAGCGAACTAGACTACCGGACCCTTATGAGACGGATGGATACGCCCAGTCAGTATCACGGGAACCACCTCGTACACTCTCTGTTGTTTTTGCCCCGTGGAGCGGCCATAACAGGAGTAGCGACCCGTCGCAGCCAGGGCACTGTTGGTACAAGATAGACAAAACTGGCGTCGTGGGAATCTCCCCCAATAAATAAAGTCATATCTACGAGAACGCAACTCAGGCGATGACATGAAGTTCGGTGACTGTTAACCATGCTTCCCAAATGGTTGCCCATTTGATGCGCTGGCTGATCACCTTTTGATTTCCCTCCTACAACCGCGACCTCACCTTCCCCATCCTCCTCTTCCTTCTCCTTTTTTATCTTTTCCTCTCATCACTCCACTCATCTGTTCCATACAACAAACATCTACCTGAATGAACTCCATGTACATGCATCAAGGAGCAAGGGCCGGTCCGAACGATCGCTTCTACTCGACTGGAGCGATGAACGGCATGAACAACAACCAGCTCGCCATGCAGCTCCAGCAGCAGCAACTCCATCAGCAGCAACAGCAACAGCAACAGCAACAACAGCAACAACAACAGCAACAACAACAGCAGCAGCAGCAGCAGCAGCAACAAGCCCAGGCTCAAGTTCAAGCCCAAGCTCAAGCTCAGGCCCAGGCCCAGGCACAAGTCCAGGCTCAACAGCAACAGCACCAGCAAGCCCAGCAACAGCAAGCCCAACAGCAAGCCCAACAGCAAGCCCAACAGCAGCAACAGCAGCAGCAGCAGCAGCAGCAGCAGCAGCAGCAGCAGCAGCAGCAGCAGCAGCAGTATCGCCTGTCAAGCATCGAGGATGAAAAAATCTATCACCTCATCCTCGAACTCACCCATCCCGTCAACCGCGAGCAGGCCCTCTTGGAGTTGAGCAAGAAACGCGAACAGTTTGAAGAGCTGGCATTGGTTCTCTGGCACTCTTATGGTAAGAAGACGAGGAGCAATCGAGCGACCAACCATGGAATGTTTCTGTGAGCCCGACAGATCGCCCTTATTTCATGACGTGTTCACTCAACCGTTCAATATATCATTTTTTGCTCTATAGGTGTTATGTCTGCCCTTCTCCAGGAAATCGTGTCCGTCTACCCTTTGTTGGCGCCTTCTGGATTGACTGCCCATGCCTCCAACCGTGTCTGCAACGCTTTGGCGCTCTTGCAATGCGTTGCCAGTCATCCCGAGACCAGAGGAATGTTCCTCAATGGTATGAATCCTTTTTTCTTGTCTTTCCTCCTAAGTCAGCCTTGCAATTGAGTTTCATGTCTGTCACCCAGGCTTGTTCACACATTCTCTCCTTCCTTTTTTCATGATTCTCTTAGCCCACATTCCCTTGTTCTTGTACCCTTTCCTCAACACGACAAGTAAGACTAGACCGTTCGAATACCTTCGCCTGACTAGCTTGGGTGTCATTGGAGCTCTTGTCAAGGTGAGTTTGGACACTACTGTGTTTGTTGTCATCGTGTGCATGTGCATAAATTTTGTTATACTAGCCTCTGGCTACGACATCTTAACTTCGCCTGCTTTTACTCACCCACATCACGCTTCGTTTTGCCCATTTTGCTATACGTTAGAATGATAATACTGAGGTCATTACGTTCCTCCTCTCGACTGAAATCATCCCCCTGTGCCTTCGCATCATGGAGACTGGAAGTGAGCTCTCAAAAACAGTAAGGAAGCCAGGATCAGTCTTCTCACTGCAAAGATGGATGCACCTATGCATATCATTTAGGCTGACCCCTCTTTCTTGTATTATCGTTCCCTAGGTTGCCATCTTCATTGTCCAGAGAATTCTTCTGGATGATATGGGACTCGCGTACATCTGTCAGACATACGAGCGATTCTATGCAGTCGGAACCGTCTTGAGCAACATGGTGCACCAGTTGGTCGATACCCTTGCCGTCCGTTTGTTGAAGCACGTTGTCAAGTGCTACCTCCGTCTCTCGGACAACCCCAGGTACATTCCCGTCAACAATTCTATGCGCCCTTGAGTTACATTGGATCAAATGATCTGACTTTTGACTGTTCATTCCTTACACTCTTTGCTTTTTGATAGGGCTCGCGAAGCCTTGCGCCAGTGCCTTCCTGAACCATTGAGGGACGCGACTTTTGCCCAGGCATTGAAGGACGATATCAACACCAAGCGATGCCTGTCCCAGCTTATCTTCAACCTGTCCGACAACGGTCCCGCCAACTGAAGGACCTTCCACGGGGCCTCAGACCTTTGAAAGGTCAACTACCTTCATCTATTTTTTTACTTCTCGCCCACATACCCATTTTTGTTCAGTTGTTCCACTCCTACCCTTGCTTTCACTCAGTTCAACGATGGTTGAGTGGCTACTTTGCTGTAGTTGCAGCGTCGACCATCGTCGGGGTCTTTGGACCTATAGTACGTCCTTTGTTCCCTTTTTCCTTTGCTTTGTTTTAATTTATTCTTTCCCGGTATTCATTCTTGGCTAGTTCCAGATGGTATCGTCGCTTATCATTGTTTGGCATGTCCCTGTACATTTGTAATTTTTTTTATATCTTTCTTTCGGGCGGATCGCTTATGGCTGCTTCAGGAGAGGCAGTGCTTTCTTTCTTTATTGAGACGCCCTTCCTCTTCCTTATATGTTTTTCCTTCCAATTGTTCATATTTTTATCCTCCCACCTATCTTCTTTCTTTCCCCGTTTGGTTTGTTATTTCTCTGGCAGCGGACAAAAATATCCTCGGAGAACGAGTTGTACAAAGGGAGGGGGTGAAGATGAGGATTGAAGGTTCACTGTCTGCCTTTTCTACATTTTACTTTCTTTTTTTTCTTCTCTTTTCTTTTCTTTTCTTTTCTTTTCTTTTCTTTTCTTTTAACTCTTCTTATTACCAGTCAATTCCTTGCAAGTCTCCCTTTTTTCGCATTACTCATTGTACATATACTTTTGAAGAACCATGAATAAAGAAACCTAGAGATCTTCTTTGTACACTTTCGCTCCTCGCTCCATAGCCTTGCAACCATGTCTTTTTTTCGCGTGTGCTTCGCCTTACTCATGTTCAGATCAAATTCATTTGAGAGGCAGTCACGCCGCCTTTCAATAGTTGCCACCCACGTTTCGGCGCCATCTGACATTTCTTCACACAAAAACCAACGACACCATGGACCGCCACGACGACTACCAGTGGCATGACCAATACAACCAAGTCGCAGACCCCGGCACCATCGACATTCGAGGTACAAACCGCCTTTTTTTCTCTCTTTTTCTGAAAAGAGTGCATGGAGCACTCCCGACCCGCAGCCATCACTTTTCCGTTTGAAGGACCGTTCTCCATGCTCCCCCTGAGACTGACAACTTTATCCTGTTTCGCTTGTCATCTCATGTATATTTGTAGACCTTCTAAGCGAAGAATGGGAGTTCATGACCAAGTCGGATGTAAGCACACGAGAGATGGGAATACTATTATAGGAAAGATGAGTTCGTCTTGGACGAAACAGTGTACATTCCTCCAAGAAGAGAGCGAACCTCCTCTTTTTGACTGACGAATTCACCCTTTTTACACCCTTTCTCTCTTTGATAGTTCAATCCGGTGCCATTGGCCCTAGAACTGATGGATGGCAGTTCACTGGGAAAAGACTATGAAATGTTCAGCATGATCCTTCGTAGTATTGAAGGAGCACTCAAGGCCGTTGTTGATGGTGAGGAGCGAATCGTCTAATTGGTGAAGGGGCAATACTTGACTTGGCTTCATGATTTGCGTATCAAGGAGGTGTGTAACCAAACGTTCTCTTTTCGTATTTTCATAGGTTCATACCAAGGTTTCAACGCCTCGATTGGAACTTATGGCGGAGTCATTGACAGTATTACAGATTCGCAGAGCAGAGTCAAGGAATTGCGTATGGATCTCAAAAACTCTAAGGAGTCTCTGCGCTTGCGACACGCGGATCTTGTGCAACTTTACAACAAGAGTCAGCAGTACAAGGACATGATTGAGATGCTCGACGAGATGTAAGGATTTTCCCATTATCAATCTTTCCTTCATCTTTTTTGACCGCCGATAATTTAACATGAAATATCTAACTCTATCGTATATATCTTCATAACTTTTAGCGAGGAGTTGAAGCAAGTGCCCGAAAAACTGGAGATTCTAATCCGGGAGAAGCATTTCTTGGCGGCTGTCAAGATGTTGGTCTCGGCATCCAAGACCGTTGCAAAGCCCGAGATGGTTGCCGTGGGCGCATTATCAGACTTGACGCGATTCTTGAACGAGCAGCTTGAAGTAAGTCGAAACCTTGCTCTACCTTGCTTCACCTTCTCCATGCGCTAACATCGTTGGATACTTGTAGTATTGAGGACTGACATGTACTGCCTTTTCTCCTTCACCGCTTTTAGTCCATGGCGGAGATGCTCATGGAGGAACTTCACAACCACCTTTACCTCAAGAGCCCATACTGTGACAGTCGATGGGCTACATATACCACTGGACAGGAAGCATGTACGTCGTTGCGCTTGCAGGTTTTACGATCCAATTGACTTCACCAAGACGAGACATGAGTTACTAACGCGATTTTTTATGTTTATTTATGCTGCGTTTAGTACCCTTGGCTGAGCGCGGATTATTTGATGGGTAGGTGGGCTTTGAGTTGGACTTACTCAACATGCAGTATCATACGTTGACAACGCACGAAAAACACACACCTCTAACGCTGGAACCTTGTTCTAAATGATAGACTGGGCAAGGACAAGCTGGGAAACCTTTCCTCCGATCGATTGAAGAGAAGTGCAGGGTTCCAACCCAAATCCAAGCCAGGAAACGAAGTCAGATTGGACGACGAGATGGTATAATAGAGAGAGAGAGAGAGTCCCCACATTGAGCGCGTTTTCTGGTCAAAGATGAAAGTATCTACGGTTGATTGACGGTATCATATTGCGTTTGAATTGTAGATCACTGAGGACCTTGAAGTCAACCCAGAGGTTGATTCGGCATACTATATCGAGATCTTGGTCGAGTCACTTGGACTTCTTGGCAAGTTCAAGGACGCCATTGTAGTAAGTGAGGTGGTTTTCGCGATGTTTTTTTTTGCAGACTTTTACTTATTGACAGGAGGGAAATTGAGAGCTAATTATTTGGACGTATTGCTCCTCTGTTGTGAATAGACTATCTTGCAGCGGGTTCCATTGGAGACTTATCAGTTGATCGACAAGACCATCGGCGAAGTCAACGAGAGGTAAAATGCTCGGCCTCCCCCCATTTTTGAGTTTTTGGCCCCCACGAATTGGGGCGACAGCGAATGGGCCATGGGACTAAACTTGTTTTCTATCCCTATCTGCTCTCAATTCTTTTTTTTTTTTTTTTTTTTTTTTTTTCAGGAGGAACGCGGCTGCGTTGAAGACGATTAACACACGGGACTCGAACTTTGACGATGAGGACGACGAAAAGTACTTGGCGACCAAGAATAATGAGAACGAGATCTTGAGGGATCTTTTTTGGACCCTTTTCTCGAAGTTGGAGTGTGTCACACAAGGACATAGCACTGTCTTGATTGCTGGAGAGCGACTGTTGAGGGTAAGGAGTACACTCTCTTTCATGGTGTTTTTTTCTTCATCTGGTATGAAAGGTCTCAGCGCAAGCTTACTGATATGGTGGTCGGATTGTCTTCTTGGTTGTTTGAATAGCGCGTGGAGGGTGATCATGTGAAGAGAAAGGAGATGGGTCTTGCAGGAGTCAAGATGTACTCGTTTGCGGAGGTCTGGACGCCCATGTTGACCGAGATCCGGTGTTTGCTCTCGGATTACTTGATGGATGCCAACCAGGGAGATGATGGACTGGATAACTTCTTGGGTGGATCTGGTCATGATTCTGGATTTGATCTTCTCCGATCACGCAAGGCCAACCGCGACAAGAACAGGGTAAGATACAAGTTTGGGGCTTCTGAATATGAGGTAGTTGGAGCCATAAGATGTTTGTTTTGCTAACGATACTTTCATTTGTATGGGTGAAAATAATAATAATAATAGCAATTGTTCAAGTTTACGGATTCGATTGGAGGATCATCTCTGTGCAAGGTGTACGACAATGAAATTGGAGTGTTTGCGACAGAACCTCTGCGCAAGGCTTTGCCACAGGTGTACGCCCAGATGAACGAGCAGGGTCCCTCACTGGCGTTCTCGGGACTCATCCAGGACAAGTATGCAGAAGTTCTTGCCAACCACCCCATTGCTGCACTCAATCCGGACGGCAAGGGATCTGGGTCGTCGTCCGCTCAGAACGGAAGCAACGGAGCTGCTACTGGAACTGGAACTGGCACAAACAGCAGCAGCAGCAGCAGCAAAAAGGCTGCCGCGGCGACTGCTAATTCTGTGCCCCTGATCCCTGGTTACTTAAAGGCAGCTCAGAACGGCGTTACAGGATGGAAGAACCCGGCGCTGTTGAACGGATCCTCGACGACGACGACGACCAATAATCAGTTGCAGACGTCCGCCAGTGGACACCAGTCGTTGGTGCGGGCGGACCCGGCCCATATCAGTGTGGTCATTCGTCCTGCGGTTGCGTTTGTTGAGCGGATTCGCGAGTCTGTTCCTTTGAGTCGGGAGGATGGCACGGTGGTTGTGGGCGCCTTCTTTGACCATGGTGTCATCAATGTCCCCATGGGTCGCTTCTAGACAACACAATATTATTCCTCAGAAAGCACGATTTACAGGGCTGGATAATAAAACATACAAAACGTTACATTTTTTTATTGAAGAGAATGAAAAAAGAAAAGAAAAGACAAGAGAAAAAAAAACAACTGCGGTCGCCCCATTAAGAACTACATCCTCAATATCATTTTAACGATGAGACCATATGCCAGTATGGACCTCATGAGGCCGTGTAGTGACCTCGGTCTGGATCATGCGATGGATGGTAGGCAAGTAATCGACATAGGACATGGCCTCGTTGTTCTTGTCCTCGACCAGCAGGTTCGAGAAATCAAGCTCTGCCTGGTCTTTACCCTGGCGGACAATCGTCAGATCCAGGTACTTGGGTCTCTGTGCCTGCATGTATGTTCTGATCATCCGGAGCTGACTACTCGTCTGTGTATCCAACTCTGGCAAGAACCGCTATTTTTTTGTATTGTGTCAAGTAGGAAAGTAGGAAAGAAGATTGCCATAAGTTAAGTTTTGATCTCAATTATAGCGGCAAGGAAAAAAACGGTCAAGAGAGAGACAGAGGCACCTACAAGGCTGGAATCGACTTCATCCAGGGTCTGAACGCCAAAAACGTCCTGCAGAAACTGCTGATCGATCTCTCTGCCCAGCCAGAGGAACAGCCTCTGTCCGTTCTCGAGCATATAGGCGCCGGCAGAGTTGAGTCTAGCGTAGGAAACGCGCACAAGCTGTGGGAGGAAAACCCTTCCATTTGCATCCATCACTCCAACCTAATTCATGAGGAATATCAATGCACACCTGAGGTTAGACGTGTGAAGCCAAGGTAAAAACAACGGCGACAGCTATCGACAGTCATCATACAGGGATGCTTCTTACCCTCTCGTCCATGGCGTGTACTGTGATCATGCGGGGATAGAAAAAGACGATGCTTTCGCTGACACCCATGCTCTTCAGCATCCTCATCTGGTATACTCGCAGATCGCTGTTGATGTCTCTTCCGCCACGGAGAGTCTTTGATTTTAGCAGAGACAGGGTATACAGAGGGAACAGCTTGAACGACTCTGGAAGGATAAGCTACTCAATTGAAACATACGAAAGGGCAGGTGAGTATAAAGTAAAAAGGTGGGTGACAAAAGTTCCACAGTAATGAGCTCAAATCTTTGTCAACAGTCGTTACCTGTCCTGGAGCGGTGGACGAGGCACAGTTTCGGCGATAGGCGGACAAGATCTTGACGCACTTGTCTGTCAGTGCTTCGCGGACTTCGTTCAAAGGCTTGCTCAAAGCTTGGGCAATAGCTACATGGTGCGTTGAAATGTTAAACGATCGCATTAGTTGGTTGTCTAAAGGGAGAAGTCAGATTCAAGTCTCTGAAAAGCGGGCGAGTTGGAAGGGTCGCTTACCTCCTTTGCTCAAAAAGTTAATGGTGGTGTCCATGTCTGCCCAACGGAAGACATTGCCCAGCAATGTGGTGACAGGTGTGCTAAAGTTGTGCACTCTGACGCGGCGCCGTCCATCGGCAGTGGTGTAGAGCAACGCAACCTGGAAAGAAGCCTCTGTCTTCTCGTCCAGTTTGCCGTCGTGCTTCACAAGAACTCCGTAGGCCTTTTCAGAGTCCAGTCCAGCGATCTCGAGGTCAGTACTGTTCTTCATGTGGAAGTTGCCGAAATGTTCTGCGACACGCAGACCAGTCGAGCAGCGCACACGCATCAGTGCGTTAAATCCAAAGGGTCGCGTCACCAGCCTGTTGATCTCTCCAGCCAGCTTGACTCCGTCTCGGTCAGCATTAAAGTTGGTGAACATGTGAGTCTCTCCTCCAGTGATGGTCGACAAGCATCCCAGGGTCGCGACGTCCACATAAGCATTGGGGAAGAGGAACAGGTCGATGGAGAAACCAGCATCCACACAGCTCTCTGCCAGTTTTTTGTAAAAGTCATCCTGGGGCGCATACAGAGTTTTTTCCTTTTCCGTTCCATAGAGTTTCAGCTCATCGCGATGTCGGAGTGCTCCCGGACCAGACATGGGAAGCGACGTTTGAAATACGATAAGTTTTCCTCCACGGCTCTCGAGTGCCATCCTCACCGACTGCACTACTGCGCCAATTACTGCCTCGGTTATCTTGTTCTCTGCAAAGAGTTGTGGCAGCATGTCCAACATTGATTCAACGAGCGACCTATGAATAAAAGTCAGCATCAATGTCAAAAGAGCTGTACAGTGAAAACAAGAACGAGTCCTATTCGAGGAGACTATCATTCAACTTACTGTGAGGTCTGGGGGTCGACAAGGAAACCTTCACTCAAAGGAACAAACACATCCGAAACATCAGGAACGACCATCATCTGGGCCTGCTCCAGCGTAGGCTAGGTAGTGGGACGGATGGAAGATAGAATGATGTGTCAGTCGTCCATTATCTAGCATAATAGCTGTAGTTACCATCAAATACTCACACAAACGTTCAAGACTTACTGAAAGATTGTAAAAGTGCACAGTCCTGTCGTACGTCAAGAATCCAATCTTTGCACCTGGCGCCAGTTTTGAAACTCCGTTAGGGTCCCAGATGGCCTCCTTGATGCCTGTCACACAGCGGTGCAACATGCCGCTCTGAACAGAGTTCCATGACACATCAATCGCAAACACATAGGCTGCAGCTGCTGGCGTCTTGTTCCAGTACTCCTTGGGGACTGCAAACTCAATTGTGCCGTTACGAAGTTCCGGTCTCTGATCCAGATCACAACGACGACCGTTCATGTCCAGGTTGCAAAAGTAGCCGGGGTCGACATCGTTCTCAAAGAGACACATGTTGCAGACAAAGCGCTGTCCACCATTGGTGAAAATCATGTAGGGGTTGATGTAGGCGTTGCAGCGGCGGCAACGAGCTGGTCCTGCGTCTCCAAAATCCACAGTCTCAATTGGAGCCTCATCGGCCCGAAGCTGAGCCAAGGGTTGAATGACAAGCCCCATTGGCAGCTGGGATGTGTTCAGGAGATCCTCGGTATTTGGGAGGTTGTAAGTCGTCATCCTGAAGAACCGAGGGTTGCAGTTGCCTAGTATCAGTTGTAAACGCGCAAGTCGATATTAGATGATATTCTCACTTTAGACGTCAACAAGGCGCAAACAGCTCTTGGCGCAGACACTCAGTTATATCCAGCCATACCAACTGAACAGTCATAAGATACATACCTCCATCAATGGCCGTAAAGTCAGTGCTGGCAAGAGGGGTAGGGCTGGTCCTGAGAGAAGTCACAAACGGCTTTTGGTCCCATTCTTCTTGATCCGCCTCCTGAACAGCCACTGGTGAAGGGATCTGGTCCGGGTCAATCCTGGGCCTTGGTGCTGGCTGGACGGGAGCCTGGGGTCGGAATTGCTGAGACTGGTTCATGGGTTGCTGTTGACCATACAGTGGTTGTTGTGGTTGGGCCAAGTGAGGCTGTTGATGAGCCAAATGCGGTTGCTGGTGTTGCTGCTGCTGAGCCAAGTAAGGAGGTTGTTGCTGTTGCTGTTGCTGCTGTTGGTGGGGAGCATTTGGCTGCTGATGTTGAGGATATCCTGGCTGCTGTTGGCTAGGGCCTTGGTTCAATTGCTGTCCATAGTTTTGAGTTTCCATGCCTGGCTGTGGGATCGCTGGAAGAGGTGGGGCCATTCCCGCAGAGGCAGATGGAGCAGATGGATCTGACGCGAATACTCTCTTTGCTCTTGCTCCAGTCTTCGGTTTAGCGGCCTACATCAATGATGAATTGACAAAGTATGTTAACTAATTGAATAAGCCGCGAAATTTGGCTCGGCCCCCTTTCACAAACGATACGTACCTCTGCCTGCATAGGCGGGCCCTGTGGTGGTATTTGATTATATCCTGGTGCATCCACAGCGTTATTGGCACCAACAGACAAGGCTGACATCTGAGCGTTTAATCCATTCGGTCCCCCTCCCCCTTGTTGATTAGCCAATGGAGGTGTAGGTTGCTGCTGCTGTTGTTGTTGCTGTTGCGAGTAAGGTGGGTACTGTTGTTGCTGATAAGGCTGTTGTTGTTGTCCGGGAGGTGGGGCAGCATTATGCGGGAAGCCAGGCATCTGTGGCCTTGGAGGTGACTGAGACTGAGTCGCTGGGGTGGTGATGGGTGTGGGTGTTTGAGCGTGGGCCGGGTTGGGGTGATGGGGAGCAGCGGTAGCCATACCAGCCTGTAGTGGAGCATCCGTCCTGACCTGCTGGTTCAATGGTGGTCGAACTCCAGCAGGGGGTTTAACACCGGGGGGTCCAACGGGACGACCTCCTGTATACGGGTGCTGCTGTTGCTGCTGGTGAGGTGGAGCGACATTGGGTGGTCTTGCAGGAGCTCCTGCACCTAGAGAGATGTCAGAGGTATCCAAAAGAATCGTCGTGTAGTGTGAGTCGATCCATTCAGGTCCTTCAAAAAAAATAGGACTCCGCCACGTTTGACCTTAAGACGACAACACGCTTTGTGGCACTTTGTAACATTCCCACGTATGGTATTACACCGCTGTCCATTGCGACTCTGGGCATGACGCTGGACACGTAAACGCTCAAGAGTATCTCCTGTATTCTCCAAAACGCCTAGCTCATTTCAGTCCACAGAAAAGTCAACCACTATACCTGGAGGCATTGGTCGAACGCCAGGACTCATTTGGCCGGGTCCAGGTCTGATAGCCTGGGTTCCAGGTTGAAGTCCGCCAGGTCGAACATTTCCGTAGGGTCCACCTGGTGGCTTCAGCGGCTGCTGGTGCTGCTGTTGCTGTTGTTGGTACTGTTGCTGTTGTGAGTTCGCTGGCGCTCCGTATGGACTTTGCTGTCCAGGGTGCTGGGGTGGTGGAGGTTGTCCCTGACCAGGATAATAAGGTCGAGGCTGCTGTTGCTGAGGTTGGTAATTCGACATGGAGGTGGCGTGCCTAAACAAGCAAAGTCAAAAGGTTGCTGTCAGCGAAAAGGACGATTGTGAAAAGAAAGTCTGTGAGTTTGGACACGCTTGGTGTGATGTTGCAAAACTTGTTCGAGGTGACTGTTCGAGGAAGTGAATGCCATGGAAACTCGCTTGCCTTCGTTTTTACTAGTTCGCGAAGTGGATGCCGTTTGTCGTTTCTGCTGCGGTTATCTCTGCTGGCGTTGCTCTTTTTTTTTTGTAATTGAGAGAGAGAGAGAGAAAGAGAGAGAAGGAAGGACGATGAAAGAAGAGTGTGGTGAGGTGGATGTGATGTTGGGAAAAGGAAAAGATGTTTGGAACTTGAAGACAAACGATGGGCAATCAAATGGGCAATCAAATCAAGATGGTAAAAAGCAACTAAGGGGTGTTTGCTTACAAGTGTGCCACGCTTGCCCAGTCGATAGGCTGAGGATACGCGTGCTCGCTGGAGAGCGTTAGGCGAATTTTAAGGGGTATATATCAGCTAGCTTTTTATTAGGGTAATAGTATTACATTCGGGTTATCAAGGCTCTTCAACTAGGTCGAGACGCGGGTTCAGGGCGCGCATGGCCTGCCTCCATGCCGGCTGCCGCGTGCACAGCCACTTGCTGATCGCCAGTCGCTCAAGCTGTCCTAGACTGCCAATCAGGTTCAGAACACCCTCAATCGTGTACCCGAGACAGCTCACAATGTCCAACTGCGTCAACCGCGTCATACTCCGCGTCAACTTCTGTAACAGCTCGTCCGAGACTGGCCATTTCCCCAACAGCTCAAGATCCAAAAGACGCGTCGCCAGACAGATCTGAGGCATCTTGACCTTTAGCTCGTCCAGAATCTGGTCGTCCTCACTCGAAGAGTGGAAATACGGAGGGAGCGAAAGCCGCAAGGTGATCAATGCCGGGCAATGCAGTAGAGCCGAAAATTCGAACGCCAAGGCTGCCTCGCCCTCCAGATCCAGGATGGAGAGCTTCGAGAGCGGCCAAGACCAGTTCAGAGGCACGGTGGCGTAAATCGACTCCTTGGACATGGTGGCCATCGACATGACCTTGAGCGACTCGAGCGTCTCTCGGAAGGCGTCGACTGCATCTTGCACAGCTGGCATCAGAACCTGATCATCACCAAAGAGCTCAAGGGACCGCATTCGGGGCACGCCATAGGGCTGATCTAGTGACGACCATTCCTGGTAGTGGTGTTGGTGTTGTCCCCATTGCCAAGGCGAGGGTGGTGATATCCAGGGCGCATAAGGTAATGTTGATGTTGCTGAGGTAAAGGCAGAATTCGACCGCGACAGTGTCGGGCGATGGTCCAGTTTCAGCTTCTTGCGTTCCAGCACTGCCCATGCAAACAACTTGTCCTCCTGTACCGGCATCCGCAGCTCTTCCAAGTAGGCGCATCGCTGCAGGTAACCTGAGGCCGAAATGTAGTTTGGTGGCATGTCGGCGAGGCCCAAGATCAGGGTCCGAAGGCAGTCGACAGGGATATCATCCAGGACCAGAATCGCCTCCCTCCAATGCCTTGCATCGACTACTTGGGCTGTGCGCATGGCCTGGACGAGTCGCACTAGCTGTTTATGGGTTGGCTCCAGGTGGTGGTTCAGGTCCTCGCCGCCTTTGATCTTGATCTCCTTTAGTGTGCTATGGACGGCATCGTGGACGCGAATGAACTCGAGGACGGGTTCGATCTTGCATCCGTAAGGGATCTCGGAGAGCTCCAGACGGACCAGATTGCGAAGCTCTTGGAGGTGGGGCACCAGGAGGACAGGGATCCGAGCAATGGGCTGACCAACGACCTTGACGTCCTCTGGGCAGTATTGAACTAGAAGGTGAGAAACATCTGTCTGCAGATCAGACATGCTCTTTTTGTCGTCCAGAAGGAGGGCGCTGTTTCCGTGGGCCAATATCCTCAGATGGGCCAGTAGCCGCCAGAGGTTGACATGGTACTGTTGTGTGAAAAATCTGAGATAGTCCACAGTGGCAATGGCCTGCTGTTGCTGTTGTTGTCGTTGGTATTGTTGCACTTGAAGCTGGTGGTAGCGACGAATATCCAAAGGGGTGGCGGGTCTTGCTGTTGACGTGGTCACTGGAGCTGCTGTTGATGTTCTTATTATTGTTGGTGGTGTTGTTTGTACATGGATGTCGCGCTGGGGAAGTCTGGAGGTGAGGAGGAGGGCGAGGAGGTCAGTTGACCGTTTTTCCTTTTCATCTCGAGACCAACGGGAGGAGCGTTCGATAAGCTGGAAGGGAGAACGGTAGAGGACGGGAGCGGCCCGTTGGAAGAGCTTTTGGCTGGAGAGGACGAGGGCATGGAGGGCTTGCCTCTGGTCGACCAGGTAGGCGACGATGAGATCAATACATTCGTCTGGCAGAGGTAGCTTGGATGCCAACACCATGGAAGCTCAAAGCTTTCTTTTTAGGTGAATGTAGTATATGTTGGAGCGGTGATGGTAGGGGTGGTGGATCAGACGTGAATGACTGAAGGGCCGAGGGAATGAAGGAAAAAAAAGGACGGAAGGGGTAGGGGAGAGAGGGAGAGAGGGAGAGAGAGTGGAAGGATAGGGGCGAAGGGAGTAAGGTGTGTGTGAGAGAAGGTGTGGAAAAGGCGAAAGAGGAAAGAGGAAAGAGGAAAGAGGAAAGAAGAAAGAAAATGGAAACGGAAACGGAAGAAAATGGAAACGAGAGAAAAGGGAAGGATGGAGAGTGGTTGGTGCTTCAGAGTTGCAAGGGAAGAGCAAGGGGTAGGTAGAGTCGAGTGGAGGTGGAGAGGAAGAAGGAAAGGGAAAGAGGGAAACAGGGAAAGAGGAGGAAAGGGAGCAAAGCTGAAGGCGAAGAGGCGAGGAAGGAGAGGTGAAGAGAAGGAAAGGAAAGGAAAGTAAAGAATAAAAAAAAAAAGACTAAGACTAAGACTAGAAAAAAAAAGGAACAGACGGACGGACGCGTTTCTTTTCTTTTGTTTTACTGTGTTCAATTTTTTGACTTTTTATTATTTATGGTTCTTAGAGAAGGGAAACAAGAGTCGTTGTTGATGAAGAAAAAGGACAATCAAACTCAAACAAGTCTGGTAATGTGTTAGTGTCCATGCCAGACCATTGCCCTATGGTCGGCTGGTCCAGTAAAGTGAGCATGGGTCCAATTGGTCGATGATGTGCAGACTCTAGTCTATGGATCACTTTGTCCAAGGGCCGGGAATTGCCTTCCTTCCTGTTTTTCCGTTTTGCTGTTGGTGGTTGTTGGTTTGTTTCTGTCGTTTTCGTTGGTTTCGTTGCGTGGTAAAAAAGAGGGGGGAAGACGAAAGGGAAAGGGAAGGGAAAGTGAAAGTGAGCACAAGAGGACTAGAGGATGGCATTCAGGAACCAATCAAAAGCACTGATCAACTGCCGCAACCTACGAAGGGAAGGAGCAATTGACTTTTTTTTTCCCTATGATTTGTGATATCTTTGATCACTTTTCTGTTCTCTCTCAAATAATAATTTATATCTTCACCCGCTGCGCTGCGGAGAAAAGTTCAAGAGCCTTGTCCATGGGGTTTCTTTGGTGCTGTACTGTAGTGTCTGGTTTGTCATACATCGAGCATCGATCCAGTGTCAATGAACAATCAATTAGTAACACCTTCTCCCCGGATGTTATTGCATCCAATCAAGTTTTCTAGCAAAAAAGCCACAACGGGACGACCTGAATGACTTCTGTAGGTTCCATCTACGCGACGTGCTGTCCTATGTAGCCCCCCTCCCTACTTCATCCTCTCTGACAATTGAGGGTCTACAACAACACGCCCTAAACGATCTGGCCAAGCAACAACAGCAGCCACAACAGAGAGCAATGAGCGAGGACCACAGCCGCCAAGAATCAGAATACCAGCCCTTTTCCCTCTTTGTGAATCAAACTAAAAACAAAAAGAAAAATGCCAAGACTTTTTCATTCTTGTCGTTCAAGACCCTCTCCTGGGCTGTCGCACACAACGAGAGTCCATAATCACTTCTTTTCTTCTTCACTTCCTCTCTCTTCCTTACTTCTTTTCCCTCTCTTTCACCCACCATTCATCTTCCATTTCACACTTCTCCTTCGTCCACTCCACCTCACACTTCCTTTGCGACCCTTGCAACCCCTATACCCTCCCTCTGCACCCCTCCAATTAGGACAAAAATGTCAAAGGCAAACAACAACGACAACCAGGATCTACAATATCCTCCCTCTTCACAACACACATCTCACTCCACAACACCCTCCCTCCACAACCAACCACTACTCGAAGACGCTCCCCCTTCCTACGACGCCGTCATCGCAAAAGACATCCCACAACTCCACGACAACTACGACCATCTCAGAGGACCCCCTGGTCAACGCGGACGGGATATCAAAGACCGCATCCCCTCCGAGTCTATTGCTCGTCATCAATCGCAAGGAGGAAGCAACAGTGGTGGTGTAGGTAGTAGCAGCGGTGGTGGTGCAGGCCCTTCCTCTATCTCGACCAGCGCAGCAGCAGCAGGAGGCGCTTATGGAGCCTCCTCACCTTACGAACCCCACTACGGCGCCACCCGGGTGATTGCCCATTCTCCCACCTCAGCTCAGGCACCACCTTTAGGGTTGGCCGGCCAAATCGCGCTCGGTCAGGACAGCGACGAAGACCTTCCCGGCGATGACGGCAGTCACTCCAGCCTCGACAGCGACGATTCCTACGAACGGTCATGCTGGACAATCGTCGGAGACCAGAAAGCGTGGATCGCCCTCTTCTACATGATCGTCGTCCTCCTTCCCTGGACTATCTTCTGTTTCGTCTGGGTCCTCGTCTTTGGTCTCGTCGCCATGATCATGATGATCATCCCCCCGATCGGATACCTCTTCACCGTCTTCGCAGTCTTCTCCATCCGCGCCTTGGCTAGAGTCGACGTAGTCCTCTCGGCTCTCCTCGTTTCCAACACCGTCGCAGCCAAATACCCCTACTTCACCCCGGAGGTTTTCATCGGCCCAGAACCAGGTCCTGCGTGGCAAAACCCCCGATTCTTCGGTTACACAATGCCCCTCCCAACCTTCATCCAACACAGACTCCAAAGTCGTCATGCCGCCCGAAACCGTCGTCCCAAAAACCTCTGGCATCGCGGTGCCAACCACATGAAGACCATCTTGGATGGACATACAACAAAGGGGTTCTTTTACTTTGTCGTCTGGAAGATGATGTTTGCGATTCCAATCTTCTGTGTGACGGTGGTGTTGTTTGTGTTGAATGTGCCGTTCATGGTCTGCTTCTTGCCATCGCTTTTGAACATCTCCAAGGCCTTTGCCAACTGGCAGTACCGCTGGGCCGTCACTTGGCTCTCTGGCAAACCTGCACCTATTGTTCTTTAACGCCCCCTCCCACCTTCTCCTTCTTTTCCTTTTGTCATGAGCCGTTTTCACGATATCGCCCTCTTTCTGTAAATAAATCCATCATGTATACTTTCTCATATGTTTTGTTTGAATTGGGTATTTTCATTGTTGGTTAATGAAGGCGTCTAAAAATCTCTAGAATACAGGAGTATTAATTGAAAAAAGGAAAAAAAAAAAGGGGGAGGGAGGGCGCCAAAGGAGAAAAAAGAAGACCAGCAGCTTAGATATCCTCGACGATTCTGATGGGTGGGATACCCTCGTAGCAGATCCTGTAGATAGTAGTCATGAGGGGGAACTCGTGGCAGAGGTTCTTCTTGGAGAGAATGTTGTACATGTCCTGAGCGGTCGAGGTTCCTTGAAGCTTCTGTCCGTTCAACATCTCCTTCTCGAGCTGATCAAACGACTTTCCAGTTGTGACGTGGGCCTCGGCCACCTTGCGGTTACGGCCACCGGCGCAGGTGGTAATCAAATCGGCAACACCGCACGACTCGAAGAAGGTCTCGTCCTTGACATCGGCGTAAAACATTTTGGCGAACTTGCGCATCTCGTAGAGTCCAATGCGGATGATAGCAGCCTTGGTGTTATCGCCAAGCCTATGATACGTAAATAGTAGAAAGGGTAAAAAAATTGATAAGTCAACTGGTTCACAAGTCAAACGGCAAGAGGCATACATTGATAATTCAAACAAAAGATACTTACTTGAGTCCATCGACCAATCCACCGCCAATGGCGACAATGTTCTTGAGGGCACCGCACAGTTCAACACCGACGACATCAGGGACAATGTTGACTCTGAAGGAAGGAGTGTGGAAGATATCGCGGAAGAGCTCGCCGTCAGCCCTGTTTCTGTATCCGATGGTGGTCTCGCAGAACTTCTCCTCAGCAACCTCATTGGCAATGTTGGCACCGCTGAGAACACAGGTAGGGACTTCGAGGGACTCCTGGATCATGTCGGTGATGAGACGGAAACCATCAGCGTTGACGTCAATACCCTTGATCAGGGAGATAGCCTTGCAGTTAGCGGGAATCCTGCCCTTGAGCTGCTTGCAAATGCTTGTGACAAACTAAACAGGTGATGACGATAGGAATCGGATGTTAGCATTGAGCGAGATAAAGTAGAGATTTCCCAGGAACTCGGTGTGTCGACACGTGCAAAGACGAGTAAGGGAGAGATAAAGCTCATGGGGGGGATTGGTTGTCTCCAGGTCGGGAGCGGGAGTTAATTGACCCGATCATCACAAGTAAATGTGAAAATTGCCATTGTTCCTCTTTGCCCTTGAGAACGTCCAAATTCACTCTTCTAAGTGACGATGTCACCTTCGAGTGCATTTGATTCACATATTCGACATACGCATGCTGTGGTAATGTTGGAACGACTTAAAGGAGGAAAAAAAAATAGCTCGATTGCTCTCAGATCACAGCAAATTGTGCTGTTTTTGCCTCATTTTGCTGAGATTGCGGTGCATGGTTGTCCTTTTCGACGCACCCACCACCACCAGAAACCATAAGATCTCTATCATCTCCCACTATCTTGTTCATGTTCAACCCAGCTCATCCTGGTCAACATGTGAAAACGTCCAAAGAGGAGGTCGAGCCATACTATCCGGGGTAACAAGGTCTGATCCAGAGGTGGGTTGAGAGAGCACCGTCGCAGAACGTCTCTCTTTCTCTTCACGTCTCCCAGTAAGATAAGATTGCTGTCGGTCGTTCAATAAACTCCTCCTACGCCTCTTTATCCTCTCTCCCTGTGCTGGATCCTGAGTTTCTTCCAGTTTCACCCCAGAGTGATTACCACAACGATTTGCCGTTTTCTGTTGGAAGGTGTGTAGATAACCTAAAAGTCTCTTTTCTTTTGCGTATTGATCACCAATGAAGACTGATCAAAAGCCTTCGTTATGATATTTACCTGATGGGGAACAACAAAGACAAGCATAGTGGCATCTCTGCAAGTCTCCAAAAGGTCGGGGCAGGCAACAATGTTCGAGGGCAACTGGATGCCGGGAAGGTATCTATGATAATAGATAACAGACAAAAATAAAACTGGATTAGCAAATGGCGATTACTTATATCTTGTGTAGGATTAAAAAAAGAAACAGCGGCCGCAAAAACAACAAATGGACGGTCGGGCTTCTCGTTGATTGCCAAAGGGCATTCTGCTGTGCGACCATATCGCAACAACCACAAAAAAATCCGAGCATGCGGGCTGGTGGGGATAATAGTAGGGCAGAAGACCCTTTTTTTTTGTTGGTGTTTGTTGTCCTATCCTGTCCTTGCATAAACACAATCCATTCTTTTATGCCGAAGCGAAAAAAATAAAAAAATGTTGAGGGAGATAATAAAAAACGGCTGGGGTAAAGAGGTTCGCTTACTTGACGTTCTCATGCTTGGTGTTGATGATCTCGGTCAAGTTCTGACCGTTGACCTTCTCCTCAAAGACCCACATCTTGACCTTGTTGTCAAAGTGGTCGAACTTGCGCACATTGCGTCCGATAATCTTGGCGACGGCAGAACCCCTAAGAAAAATAAAAATCGGTGGCAATTGGATATGAATGGGTTAGTGGGTGAGGTGGGTGAGCAAAGGTGTCAATTTGATTGTCTTGAAACTGTTACGCAGGATAACATAACAAGACGTTGTCATGTGTGTGAGGTACACGAATGAGTACTGCATGTTGTTTTTACCAGTTGCCTGATCCGATGAGAGCTACTCTTTCAGTCATTGTGTTGTATGTGTATGTGGGTGTTGGGTGAGTGTTGGGTGAATGTGTTGTGAATGAGGGTCGGGAGACGAGCGAATGGAGTTTTGTTGTAAGTGGCGGTTGGTGGTGACAGTAGAGACTGATGAGTTGCTGTTGTTGAGAGTGATGAGAATAATAATAAAAAAAGAAAGGGGAGAGAAGAGGGAATCAAGAAGCCCTTTTATCCGAAAACGAAGGTGGAGAAAAAGACAGAAAGAGAATATTCAATAGCAGCCAGCTCGTCCGACAAGGAAGTCACCACATGTGCTCTAGGGAAATATATGTGGTGGACATATGGGCATATGTAACAAATCCCTTTACGGAATGACGGAGCACAAGAGGAGACATACTACCACACAGCATCTCCCTCGTGTTTGTCCTCTCTGCTGCTTCGGACAGGGAATGCCCGAGACATGCAGCCCACATCAAATGTTAATTCATATCAACCATGCAACTACACTGCGTACCGATGCAAGGGCTAAACTAATCCCGCCATGTACACTGCACAAGCCCACCCATGGGTGAGTGTGAGGCATGTTACAACAACGGGAGTAGAACGGATGAGCCGGAACGGAGCGTAAGTGTGTGTGTACAATGGTATTATAGTAGTCGCAAAAGAAAGGAGGCACGGCCTATTTTCTCCTTTCTTCGTGAGAGGGCGGACGAGGAATCGACAAGACCGACGAGGGACAGTTGAGATTACACGAGATTGCAAAGTCAAAAAAGCAGCACAACGGTGTAAAAGAGAGAAGTAAGCCGCCTGGACCATGGCCCATGTGTGTGCATGTGTGTACAACGACTGGGTATTAGTTCCAACTTACTAACGACATTACAACATTAAAAAAAGAATCCGGTGGCCGATCACTTTTTATTCCTAGCACTCTTCCTTCTAAGCTTTCTGGCATGTGTCAAACGACTAATTTTCATTCTTATTCTCGAAAGCTGGCTCCGACGAATTTCATTTCGCTGACAGATCTGGTATATCAGAAATGGATTGTGGGAGTGTGAAAGTGTGGGAGTGTGGGTGTATTTTGCTTTGCATGCTCTCTCTTATTCTTTGCTCAATCGCACGCCCATATCGGTTTTTATGCTTTCTCTATCCCATGCTGTCTTGTCTTCTTACCATGGGCCAATTCTTCCTTATCAAAAGATCAACAACTACCAATCCGACCGACCGACATAGAGAATTAAAAATTCCCTCACACAGAAGCTCACTTCTCACAAAAGGCCAAGCGCATGATAGTGTGAAAAAGGGAAGGAATGATAGAATGGCACCACATCGACTAACAATCACCTGGCAACCCGGCAACCCGGCATCTTTTGTTAGCCGGGGCGGCCATCGTTCAATTGCTTGCTTGGATGATCCCGAAAGGAACGTCGAAAGAGAAGGCAATTCTCCTAGACAAATCGATACTCCTAAGAAAAAAGGATGGGAGAGGCGCGTCATATACCAAGGAAGTTGTACGAATGTGACGATGTTGAGACATGAGTGGAGTGAGGCCAGGAACCAAGGCGCATTTGGATATAAAAGACAGATCGCTCCTTCAAAACAAGACAAGAAAGCTCCTTTGGGATGTTCTCTCGTATGGCTGTTGTTGCCGATTATTTCTCACGCATCTTCGATGACCTCTTGATCATTCAATTCAGGCACACATCAAGTCACACTTTGTGGTTGTGCGCGGGTGCGTGAGTGAGTGAGTGAGTCAAGAGCGAAGTTTACTCTTCTCTCTCTACCTACTTCTTGCAATCGCATTCAAAAAACACACACCGACGCCCATTTCAGGAACTAGCCATGACAGTTACACCAACCCCAGAACAGAAGCGAATCTTTTTGTCATCCCTCAGGAGATCCCTCGGTCAGCTCGGCCTCGACATCGTCCATCCCTTTGCTGCCCAAAGGTGCGTTCGCAATCTGCTCTATTAGTCATAAAGTGTTGCACGAACTGCTGTACAGAGCCAACCCAAAAAAAAACACACTGTTAACCAACGAACGGACTTGGTATTGATGATACTCTAAAGCTACAACTCAACAACTCTTGGCCAGAGCAACCCCATGCCGACATTTAGCCAGACCTCGACCCTGTCTATCATCGTCGGAAGCCACAAGACCTTCTGGAAGACCTTCCTCGCCCAGCACTACCCTTCAAAGTTCAACTCCGAGGCAGAAGCCAAAGACCCCATGGACCACTACTGTGAGCGGCTCATCCCCAGAGTCACCCTCCAAGCCCTCCAGGACGCTCAATTGTGTTCGGACAAGGAAGGCCAGGAACTCACGACGACATTCTCGGTCGCCTTTTCGCACTGGAGGATCACGGTACCCCCTGCAGGAACGCCTCCACCTGGATCAAAGCCTACAGGCTTTGTCGCACCGCCTGCCACCACGCTTCCTATCCAACACGTTGCTCAGGCCGCAGGATTCGCCTACTTTAACCCCATTGCGTTCCTGAACGTTCATCCTGTTTACGGTCCTTGGTTCGGCATGCGAGCGATTGTGATGGTTGATTTGCCCTATGACCTCTCGGACAATGCGGAGTTGTTGATTACGGAGACTAACAAGACAGGCACCTATTCCCGGGATTCCAAGCCGATTGAGGTCAACCCTGCGTTTGAGAAGCTGGCACCCGAGGAGATTGAGGTTAGGAATGCAGCATTGGAGGTGACCAAGACGGCGCTGTTGACGAAGGGCTGGAATGCGGAGGATTGGATGGACTGGGTTGCGTTCCGCCAGAGCCTGACGCAGGACAGGCCAGAGTGGATTCCCTGGCGGTACTCTGATAACCAGATGCGGTACCACTACCAGAAGAAGCCCGAGTTCCTGGAGGAGTGCGCTATCAAGTTCCAGCAAGGCCAGGAGCAGTGCACCTCTCCTATCTAGAACTTGAAATAACAACCCATCAAAGTGACTGCCAATTCTTTTCTTTTTATTTCATTTCACTTTCGCGTACTTGGTGTTGGCCCCTTCTCGTTTCTTTTTGTTTTTGCATTCTCTGTCTCATTGCCAGGCCCAACTGTTCTTTTAGACAACAACATTCTCCATCCCCTCCACCATGTCCAAACGAGGCACAGACAACCAGCTCACAAAGGACAACTATGACCAGGAAGACCACGACTTGGGCACCCAGATGGGGACATTCAAGATGGCATCAGTTGATGAACTCGCCAGACGGCCGTATGTTAATCTCTCCACTTCTTGCTGTTGCTTCTTGTTCTGTTCCATTTTCGCACCCCTGATTGTTGACGATATAAAAAGTATCTAAATGCGCTTTTCATCTCATGCCATACTGTGGATCCTAACGACTTGGTACTTGTAGAATGAAGGTCTTGCGGCGATTGGGATCAAAGGTACAGCCTAAAGAAGTTCAGAGGAAGTGGTACAAAAGGGCTAATTGCACATTCAGCCCGCCACCAAAAAATGGCGCACCATTGCATTTGTACTCACATTTTTATCTGTCTTACTTTTGCTTGATTGCCATTACTAGACGTTATCCAACTTGAGCGACGATGGCAAAAGACCTTCACCAACAGGATCACAATCTTCCACCCCCAGCATGCCGTCATCGTCGCCTAGTTTAAAAGCGGCCGCATCGTCATCCACCAATCCGTTCGCAAACATCACTTTTAGCGGAACTCCTGCGAAGAACACAAGGATCTCAGGAGGAGCCAAGAGTTCCCCCACTGGATCGCAGTCAAGCAACGGTATGTTGTCAACATTTCTTCAACGATCACAATGGCAATCGGCCTTCTGTACTCGATACATGCCCAAGAAACTCACATTGATGTCAATCACGACATCGATAATCGCATAGACTCTACAGGAACGACAACAACAGACACGACAACAAGACAAAAGGGACAACTTGGCAAAACGAACAGCACAGTTACGAGCTCAGCGACCACACCAGTCCCACTCGTATCTCTATCCAGTTCAATTCTCGCCAAGGGAGCTTTTACTTTCAACATTGGCAGCAACGCAAACACCCTCGCCATTACAACACCCGTCCCCACTGCTGCTGAGCCACTCACAATCGATCGGGAAGGCTACGAGAGGTCACTTCGCGGAGTCAACCAGGGTTTTCTGAAACGGATCCAGCGTGATTTGGAGCACAATGCCACCACGAACCTCGCTGGAGCCTTTGAGGCATACATTGAGCAACGCAAGAAAGTGAAGAAACAATACCCGGGGATTGAAGAGCCCCAGACCATTGTCATGAGTGGCACCGATACCAGTAAGCATAATTCCGGATATGGCCTTTAGCCTTCCCGCCTCATTCCATTACATGAATGTTGACAAAATCTGCCGTCATTGTTCTTCTAAAACATGCGTAGGTGACATCACTCCCGTGAAAAAGACGTTTTCAGGACTTGGAGTGAATGCAGTGCCAGGAGATACAACATCAACAGCATCGGGATCGGTCCAGACACCACCAACATCTTCTCCATTTGCAAATCTCGCAGGAAGTGGTCTCTTTGGGTTCGGATCCTCATCTATCAAGGGAGCCATCGACCCCCCCAGGAACCCAACCTCGTCAGCTGCATGGATTATTAACAACAACAATACCGGAATGAACGGATCTGCTACGTCGTCATCATCGTCATCGGCTGTTCATCCTTTTGGCTCACCTTTTTCCGCTACTGTGACAACAAATACCCCGTTTGCAACCTCTTCGTCGGCGACTACGAACAAACCATTCTCCTTTCAGCCAAAGCCCTTCTCAACTGGGCGGTCAGGATCCATGTCTGGAGGATCTTTTGGATCACCTGCGCCAGGATCACCTTCTACCACACCAAAACCTTTTGTGCTCCAGACTACTTCGAATTCACAAAGGGCCGCCTCCACCACCTCCGCCGCCACAAGCAACGTAGCATCGAGCAGTAGTAATCATGGCGATCAGGAGAGGGTGGCTGATGATACAAAGGCGGAACTGGTCGATTCTAGAAAGGGCGAGGAGGACGAGCGGACGGTATACGAGGCCCGGGCAAAGTTGTTTGGTAGCGAGAATAACGAGCACAAAGATTTGGGCATTGGCCAGTTCCGAGTCAACGAACATACGATCTCCAAGAGGCGCCGGATGATTATGAGGATTGGCGGCACCGGCTTGATCACGATCAACAGTGAGTCTTGACCACTATTTGTGCTAGATTTTACATCGTTTTTCTTTTTTTCGTACGATGGAAATTTGACCGCTAATTATTTTCTTTGTGTGTTTTGCTCGTACCAGGTTGGATTATTCAGGAATTGCCGCCACAGCGGAATAAGAACACGCTGACCATCTTTGCCATCGATAACGGGAAACCAAAGCGGTTCATGCTGCGTGTCAAGGAAGAGCAGACGGCTCAAGAACTCCTCCAGGCTTTGGAAGGTGGCCAAACCGTATGATCACACACACACACCTCCCCCCCCACTACTCCCGGTCGATTATATTCATTAATAAATCTTGGCCTTAATTCAGTTTTTGCGATGGCCACGGGGAATGACTTTTGTTTATGACGTTACCGCGTTGGCTAAAAGATGGATTAGCTGAGCGCGGTGGAGTTCGGACTGCCGGGGTTTGGCTTGATACGCCCACGCGACACAGTAATGGTCCGCCAGCAACTGCCATTCTTCCACCTCATCAAAAATCTCCAGACTTGATATCCTATTATTGTCCCGCATATTCAAAACATGTATGAAAAAAAAAAAGGTCAGTGATTAAGCAAAAAAAAAAAAATGGATTTGTGTTGTGTCTCAAAAATAATAACTTACCGTTTCATTTCCTGTTCAGAGAGGGATTCATGGAGTTTATTCATGTTGACGGCATGGGCAGCCTGCCATCCCCGCGACGTGAAGCGCTCCTCCTGACTCTTCAATGACGGGTACGCATGGATCCCTGGCAACTCGATTTGTCGCGTCTGAAAAAAATATATATGGAAAAAAAAGGTGCAATTCAAAAGGGCAGTTGGTATCAAGCTTTTGAAGCTGTGGACAAAAGATGCTTTGCTGACAATTTTTTTTTTTGTTTTTTTTGCTCCTTTTCGTACTCTGAGGTTCCTGAGCATCATGGCGCCAAAAGCGTCGGCTGGGTTGATCTGCTCATAGACAACAAACAATGAGGCGTCCATGTTGGTCCCGACCCAATTCACGATCGCGTCGGAGTCTCCTGGTTGAATGTAGATCAACACGCACTCCGAGAGGAACAGCGTTGGTAGACTAGGAGAGTTAAGAAGAAGGTCGAGTGAGAATATGAATAACGGTAAATTGATTCGTATGTTATATTTGTTTTCTGAAGGCCATGAGTACATACCTAGTATCAAATCCTTGCGCGTTGAGTTTTGGGACGATGGACTCCGTGAAATCGCGCAAGTCGCCCGATAGGAGACAATAATCCTTCGAGTACAGTTCTGTTCCTCCCAGACCTAACCAACCAGGGCATACGTACAAAAAAGAAAAATAATAATATTAGAGCCCATTAGGCCAGCTGGCGAGATCATGTATGACACACAGAGGAGGCAACATATTTTCCATACCGAGCTTCAGGTCTGGGTCTCCAATGATATCTGTGAATGCCTTGTTCTTCTTGATCACGACCGCCTTCTTGGCTGTCGACTCTGGAAAGTCAATCTCAAAGTACTTGTGCGCCGAAAGGCCCTTGGCCTGGGGCGAGAAGGAAGAGCAATCGTGTGTCAATCAATTGGCTACAAGCATTTTTTTTGATTCTGATTACGCACTCTGGTGATCAAAGTGCATAGAGTGCGGTACCTTGAACTTGAAGTATCTGGTATCTGAGCCGCAACCCAACGACACAATCTGTTTCTTGATCCCTGCAGCAGCAGCAGGTGTAGTTGTAGTAGCTGTAGTTGTAGAAGTGGGAGTTGATGCGGACAGTGTGGTTGCAGATGCTGGCGCTGTTGCCGTTGTCGTTGAGCTTTGCGTAATGTCACTTTTGATAAACTGTTCCGTGAATGTGTCCAACGATCGCGTCCTGAGATAGGAGCCTCGGTTGATCAATGGAGGTCGACGCGACGGGCGCTTCACAAAGTGCTTCACAAAGGGATCATCTAGGTACCCCAGGTTCACCGCAGACCTATTATGCCATTAAAAACAAGAGGCCAAGAAATATGTAGACTGCGTTAGCGAGTGAGATACTTCTCATACCTTTTCATGCTTGCCTCTCTCTCACCCTCCCCTGAGACGTGTTACTGCGCTGCGTACAGTTTGCTGATGATGGCGTCGTCGTCGGTGCCTTTGATCACGTCGTCTCGTGCGACCTGTGGTTCGTCGTGCATCATGGACGGAGGGAAAGGACCTCGTCCAGGTGCTCCAGGTGCTGCAGGTCCTCCCATTCTGCGTGGTCCTGGCCAAAAGGGCGGACTTTTATTTCCCATTCCTCCAGACATTGTTGGATTGTAAGTGTTAATCGTGAGAGAGGTGATGGAAAAGAAAATGAAAAGTGAAGTCTGGGCTTGGGCCTTCGCGAGGGAGGAGGGGACACGAGGAAGCGTGGTAGAATAAGCCAGTCACTTTGCACTAAGAAAAAAATGAACAATGAAAACGACCCAAAAAAGAAGAGATCTCGGGGAAACAAAAACGATCTTTCTTCATTCACAAATCACCTTTTTATAACCAGGAACAACACCAAGAAAAGCATGGCCACAGGAATACCAGGACGGTCTCTATCATTCTCATCAACAGGGCGGGTATCACACATGCTGTTATCTCGCAGCAGAGTTGTACCCACCCTCGCAACCAGGTTCACCTCAAGAACCCTTACAACCGCCACAAAACCAGCAGCAGCCACAGGAGCAACAGAGCCAGAGGAGCCACCAAGGATATTGCCCCATGTCGACCCCCGATTTCAATACGGCGATGTCATTATCATCCATGACAGCAAAGGAGAACGACGACTCGTCGGACCTCTGAGGGTGAGTTTCTTTTGCTAGCTTAGCCCAATTATATCAAGCCGTTATTTTGGATCTATCATTGGCATCTTTCGGGACTGATCACTGATCAACCACCATTTTCAATATCAATGAACTTTAGAAAGGCGGTTTCAGGGATAACAACGTCGGTAGATTGAATCACGACTCCATGATCGGAAAGACCCCTCTCTCAATCGTCGAAACTCAATTAGGAGCAAAGTTCTCCCTACACTGGCCCAGCCTCGACGAGTAAGTCTCAAGGCTGCTCGCTTTACGATCAAGGAGAGAAAGTACTAAGTCCCAGTGTTAACAATAACAACTCTCATGCGGCATAAAAAAAACAATAGGTACTCGACAAGGGTAAAGAGACAAGCCAGTATCATGTATCCCAAGGACGCCACAACCGCCGTCCACCTACTTGACCTCTTCCCAGGCGCACACGTCCTCGAAGCAGGAACAGGAAACGGATCCATGACAATGTACATCCAACGCGCCATCCTCGGTCCCGGATCTCACCTAGACACTGTGGATATCCGGAATAACCACTCCCTCCAGGCTGAACAAAACATTGAGCGCTTTTGGAGAGGCATGTATCGTCCCGGGATCACATTCTGGAGATCTGTCGGCGGGTTGCAGAGGGTCATCAAGCGCCTCACAGGCGAAGACCAGGGCAAAACCCACTATCCGGGATCAGGACCGTCTTCGGCTCAAGAACAAGATTCTACTGTCCTCAATAAGGATGGACGCCCAATGACAGCTCTGGAACTCAAGCGCAAGGAGCTGACAGAGGCCAATGAGGTCCTGCCGCCCAATCCTCACCCCAAGGGCCACCAATACGACGCCATCAGCCTCGACCTGCCTGATACCCTCACCGTCCTCGATGATCTCTTACCACTCTTGAAACCCGATCGGCCCATGTGTCTTTACATGGTCAACATGTCCCAGGTCCTGGAGCTCGTTCAATGGATGCGAAAGAACGGCGCTGGATACTCGGTCGAAAAGGTCCTCGAGGTCGGTTGGAAAGAGTGGAGCGTCCGATCGGCCGCTGTCAGGAGCAAAGTCAAGGGCAGAGTTCATGTCGGTGGCTTTGGGGACGTCTCACCCCTTCAGCAGTCATCTGGAGATGGTACTCAAGTAGCTGCTACCACAGCTGCCGATCATATCCCAGATGATGCTGTCGGGTGGGTTTGTCGACCCCTTCATATGCCCATCGGACACACTGGTTTCCTGGTCCAGCTCCGAAGGAGTTCCGCACCTTCCTCCGAAGAATCCAACACACCCATTGCATAAACCATGTATTCTCCATAATCCCATAGACCATACAAGCATACTTAGAAAGCATACAAAAAAAACAAGCATGATATTATTTATGATTCCAATTGTGGCCGTGTTTACTCATGATCCACCTCCATGGCACCCTCCGCCTGCTCAACATCAGTTCCAGCAACTGGCGCAGCGTCTGTCTCCATAGGCGCAGAAATACTCTGCAAATAGGCCTGCTGCTGCTGGATAGCATACTGCTGCTGCTCCTTCATCATCCCAAAGACATACTCGCCCATCTGGTCGATATCCTGAATCTCATAATCCTTGCTCGTCGATGCCGATCCTTCTTCCTCAGCATCAGCCTTTCCTGCCTTGCCCTTCTTGGCGCCCTTCTTGTCCTTCTTGGCGCCCTTCTTGCTCGCTTTGCTGTTCTCAGTCTCCTCCTCTTCGTCAGCCTTGGCCTTGGCATCAATTAGGCGGACAGTGTTGGGATACATCTCGCCAGTCTTGAGCCACAGCTTAGTTGGGCGCTTGAGCAGTCGCTTGAAAGCAGGCTCCAACTCGTGACAGTTCTCAAACAACTTCTGGCGACCAAAAATGTACAATCCAAGACGAGCACGAGACAACGCCACAACCAGACGACGCACATCACGGACGTGACCCACAGCCTTTGTCCTCACCAACGACAGTAACACATCTAAAGGTGACAAATAGAAATAAGTAGGGTCAGATAATTGAACGTGAGGAAAGACACAGGTAAAGCATGCAAAAGCCATAAGAAGACTTACAGTCGTTTTGTTGACCCTGGTATTTATCGACGGTAGCGACGGTGGCAGGGCGCCCAAAGATAGGGTTCCAGCTACAGCGCTGGTTGAGGACATCGCGGATCAAGTCTTTCTGACCGTTATAGGTCGTCAGGATGGTGATCTTCTCGGCAGGGTAGCCCAAGAGGCGCATGTACTGGTAAACAGCCACCACGTACTCGGCCTCGCCCAAATTCTGGATGAAATGGGGTCGGGGTGCTGTCTCGCCCTGTCCCTTGTAATTGTTGACGTTGATGAACTGGAAATCGTGAAGGAATCCTGGGTTGGCAAACTTGTACTCTTGGCGCTCGGTGACGTTGGGTAAGTCTCCGAGACTCTTGTACCGCCACTTGTAAAGGTCTGCCATATCTGAGCGAGCACGACCCTGTGCATCCAGCTCGATGGCTGGCACGCCCAAACGGACAAATCTCGTAAACATACTCTGCTCCATGTTGCCGTACTGCTGAAATGCAGTGTTCTTGACAACGGGAGGCAACTGGTTGTGGTCTCCGATCAAAATGACGCGCTTGAGGCGGTTGACACCATCCTCGGGGTCCTGGAGCAGCATAGGGATGAAAGTCTCGACCTCCAGAATCTGAGCAGCCTCCTCCATCACAATGTTGTCGTATTTGAAGCCCAGGTTGACGAGCTCACGGCGCTTAAGGGCAGCGTGGGTACAAGTCATGGCAATGATCTTGGCCTCCTTGGTGAGCAGGTAGTTGGCACGGTCATAGCTTGTGCGGAGCAACTCAAAAGCAGACACCTCCTCCAGTTGCTCAAACAGCTTGCTCAGATGACGGAAACATCCCTGAGCGACATCCAGAGCAGCCTCGGCGGTCCCACAGTCCGAAAACAGTGGTACGGGGGCGTTGATGAAGAACCCGCTGAAGGGGAATGATGTCGTGATCAACTCCAGCGACTCTCCGTTGGCTGTCACCTTACTCTCAAACTCTTTCCACTTGGGAACAACGTGGTAGGAGTAAAAGTAGCCAGCGGTCTCGCAAGTAGATCCATGTTCTCCTCCAATCTCCATAGACTGCGCCAGGCGATCCACCTCCGCGAGCAAGCTGACGCGCTTCTCCAAGAATGATGTCACGCGACCGTATTTGCTGAAGCTGAGTTCCGTGTTTAGTTCCTCCTCTCCGTGACCAAGACGAAGTAAGTGGCGCTCGTCAACATCCAGAGCAATGATCTTCTCAAAGAGCTGGTTCAGGGCTTGGTTCGAGTGTGTGACGAGGAGAGTGTGCTGGTTGGGGAAGTTGTTGTAGAGGTTGGCAATGATCTGGACGGCGACATCAGTCTTTCCCGTTCCAGGAGGTCCGACCACCAAGGTCAATCCTGGGTTTGTTCCTGCCTTTATCGCCTCGACTTGAGTGGGTGTGAAGCGGACCTTGTTCGTGTTGGGGACATCCTCGGGATAAGGACCCATGTTGGGGGTCTTGTAAGTGCTGACAATGAGCTCATCCTGGGCCTGTTCCTGATTCTGGCTTGCCTTCTCCTTCTTTGCCTTCTCGCTGCCCTTCTTCTTCTTGGATCCAGAGGCTGCTGCCTCGGGTGCCTCAGGGAACATGACAACAAAAGGCGCGGTCAACGAGTTCTCGTCACCGTCCTTAGCCTTGATCTTCATGCCGGGGAAGGATGCTTTGAGATGGTCCAGGTCCAAGAAAGTGTCGCGGAAATCGATCTCCTTGACTTGGCGCTTCAGCTGGGAGTAGTGTGCACTGTTGGGGTTGCCATAACCCAAGAACACGTCGTGGAGCCACTCGGGAACCATCAAATCGCTCTGCATCAGGTCGCGGATGGTCTCGAGAACAGGCTTGAAGTTGTTCTCCTGGGGTTGGCGGCGGAGAACAATGTTGAAGGTCTGGTATACATCGCTTCCTCCAGACTTCCTGGCAGCCTCCTGATCGATCTTGTACTGGTTCGAATCTAAGGCAATCCTGAAGGTGCGAGTGTTGCCTGTGCGGTGATCCTGGATCAACTTGGGATCGCTCTTCTTATAGTCGAATGGCTTGCCATTGGGACCGATGACGCTAACAACCTGGCATCCACGGACGTGCTTCAAGCCGTAGTGTTTCCTGAACGAAACCTTGCCATCCCAGTGCTCGTACGACTCCTCCTGTGCCTCTATTGTCAACAAGAACAAAATATCGTGCTCGCGGATGGCCTCCCACTCTGCCTGAATTGCCTCGGTATATTTCCTGACGTTAAAGGTGACATCGGCTGTGATCAGCGATGGCTTGTCCTCGCCCAAGTTCGGTTTTGCTACCTCAACCATCCTAATTAGAAGAGGGACGAGTAACAGTCAATGCATAATTCGATTCTGTTCATTAGGGTAGATGTGTCACCAAATCTCGCTGAGCTGACTTACTTGAAATAACTAATGGGAGCAGCCATTCTAGACCATCCTGAAAAAACGGTGGCGCCGTCAATAGCTCCAGCTCTGGGTCCTAGTCGCCGCACTGCGTCCTCAATGTCCTGACGAATCTCGTAGTTGCTTTCGAGGCGGAAGAGATTGAAGTTGCGGAGAAGGTAGTCGTGAAGAGTCAAGAACTGCAGGTTGAGTTTGGGCAGAGCGAGTGGCCGATCGGCATTATACATCTCTTCCTTCACAGCCGCATCCTCGAACAGTGCGTTTTCATCTGGGTAGAGGGGTAATGCGTTGATACGTTCGATCTGGCTGTGGCGCTTTTCGAACTGGAGCAGCAGCACCTCCAAGAGCATGATTCGAGAGTGGTCTGCTTCTGGGTCGGTGATATTTGTTGTCCTGATGTTGAGGAGTTGGCAGAGCTGGATAAGTTGCTCCTGGTTCAGGCTCTCAAAGTGCTTTAAGAGGGCTTCCCGGGACTCAATGGCGCGAAGGTTGCTCATAGCAAGATCCATCAATTCCTCCCTGAAATCCGCAAAGGCAATACGCTATTTTCACCATGATATAACAGTTGTAACATTAGTCTCCATTACGCTCTTGCAAAATGAACGACATCCGTGTTAATGTGATATCCAAGTTTTTACCTGCAGCTTTGATAACCTTGCAGCGTGAATCTCCGTCATCTCCTCCTTTGTGAGCGCCAGTCCAGTATGGCCGTTGATCTCGAATCCGGTATAAAAGGCGAGGATGTCCAAGAGCTGCGAGAAAAGAACACTAGACTCCTTGTTACTCGCGAACTTTGATAGCTTACAGATGGCGACAATCTGGTGATCCTCGACCAATGTGTTGAAATATCTTCTTGTTGGAAGCTGAGCTTCAAGGTCGATCAAGAACTCCATGAACCGTTCGCAGTATGCAATTTTTTCTATCAAATGGTACGAGATGCAGCGTGTGTCAGACAAATATCGACACCAGCAGTATTTTCCGTCGAACCTGCAGTGATATTTACCTTCTTCATCCTGCTCAATGCTTTCAAGAATCGCAACAAATCCCTTCATCATCTCGCTTAACCATGTCCGCTCGAACACTGCCTTCGCCTGTTGCTCCTTGTCTACGAGGCAAGGGTTACAAAAAAGACGCCAGTTAAATCTAATTCTCTGCACGGATTTCTGTCAACAGCTGTCAGCAAACGACCGATGGATCCTTACCATAGGTATCAAACTTCTTTTCAAGATGCTTCCAGAACTTCAACAGTTGGGGGTATTCCTTGAACTCTACTTCCCGCTTTGCTGCCGAAACCAGTGAGTGCCAGGTTGAAAGAGACACAAGTCTAGGATTATATGAAAAGGAAGAAGTGAATAAGTACATGGGAAAAGAACAGATTGTAAGAATGAATGGTATGGCTATTGTCCGTTGTTCGTACCTCATGCATTCCGATCTGATAAGGGGGTTCTCAAGACTCTGAAAGCAGTTGATCATGAAAACGACGAGATAGCACTTCAGCTTCATGTCCGACTCTTGTAAACAAAGTCGCAAAACTTGCTCAAAGAATGCTGGGAAGTGCTCAGGTGACTCTTCAAAGGCGCCTATTATGACAAACAAACGTACGCTGCTGTTAGATCGTTCATGCTCTCCCAAATACTGAGGCGTGATGAAGCTCACTGAGATTTTCCCGCAACTTACTCCAGGCACCAACTCTGCTCCTGAACTTCTCGTTGACCATAAGAACGATCGAAAGGACGTGTATCGTTGGAGACTGACTGGGATTGTAATGTGGCCAGAGATACTATGGTCGGGAATGAATGGATCAAATACGTCCAGTTAGTTAGGTTGTGTTCTAATCCGCTACCTATAACCCATACAAATGTCCAACTGTCGACACTGCTTTACCTTCTCCAGGTATTGACTGACTTCCAGAAGAGCCAACTTCGCGACGCTGTAGTCATTCTTGACCAGCTCATCGTTGTAGACACGCTCGATCAACTGGGCATCGTATTCGGTGGCTGCAGATTCGCTCTTAGACCATGCCTCTGCCAGGGTGGCGACTGAATCAGTCTGCATGTCCTTGACGGTTGGTCGATGAGACCCAGTTTGAGGCGCATTACTGCCTTGAGTTTGAGCCTGGGGCTGATCCTCTATGGCATCCTTGTCTGAAGGCTGAGCCTTTTTTTCAGAGTGTTTAGGCGGCATGTCTCTTGGGGTAGGATGTGACGTGATGTGAGAGGTTGAGAATGAGTGGCGAGTGGATGATCCCGCGTTCCTGACCGATATTGAGTTCCTGGTCCTGACAAGAGAAAAGTACGAGGATGCTGATGCTGAGGAGAGAAATGGAATTGAGAAAATTGATTGAAAGAGGAACAATGGGCGAATAAATTACGTCACCGCAGACGCAATCAGTGGGCCTGTCCTGCGATCTGGACTGTGTGGTGTGTGGGTGCTACACTCAAGAAATGCTAAACTCTGGGGATTCGAGGAAAATAAACTCAGAAACCGTAGAAGGCGCGCGATAGCTGGATATGGTTCTTCTCATGCTCAAGGGGTTTCCAATACCTTGTCGCGTGCAATTTAAGCACCACGATTACCTGTGGAGATGATAGATACGCCAAAGGATGATGAGAGTTGCGGAAACTGAAGGGTTTGCACGAGCCAGAGGACCTCTTCCACTAAAATCCCCTTTAAGTATTCGCCAAGAAAAATTCCGCGGGAGATAGGACTCCCCGGAGTCGTTCACTATGTAGAAATCGGGTGCTAGAGGGAATGTTCTTTGTTCAATTGAGAAGCCAAGGGAGGACTGAAGATCCGTCTTTCTTCGTTATAGTCGTCACGAGGGTAGGAGGCGCTCATAAAGTGAGCACACAGCTGCCTTGTTCCTCTTCTCCCCCCTTTTCTTATCAATCGTTCTTTCTTCCCTTCGTGGCAATAAAGCATGGTACAAGAAGAGAAAAAAGCCGGGAGTTGGTTGGCTGTTTTTTTGTTGTTCTTTCCTTGGCTTGGCTTATTAGCCTCCCTCCTCCTTTATTAAAAATGGCATCGGTTTTTTGAAATCGGCATCGAAATCCATTTTTAATAAAGGAGGGAGGCTATTGTTTCCCTGTGCACCCACCATTAGGTGTTGCTTAAAAAAGCAGTCCATCCCATCCCATCCAACCTTCTCTTGACCCCCTTCGCCTTTTTCGTTATCCAGCCAGCCCTCTTCTTACTCCAGACCCTTCGCCCTTTTTCACCACTTTCTTCTCTTCTGTCTTGTCCCTCCCACTCGCCAACTCACAAACAACCAACAAAAACAACTTCCATCCACAAGCTGCATGCACAAACACCAATTCACAACCTGACAAGACAACAACCATCCACCATGACAAAAAAACAGTCGGCGCCGACTCACAAACAGCAGTCCTCGGGGCACGGTCATGAAACCACCCACCAGGCCCAGGCCCCGTCCACGGCATCAGCCCAGCACGGAGGCCACCTGCGCCAAACCAAGACACAAGGCCGGCAGCAACAAAACGACCAGTCTCAGAACCACCATAACAGCCTCCACCAGCACCAGGGGCCCAACGTTGGCGAGGAGCTTGGGCTGGGCGCAGCACAAGGCGGTCCATTCTTTATGAAGCCACTCACCACGCAGCCAGACTATCGATTCAACCTCTACGTCAAAGGTCTCGCCCCTACAACAACAACTAGAAGTCTCTATGAACTATTCAAACCGTACGTTTTTCCTTATTATTATTGTTGGCGAGAAATCATTGCTATTATTGTTGGCGATGGCATAAAAAAGAGCATGGCTGATAAATCATCAGGTGCCACTGTTTCTTAGCTATTGCTTCTGCTGCGTCCTTTTTTTTGCAATATGTACAGTCCATGTTCATGCTTCCTGGCCTGATCGTTATTTCTGCATGAAAAATGTCCGAATAGGTATGGTCATATCCTGGCTTGTAAAACAATCGTCGACAACGAGTCTGGATTATGTCGAGGCGGGTTCGTTCTATTCGACAATCAAACTAGCTGTAGCGAGGCACGACGAGCGCTGACCCACCAGGGTCTCTATATTGCCGTGGCGCATGAATCAGTCTCTATCAAGAATATCCCCGTTGCTTCTGAAGACCCTCCAGCCGCAGTCGAGAAGGCCGTACCCAAGGTAAGGGCAGACCATCGTGGTCGCTCTTATTTTTTGAGAGTGTAATTACCCCTCGTGCTGACGTCGTTCCTGGTTTTCAGTTGGACGATAGCGATGCATTTCCCAGCCTCCCTATCAAACCACGGAGGAAAAAGAAAGCCCAGAAAAAGGTTCAGCTCAACCCGCCTTCGCCACCTTCGCCGCTTCCACCTTCGCCGCTTCCACCTTCGCCGCTTCCAGCTTCGCCTCCTCATACCCCGGACCACCGTAACCAACAAATAGAATCGAACGGGGCATATCCTCCTGAGAAGATCAACACGCCTCGAATGCTGACTCCCCCCTGGGATTCTGAGCATGCAGACAAAGTCGACACCCCTTCCAGCTGCGACTCTCAGTTTGGCCATGCATTCAACACCTCTTTCTTGGACTTTGAATTCGATACAGGATTCATCGGGACACATCAGCAAATGCTCGCCGACAGCTTTAACATCAATGAGTACGAACGACGCCCATCTTTGCTGGAAAACAAGACTTATGGGACTATCGTTGACGTCGATCGTTACATGGTAGGACAACATCTTAGGATTATCCTAGCGTGTGTTGATTATGGCGCTAAGACAAGTGATGCTAGAATCTATAATATGACATATGCTCGGTCAAGACTCTGATAGCCGATCCTTTTGTTCGTTGTTTCGTTTTGTTAGGATATGTGGGATATGAACACTGCCGCCGCGCCCCGAATGTCTACGAACAGCGACGGAGCGCGCCAATCTATCCATCCGAGTGGCGCTCAACTCTCCAGCACTGTGATTGGCGACTTCATGCTGGAGGACCTACCTAGTCGTGAATCGGTGCTGTACTTCAATGATTTACCAGATGGACTGTCATATCGGGAACTCTTTGAGACATGCGCGTCGTAAGTGAACCAGTCCTGCTCGATAGATAACTGTATCTCAAGGTTATTATTGACGACCTTGACGCTTGTCTTTCTTTGACCTTCTCTGTCTATGTATTCCCTCCATTAGCTATGGACCGTTGATTCTGACTTCGGTCGAGATTCGCTACATCAACGAAGATTGCTGCGGCCAAGGAAAAGTCACGTTTGAGTCCCATCGAGACTCCGAGGAGGCCTTAGCCGCTTTGAGCAAATTGAACTACAACGTGCACCGCGGAGATTTGGGCGAAATGTACCCCAGTGAGCCCAAAATTGACGATCATCTCTACAAACACTATCTCGAGCAGCACCAAACCTATCTGCGACTTGCAGACACAATTGCCTTTGACTCTCCCAACCAGGCCATGACATCGACCAACCCGCACGGGTTCTTTGGCACCACGCCCTCTGCCAGATCACTCACACACTTGAATAGCAACTCAGGCGACATGAGATACTCGTGGAATACGCCCAACTCCTCAGACTCGATTTACCATCCTCATTCGAACGACTATATACGCGACGATTCAGGCTTGGAACTCGACATGAATGGACTGTCCATCAAGCCTGAGAGCATCTATCAACTTGGCGTGCCCCAGCAGCACTCTCTGAACTCCCCAGCTTCGTCTTCGACCACGTCGCTGCCAGCTGGCAATGCCTGGACACAGGACCATTCCTCTGACGACTCGTTCCAGGAGTCAGACAGTCCAAGCACTCTTTCTCCCTCTGGCGATCCATTGCAATCTGCCGAGCCCGCCTCTGCTCCTGCCACCAGCCCAGCAAAGTTCATTTCTTACTCTGACATAGTCAAGGTCCCTCCTAAGCCTGTGGTCGTGCAGCCCCCACGTGTCGAGAAGAATGGCGAGGTTTACTTCAATCCTCCCAGTCAGGATCTGAAGCGACGAGGCAACACTAGCAAGTCCTTGGACGAGAAGGAGTACCGACTCAACTTGTATCTGAAGGATCTTGAGCCAACGATGGATGAGTTCAAACTTTATCAGATCTGTGTCCAGTAAGTATCGTCGTTGGCTTTATTCGATGATATTAAGAGCTAGTATAATGGTTGATATCAAGACTAACTATGGTTCCCATTAATTCCTTTTGTTGTTTTGTAGGTTTGGTCCTGTCATGTCTTGCAGAACCATTACAACCCACCACGGAGTCTGCACGGGTCTTGGATTTGTGATGTACATCAGCAATCAGAGTGTGGACCGAGCCATCAAGGGTCTGAAAGAACTTGGGTACCATGCCGAGGTTGCCATTCAGTCGGCCACCAACAAGCTCCGTTGTAAAGTGAAGTCGGACACTTTGTTCCTGCAAAACATCCCAGATAACATCAAGGAGGCCAAGGTAACTTTCAGCGACGGTGTACTTCTTTTTTAACCTTGCTCTGCTATTGGGTCTATACTCTGTTGGAATCTCTAGACTGATAACTCTTTCTTGTTTCGTTTTTTTTTATATTTTGGGTGAGAATCTCGTAGCTTCGGGATCATTTCCGATCCTATGTTATCAGCTCATGCAATATCCTAAAGGATCCTAAAACTGGACAGGGCAAAGGTGTCGCATTTCTTAAGTATGTGTTCTTGCTTCTTTCTGCCTTGCGGCGCATTGTCATGGTTTCAGTTTGATGCTCATAGCCTAACATCTCTATGTGCTATTTCTTCTGTTTGTATTGTAGGATGAAGAACGTGAAGGTTGCCGAGAGATTCATTGAGGAGTACCACGGTCGCATCCTGGGCAAGGACTGGAAGCTGCCTCTTCAAGTTTCGCCTGCGAAACATTAAAAGGGAACGTACACCCGTTTACGACTTAGGAAAAGGCTAAATGGACAGGGAACCCGATCAATTTAGGTATTCCTTTGTTTTTTTCTATGTCGGCTGCTTTATGTTTCCTCAATAGCACACACACGTCCTCACACAGTGTATGATGCCCCTCGCTTCATTTTCGTATTCTCCATACTTCATACTCGTTCCTTCCTTCCCTTTGCAGAAAGGTTTGATGAAAGAAAAATGCAATTTCAAAAAGGGTCAGCAGCATAATTATCAGTTGCAATTTCAGTTTCCAATAGATAGCAAACCCCGTTCGCTTGAGGACGAAGGGAAAAGATGGACTTAATAGATTGATTTCATTTTCGAAACACAACAGATTCATTAAAGACAAAGAGAAGGGATTAAATGAAACAGTGCCTAAACGCAAAGGGCTCTTCTCCACCGATGCTGTGTAAGCAGTTTTCTCTGCTGCGATGCTGATGCTATTGATTTGCTGCTACTATGACTATCGCTGGTTTTGGTTTGAGGAAGACCTTGCTTCGTCATGGGATATGTTGTTGAGACATGGAAAGGGAAAGTGAGGAAGAGAGTTTGTTTTTCTACCCCCATTCTCTCGTCAGATTGCTTTGATCGAAATCCATAAAAAAACACATCGAGAGAAGAGAGAGACCATGGGAAGAAAACTGAAAAAAATGGAGATTGGGAAATGCGATATGGAGAATTGGGGGCGAGCAGAAAAAAGTACGGAATGAGTAATGCTCATGGGTCCAGATCGGACCTTTCAGGTCTTTTTTTTCCGTTGTCCGTTTGCTTTGCCTTACTGCGCATGGTGACGGATGAGACGCAACATGGGTAAAGAATATACCCTGCAGTCGTAGGTTCATTGGGTAAAAAAAACACACGAGGTAGAATATCGATGTTCCCAGATCTCCTTGACCCACTTTTTTCATATTGCTGTGTTTTATTGTGTGTGTGTGTGCGTGTGTGAAAAGACTCATTAGGAGTGGGCGCAAGGGAACACATGAAGGAATAAAAAGTGGCGCTTCTTGTACGTACGATTTCTGCAATTTTACCCGTGGTATCACATTGACCATCGGATGGGCAAAACAAACAAGCAAGGAAGACTATATATGCATGCACCATGCATAGAAAGACGTTTTTATTACAAAGTAGATGTATGAACCACCAAAAGTGACACTCAAGACGAACCTGCCCTTGAACGGGTTTATGGCTATGGATGGAGATTTCAAAAGGTTTAGCCTGATGCCTTCTAACTTGACTTTTTGGCCTTTGCCTGAACCACAAGAACAACACCTCGCGTAAGAAAAGGAGTAAGAGGGGGGTGAAAAGGGGGTACAGAGGTCAAAGGATACAATGCAAAAAAAAACTGTTTTAAAGGTCAGATGTGGACAAAAAGAAATCTGAGCGACGATGCACCAATGCTTCCAAAGAATGAACCCTGGCCATCTCCTCAACCAACAAAAGCAAATGAGGTGGTTATACCCACTTTGCCTTGCCCTGCCGTACCATCCCTTTGTTTCTCTCCTTTCTTCCTTTCAGTTTGACTCCTGCAAACAAATGGGTCACCACATGAGGTCGAGAGGAACAATCGTGGCCCGAGACCCTAAATACAAGCATCCAACCAACCAACAACAAAAAGACAACAATTGTCAGCACGACATAAAATAGACACATGCACAAACAAACAAAAAAAATAAACGGCCCGCGCCACGCGGAAATAGATACTCAGCAAAGCGAGAGAGAGAGAGAGAGAGAGAGAGTGAGAGAGGAACAATCAAGAAGTTGGCGAGTGGATAAATGGATGGGCGTAAAAAAAACGAAAAAACAGGTAAACCGCCATTGAAAGACAAAACAGAAAAGCCCATCCAACTCCATGAAGGGAATGAATAACTGGAAGGAATGAATGGTGAATGAAACCACTTTTTCGAGTCGGCGACTGACCTCAAAGCAAATCAGCCACATCCGCCTTTTATCCATAAGGTGCCTGATCTCTTACCATGCCCTTGATTCGATGGAATGATTATGAACTGTGAAATGAATATTAAAAATAAAAGCACCCGGGTACTTGTCTCGACAGGGAGCTATGGGTGATTGCCATCAACACTGTTGCACCCACACGCGTTCTGAATCGGCCACGTTATTATTACCTTCTCAACCCCTTCTTCACCCTTCATTCTCTTTCTTCCGCTTTCTTTTTTTTTTACACTTCAATTCTCGAAAGCACTATCCACTTTTCAGCCCAGCGTTCATTTACTAGCCTAGAGAATCCATTACCATTGTTATTGTTATTCTCGATCCCGACTTGATCGGAATAACAACAAGCAATAAGCAGCGTAACAAACAAAAAGAGCAACAGTTTTTCCAAAGTGCAAATCTCCTTTTTCTCTTTTTCACCTCCTCGCCTCTTTTCCTAACCACCTGCACACACCACCATCATCACCGTCCTGCTACACCGCATTCTGCAAGACACCGCCTACATCACACATAAGAGCAGCCAGCATAAGCACCTCATCGTCATCGATCCCATCTTTGTTCAAACGCGCCTTTTTTTTCTGGCCAGAGGAGCAGAATAAGAAAATCGCTCTCAACTTGACACACCCCTTTGTCAGCTCCTGACGACGTTACAGCTCTCAACAAAAAACAGCATTCAGCATTCAACAACAATAACACCATCTACGGTATATTTTTTTCTTCTTCTGGACTCAATACATCAACAAAAGCAGATCTCAAAGACGCCAGCCTTTTTTCTTCCTTCTTTGTTTCGTGTATCTACGGTGTGCTGCCTTGTTTACTTCTCCCTCTTCCTTTTCTGAACCCCCTCGAACTCTACTCCCTTCTACCTGTTTTTTCCCTTCGCCTTCCTCTCTGGTTTATTTTTCTTCCCTGTTACTCGGTTGGGACAAGTCGCATATTACCCCAAGCATAAAAAATTCTACGGTAAGTCATCCCTCGGCAAGAAAGAAAAACAACCCATCGACCTTCCCGACCTTCCTTCACGTCCTGCCATAGTGAATTTTTTCTTTTCCTTCTTCTACACGCCAGAAAACATGAGCGATGGGTAGCCCTTCCCACCTCTACCTCACCCCTATCCCCTCGATAATCGACGGGGTGTATGCGCATCTTTGACATATTGGTATACCGCCTAGTTTAGACGAGACAGGAATGTGGGCATTGCATTCATTTTTTTTGTTTTGGGTGGATAGCGATGCATTAGCATTAGCATTAGCATTAACAACATTCTGTCTGTCGTCTGCCGGACACGACATGCATGAAAAAATGGAGATAGGAAGTGAAATGTTTGTTGTCTTCGTACAAAAACGACACAAAGAAGCTCTTTGGCATTGTGTTATTGTGTTTTCAAAACATGGGATCAAAAAGAAAAGAAATACCTCGAGTCGAGTGAACAACAACAACAGCCGTACCATGATCATTACAAAAAGGAGGTATAAGGAGAAAGGCTGAAGCCAAAGAGAAAAGTGGGTCGAGGAAGCAGGGTGGATGTGTATTGTTGTGCACGTCCGTGTGTTTGTTTGGGCGATATTGCAGTGGTCGGTCGACCTAAAATAATGCGCACTTAGCTGAAGCATGGTTGAGTGGATGGGCGATGTTCATCCCATCCATCGCTCATTGTCTGTCTGTCGCTCTCATACACAAACAAACCTCCCTATCTCCCTCCCTTTTTTTTTTTTTTTTTTTTTGGGTCAATCGGCTGGTGTAGTATGTCATGCTGTTGTTTGTTGTTTTTATATTTGTGTGTTTGTATTTGTTTGTTTGTTGAATTACGCCAAGGGTAGAAGGCAAACTGGCCCTGTAATCGTTTGTTCGAGGCAGGAGCATCTCGTGTCTGGTTTATTTATCTCCTAGCCCTTGTTTTTTTCCCTTGCTTCTGGTAGCTTGTGAGTCGTATTGCTCAGAACCCCCATTGTTCGTGGCGAGTGTTTGTTATTTTCCCAACTGACCAACAGCTTTGGCTTCTGGACACATCCCCCCCCTTTTTTTTTTTTTTTTTTTTTTTTTTCAAAACACTCATTCTTTCTGTTTTAGAGTTGGAAAGATTGGGCGATGTCCTTATTTTTTTTTACCTTGGGCGAGGCATGATCTCTCGGCAAAGCAATGTTTTCGTGTGGAGAGAGTAAGGCAAGGGACAAGATAGGGGAGAGGAGACGTAAGGGAAAATCATAGAGTGAAGGGGGTGAAGGGAGGGGAGGAACGGGAAGGTACATCTAGGCAGGGTACGCATCATGTTAGCATTGCTGGACGTGGTGTTCAATGACCTTCTCCTTCAGCTGGCCATAGTAGGGGCTAGGGTGTATGTTGAGTGTGAGTTGGTTGAGAGCACACATATTTGACACTTTTTTTTTTCCGCATGATACAACCATTCTTTGACAAGTTGGAAGCAAAAGGAGGGAACACACACACACACGCACTCACACACACATACACACAAACACACACACAGAGGCAGAGAGAGAGGGTCTGTGGTTGATGATCGAGGACCCGCGCATATCCAATCTTGCATACACACAAATACATACAAACAAAAATACAGGCACACATACAAACGCGCCCAATTTAAACCTCACTGTTCATCGGGCCCTTTTTTCTGGTCTTTGTTGCTGTCATCCTCGAGAGCAATAATTGAGCACTGTTTGAGCTAAAGGCAACCAGAATATAGGTTATATAACCTCGCTGTTTACTTGAAGAATGAAAAAAAGAGGCTACGATAGCTTGTCATTTGGTGGGAAATGGTGTTTTGATGCAATGAAGAAACCAGGGCAGAGCGCATACGCTTTGAAAATGCACACTCTAATTTTTGCAGGAAAATGGAGGAGAGGGGGTGGGGGTGCAGAAGAAGAGACACAGAAAAGACGGTTTAGTCATTGCATTTGCATGAGTAGTAAATGAACAAACAAAAGGAAGAGTTCATGTCGTTCAAAGTCTTATGAAGACGTATAGTAGGACAAAGAAAATGTAGGAGGGGCAAACACAAAACATACGAGCAGAATGGCAAAAGATGACATGGAAGCAAGGAGAAGGAGAGAATAAGAGCAGTTATGGGCATTGAGCTTTCGTTATGCCATTGCTGCCGGCTGCTTGCTTCATGGGCTATCTGGGACAAGCTGGTTTGGCGGGTCTTGTCTTTGCTGATGATGCCTTTTGCTCATTGTTCGTTTGAACTTGTATCATCCCTTTTTTTTTCTGCAATCTTGTTTGGTCTTATGCATGATATGAGCGACAACGAGAGACGAGAGATGCAGTTGGGACATCATGTTGTTTAGGAGGGAGAAAAAAGGAGGGTAAAAAAGCATTGCGGAAAAGGAATAGTTACAATCTGCCAAACAGAGAGAGGGATGGATAGATAGAAAGACAGACAGACAGGCGGACCTAGGGGAAGGAGAGAGAGGGGGGATGGGAAGAAGGATGGATGGAAGAGGGATGCATAGAAACAGGGGATATGATGCAGAAGAGAGGACGCGGAGAGAGAGAGAGACGGAAAGAAGTGGACGAGAGAATGAGATAGATTCAAGGGGTGGGGTGTGTGTGGATGTTGGATGTTGGGTGTTGGAGGGATACGGATGGGCTTGTTTCTCTTGGTGAAGAAGGGAACGATAAATCATCCAGAAGAGTGTCCATGATCCACAGAGAAAGGGCTATTGGCAAGGAGAGATGGATGGGATGGGGATAGGATGGGGCAACTCTAGACAGACGTAGAAAGAAGGCAGGCAGACATAGACCTTAACAGAGAATGAGAGACAGGCAAAGGTGCCAAGTCCCAAAATGAGAAAATAGGACAGCACCTTGAGAGACAATAATTCGATCAATTATTCAATATATCCTTATTGTATCTCTCTGTGTCTGTCCCTTTTCTCACTCATCCTATTCACTCACTCGTTGTCTTTCTCTTATTTTTCTTCTCTCACTTTTTTCTTCTCTTCTCTTCTCTTCCTCCTTCCTTACTCCCACCCTCACTCCCTCCAGTCCCTTCCTTCCTCCTTCCTCCTTCGTCCTTTCCTTTTCCCTTCTTTCCTCCGTCCTTCCTTCCTCCGTCCCTTCTTCTTTCACCCTCCCCTTCCCTTCCTTCTCTCTCGCTCTCGCTCTCTCTCTTGCTCTCTTTTTTTTCCCGTCTTCTCCACCCTCCAACCTGCTCTTCCTCACCTCAACCTTTTTTTTGGACTTTTATTTTATCCACCAGGCGAAACGAAGCCCTAGTTTTTCCTTGACCAACAGCTTCTTTACTTTCCTCCCTGCGCGGTGCCTCCTCATTGGTCAACAAGTCTCCCACTCCAGAATCCAAATCGGCTCTCCTCCCATTCCCTCACAACTAAGCCCTTTTTTCATTCTGAGCCAACAAACCAAGTGAGTTGAACCTGGTTTGGTCCATTTTTATCCCCTTCTCTTATTCTAAGGTAATTATATTTTGCTGTCTCATTTTTTTGCTTTTTATATTTGCAACAAGCAACAATGCTGAGCCAAAAGGATCATTTGTGATGGTGTGGAGCAAAGGAGAATGAATGAACGGGTGATATGGACAAAAGTGGATCGACCGTTCATCTGTCAAATGTCTTTGTTTCTTTTGTTGTCGTGTCAAGCTCTGGGCGTAGCTCATATCTTTGTATTTTTGATGGGGTTCATTCTTAATGTCGCTCACATAATAATATTTAACACTATTTGTGTCCTCTTCTCTTGTCTTCTCTTTCCTTCTCTTTTCTTTTCTTCTCCTCTCCTGTCTTCCACTTCTTCCTCCTCCTCCTTCTTTTCCCTTTCTTTTCTTCTTCATCATCCTCTTTATCCTCTCCCCCCATCTCCTTCCTCCCTTCCTTCTTTTCCCCTATTCTTTTTTTTTTGTTCCCTTCATCTTCCACTTTCATCCTTCCTTCTCTCCTGTCTCCGTCACACTCTCACTCACATTCGCACTCGCACTCACGACCACCTCTTCAACCTCGTTACGCTTATCCTACTTTCTCCACAACCCCTTGCTGTGTCCTCCTTCCTTCCGCCTCTGGACTCGTGCTTCGACACAGCAACGACCCTTCTTTTCTTCTTCCTGTTTTCTCTGGCACTCTTGACCTTCAAGACGTCCATTCGTTTTTTTTTCTTATCCTATTGCACTTCACCTCAACCTACAACATATCAACAACCGACTATGGCTCGCTCCCTCTAATTCTCTTCGACGCTCCCTCCAGCTCGGATCCCTTCCTTCGGTCGATACCCCTCCGCCTGTAGAAAAACAACAAACTATGCTGCATACTCTTATTTCCTCTGCCCAACAAGCAAGCTCCTCCTGCTCCTGCCTCAACCTGCCAACCCAACCTTCCCCTAAGGAACCCATCGTAGTCCTCGAACTCTGCCCACTTACCTGCCTGACTGCCACCACTCCAACCACTTCTACTACTACTACTGCCGCTACCACCACATTGTATCTTTTGATCGGCTAATTACCTACTCTCTATATCCCCCAACCAACCCTCTTTTACCCCGGCTCGTTTTTCAATTGTTGTATCATCCTTTTTTTCCTTCTTTTCTGTGCCCTCTTTCTATTGTAAGTTAATATCTCCTTTTGATTCACCCAAAAAAAGTGTTCCCGCCACATTATACTTGAACACATCCTCGCTCTATCACCTTCTCGTTTTTTTTCTTTATTTTTTATCTTTAACACCCTGTACAAAAAAGCTGCTTCCTTTCACCATCAATTGGCCACTTGCACCTACCAAGAACAACACCACATCTCGTTCGCATTGGCCATTTCTCGATAGTCCTTGCTCCCAGTCGAATACTTTTTTTATTCTCCTTGGTCGAGTCACATCATCCTTCTTTTTTTTTCTTTCTTTTTTTTGTCAACTCCACCTGGGTTTGCTCACCTCTTTATTTTACTCCTGTTACTATTGTCTGGCTCCTGGCATCCTTAACATCACCTTCCTTTCCGCACAAAACACGGACCGTTACTTTGCTCGCTCGTCATTTTTTTTCGTCAATCCTGTCCCCCCGCCTTTACCTTTTCTTTACACGCACAGCAACAATCGTAACAATATGAGCACCTTGAACGCAATTGATTCTGTCACCGGTGCCCGGGAAAGAATTGGCGACCTTCTCCGTGACGGGATCCACCACGTTACATACCAGATCCTTGATATCCTCGGTTACGGCACCTATGGCTCAATCTACCTCGCCAAAACCATCCCTACTGTCCCCGGTATGCTCCCTGAATACAAGGCCATCAAGTGCCTGTCCAAGAAGGGCCTCACCCAGTCGCAGTTGCTTCTTCAACGTCAGGAGATCGATCTCCACCTCTCGCTCTCCTCACCCACGAATGGCCAGCATCCTCACATCGTCGACATGTCCTCGGTCATCGAAACTAAGGACTCGCTGTACCTCGCCATGGAGTACTGCTCAGGCGGCGACCTTTACGATACCATCACCTCCCAGCACTCTGCCGCCCGCGACTCTGGCGTCGATTTCGCTCCCATGGCCCACCTCCCCGGCCGCTGCCTCGATGTCCACTCCGACAGCTCTGTGGTCGACGCGATGACCCAGATCATCTCCGCCTTGGTCCACTCTCACAGCCATCAGGTCTTCCACCGCGATCTCAAGCCCGAGAACGTCTTGGTCGCCAGCGATGGATCGCTTAAGCTCGCCGACTTTGGTCTTGCCACCAAGGAGCGCGTCTCTAATGACTTTGGCTGTGGAAGTTCATTCTACATGGCTCCAGAGCAACAGCCTACGCGCTCCTCGGTTGGCCGTCGCCCCTACTTGCCAGCAAAGTCTGATGTGTGGTCACTCGGTATCATCTTTTTGAACCTTCGTTTCGGCCGCAACCCCTGGAAGCTTTCCCGAGTCGACATGGACGCCACCTTTGCCGCCTACGCCCAGAACTCTGATGTGCTGCGCGAGATGTTCCCAGAGTTGTCCCCAAGTGCCCTTCACTTTTTGAAGCGCGTCCTCTGTGTCGATCCCAACGACCGTGCCGACAGCTACGAGGCCCTGGAGCTCATCCAACGTGTCCACACCATTGTGGGCCATGAACCAAGCGCCAACGACTTTGCTTCGATGGAGGACTGCAATGAGGAGCGCATTGATTCCGACTTGATGTTGGATGACTCTTCTATTGGCTCTTCCCGGTCTTCTGCTCAGGGTTCGGCGTCAAGTTACTACGAGGTCGACGAAGAGGAGGACGAGATTGACTCGATGTTCCGGATGGAGGACGATTATGGAGCTCGTCTGCCTGGACATGACTCCGAAAGCAGGGCTCCATCGTGCTCGTCCAGCTGGTCCGTGGCCTTCTCCCACCAGTCGGGCAAGTCTTGGTCGGATATGATTGAAGAGGACGAGATGGACTTTTCTCTGCCCGTCGAGTTTGAAGAAGCGGGCCCTGCCAGTCCAGTACCCTCTGATGATATCAAGACGACCACCGATGAGGACCTTTCATCCGATGAAGATGTTGCCGCCAACAGTTCCACCAGTGGCGCCAGCGAGAACACTAAAAACAACATTAACAACAGTAACAACAACAACAACAACAACAACAACAACAACAACAACAACAACAACAACAGCAACAGCAACCCCTCCACCACAACAAACAACAACAACCACCCTGATGACTCCGATGATGATTACACCACTTCCACCTTTATCCACCCATTCGCCTGCTATGACCACCAACACTTCAACCAACACTTGCACCAGCAATCATCCCACCACTCGAGTAACGACTTCCGAGGACTCCCGCACCCGCCTTGGTTTTCGTCTGCAACGTGGAACCGCTCCGAGCTCGATCAAGAGTTTGTCCAAGCCGGATTTGCAAAGCTTTCGGAGCTAGCGTTTCCAGGCACGTCTCCTCAAGCCTTTTCAAATTCCTCTCCTCCAGCCCAGGTTGTTCCGCTTGGGATGTTTTCCTTTGAGGATGATGGACTCTTGACCAACCCACCATAGTCTCCTTCGTTTCCTGTGGATTTTTTTTGTCCCGCCCCTTTTTTTTTTCTTTTCTTTTTTTTTCTTTTCCTTTTTTTTTTTTTTTTTTTTTTCGCTTTTCTTTCTTTCTTTCTTTCTTTTTTTTTGAGGAAGACCTAGAATGAACTCGTTTCCCGTTTTTTTGTTCCATAAGGGACATCTTTTATTATTTTTGCTGGTTGTTCACTGTGGACACGAAAATAAACGAACGACATCATTGCTCCCCAAACTGAATCACAACGTGAATCGAATTGAAAGGCCATGTGTATGAAATGTGTTGTGTTGTTGGACAGTGCCATCCTTTATTCTTGTTGTCGACGTGTCAGGCAAGTTGGCCATGGACATCTCGCTACTTGCGTGTACTTGATCGTCCAACATAATGAAGGATAATCACGTTGTATATTTGGAGATTCTGTTTTATTTTCGTGCGTGCGTGAATGAATGATAATGCGGTGTGTGTGTGTGTGTGTGTGTGTGTGTGGCTGATGACCTTTTGTCTTGTCGTCGAATCGTCACTTCAACATGATCATTGTTTTGTTGTGTTTATGACGAGAAGGAAGATTTTATCTTCTGAAGTCCGATAGTCCAGTTTTCCTATTAATACTTACAAAGTAGGGCGGGAAGTGAGAAAAGGAGAGAAGCGTTGGGTTTTGGCTGAGGAATGTTTACGACCAGGTACAGGTGTAAGCTTTTAGGTGAGTGTGCAGCATAATTTTTTTTTTTTTTTTTTTTTTTTGCAGAACAAGGAACACACACATGGCCAATGAGGTTCTTGTGTGGATGGACAGGAGTGGAAGGCGAGTGTTTGGGCAGTTTTATCAATGTGGGCGAGGGTGGAGGGCAAAAGGCGAGTGAATTGTTGGAGTGACCTGGTGCTCGTTTCGGTATGTTGTTCAGGTTAACCAGCCGTGGCGATGGCATGAAAGAAAGAAAGAAAAATGTAAAAAAGGAACGGCAGAGGGGCTAGGCACCCATGGAGAGACAAAAACAGATGCACCCGATACGCTTTGAGAGCATGAAAGAGAGTGATCATCGCCACTTCCCCACTCTTCTATTTCACAGCCGACTCTGGCATTTTCCTCTTTCCCTCGCTTTTTTCTTTTTTTTTTCTTTTTCTTTTTCTTTTTCTTTTTCTTTTTTCTTCTATCTTATTTTCTCTTCCACCCCTTTTCCCTTTTCTCCCAGCCTCAAAAACTCCATCCACGATGTCATACTACCCTCCTGCTCAAGGCTATCCTGGTTATCCTCCCCAGCAACAATACGCTGCCGGCGCACCCGTCGGCTATCCACCAACCCAACCCGGCTACCCTGCCTACCCACCCCAGGGCGGTGCACCTCCACCTGGTCAGCCCGGATACGGATACCCTGCTGCTGCCCCAGGTGCGCCACCACCAGCTCCCTATGGCGCCCCTGCTCCCTATGGCGCCCCCGCCCCCTATGGCGCCCCCGCTCCCTACGGGTACCCCGCTCCAGGCGCACCTCCACCAGCCCCCTACGGATACTCTGCTCCAGCTGCAGGAGCTCATCCTCCACCACCTCAGCACGCTCCCACCATGACTCATGCGCCCACAATGACTCATGCCCCGACTATGGCCATGGGCCAGCCTAACTACTACCAACCCGCTGCTGGTGGACCCACACCTCAACAGGATGCCGAGACTATTCACTCGGCCTGCAGGGGCTTTGGTACTGATGAGAAGCGAGTCATCAGTGTTGTTGGTAAGTAATGAGGGTTTGGCTGACACAGCAATAAAAAAGGAAGCTCTTTTTGTTATGCTCTTTTGTTTATCGTTTTGTCGAGAATACAGAACTCTTTACTTACTTCATCACGCCATTATCTTTTCAACCTAATAGCTGCCAGACCTCCAGAACACTTGGCAGTAGTGGCCTCGGTGTACAAGCAGTTCTACGGACGAGATTTGGTGGAGGTTCTCGACAAGGAGACGAGCGGTCATTTCGGTCGAGCACTCCACTATCTCATCCTCCCGCCCATCGTGCTCGATGCAGAGCTGATTTATCAGGCCTGCATCGGTGCCGGTACCAACGAGCGCGTAAGTTCTGATGTCACCATGCCGCTTGGAGACAACCAGGTTCTCTACCCTTTGATACTTCCTGTTCTCTCTTTGCGTATCGTTGTGTTGTACTCGGGTTGTTTTTTTGTTATCGATGTTGGTTTTGTTTGCCTGCAACGACAACAACAACAAAGAGCGAACAATCATGACACTGCTGGATTACGTTGCCGCGTATACTGGTTTCTTTTTAGACTGTGGATAAACGATATTTGTACTAACCTGCCTGCCACCTCGTGGTCACCTTTCCTCATTTTGTTCTACTCTTTGTGATCCACAGTGCTTGATTCAAACTCTTGTGGGAAGGACCAACGCAGACATGGCACAACTCAAGTATGTCTTCCAGTCTAAATACAACCGCTCCCTCGAGGAAACAGTCAAGAGCGATGTCAGTGGATACTTTGAGAAGTTACTTGTCGTCTGTATCCAGGTAAAACGTCTTTTTTGCCATCCTGCTCATCCAACGTTATTAGAGAATATCTCTTACAATTCCTGACACCCTTTTCCTCCTCGTTAAATAGGGCACCCGTGATGAGATTGGACACTATCAGTATAACGTTGAGGCAGATACCCAGGCATTATACAAAGCAGGAGAGGGCAAAATGGGCACAGACGAGTCGCAGTTCATCCACATCCTCACCAACAGACCCGATGCCCATCTTCGACTTGTCTTCAAGCAATACGAATCCCGCCACGGCAAAAAGTTTAGCAAGGTCGTCGTCAAGGAGTTCTCCGGATGGATTGAGACCGCGCTTGTTTACTTGGGTAAGTTTTGCTCTCTTCACTTCGCACTTTTTTATTATTTGTTCTATGTGTTAGGGCTGAATTGTGTGTACAGTTTGTTATCAATCGAGCATTTGAATGTTATTTAGTAATACTCGTTCGCCAACCCCAACAGCCAAATCCTAACCAGTTCATCCTTTTATTAATATATCCTTTCCAACAACATAGTCGAGTGGATCGAAAACCCAGCAATGTGTATCGCCAAGAACATGGAAAAGGCGATGGAGGGTGCAGGAACGGATGATGCCTCGTTGACACGGTTGGTGGTTCGCAACCGGACACCGGCCTTCATGGCCCAGATCAAGGCCAACTACACCGCCAAGTACAAGAAGTCGTTGCGCGACAGGATCAAGGGCGAGACCAGTGGAGATTACCGACGCACGCTGTTCACGGCCATTGGTGAACCAGAACGAGGTTAAAGAGGACCGCTGAAGAGGAGGATCAGAAGGAGTGTCAGATTTTACTTTTACATTTCAGTTGCACAAATATATCATCATATTCATGAATCATGATACCACATAAATACCAGTGATCTACGCCACCATGTCTTTCAAAGTTTCCACATATTGCCTTTACCGCCAGTTGTTGGTTCGCTCCTTTGTCAAAGTGTGCAACAACAGAAATTAATTGAACTCGACAATGCATTCACAACCACAAGACAAACATGCATTTTTAAACTCTTATTTAATGAGTTACTGATATTTCTAAATAATACTAATTCAATTTCTTTTTTTTTGTGTGTTTTTTGGGGGTTAAGTGGGCGAGTAGACATCATTGTTAGCTCTGGGGTTTCCCTCCTTTAGGGGCGGTGGGGACCCAACTGGCGAAGACGTTCCAAGGTCAACTCGGCGGGGAGCTCCTCATCAAAGTGTCCGTACAACTTCTTGGCAAAGAGGGCGACAATCTCAGGGAGGCGGAGGTTATCGATAGGGGTGGCCTCCTGAGCCTTACCCTGGGCGGCATCGCGGGCAGACTCCATCAAGCGCTGGCCAGACTGGTCGTCAAGGCGCATGAAACCCTCCAACTCGTGGGGGGCATCCTGCCAGCCTCCGACGTGGAGCGAGACCCAGGCGCGGGGGCGCAAGTGGCGGGGCAACTCGCGGTAGGCCTCGGCAGTGCCCGAAGTCAAGTCAATCACACCAACTGGGGCTCCGGTCTCGACGTTAATGCCCTGATCGGGGAGGACAGGGAGGCTTGAGACTAGATAAAACGAAAAAGGCAACAAAGAGCAGAAAGGGTTAGGATATGCAAGATTGAAGGGCAGAATGCAGAATACGCATCAACAAGGGCAAGAGGATACTTACAGTCAAAGACAGCCTTCTTGGTCTCCTCAACAACGGTGGTCGAAGAAGCACCACCGTGCTGGATGGCACCAACAGCAGCGGCACCTCCGAGGGCGGCAGCGGCGCCTCCGAAGAGGTCACCGGAACCAGCAGCAGCAGAGGTGGTAGATTCAACACGGGTCAAGGTCTCGTACTGAGTGCGGGACAACTCAGCAGCGTCAACTTCAGCTCCCTTCTTGATGAGAACCTGCTCACTGACATTGCGGACAACGGTGTCGTCGTGCGAGGACTCAATCGACTGGTGAGTGGAAACGACGCGCTCATCCTCGATCAAAACCTTCTCTTGGGCAATAACCTCAGAGACTTCGTAATCTTCAACGATCTCCTCAATCTCCTCGGTGGTCTCGAAGGTCTCGTAAGTCTTCACCTCGTAAGTGAAGCGCTCTGTTAAAAGTTAAATATGAAGAGAAAACATAATTAGGTATTTGCAACAAAAAACATATCATTAAGGCACATTAAGAAAGGGTGATGGTTTGAATCTTACCAGAAACGGTGGTCTCACGGTGCTCCCACTGGACGCCGAACTGCTCGCGGTATGAGATCTGGAAGGCAGCCTTGGCAGACTCAACGGTATCGTGGGGTCCATCAAGCTTGTAGTCGGTCTCGCCCCAACGGACGTAGACGTAGTACTTGGTGGTGGTAGTGTCGTAGAGCAACTGGGTCACATAGGTGACGCCAGTGGACTTCTCGACCAAGACGGCATCGTACACCTCATCATCGTAGTAGACGTACGAAGTCTTGGCAATTGGGGCAATGGCATCAACGTGGGCCTTGCGAGTGGTAAGGACCTGGACGGTACGCTTCCAGACGCCATCGACTTGAGTCAAGGCTCCAGCAGCGGCCAATCCAGCGCCTGAGGCAAGGCGACGGAACCAGGAGGTACCCTTGGTGACAGCGGGCTGAGCAACGACACCAGTCTCCTTGGTCGTAGTGATAACCTTGGTAATCTCCTCACCATCGATAACCTCAACCTCATAGGCGACCTCGGAAACACTCTCCTCCTTGCGGGTCGTAGTGGTCGAGGTGGTGGTCTCGGTCTGAACAGTCTCCTCATCAACAATAATCTCCTGCTCGCGCTTGAGAATCACCTCAGCAACCTTTTCATCAACAACTTCCTCGACAACCTCAACGGTCTCGAATGTCTCGTAAGTCTTGATCTCGTAGGTGAAGCGCTCTACAAAATAGTAAGCATGAATAAAATAATTAGGCATTGAAAAAATAAAGAATAAAGAACACATTGTGCTGCCTGGTTAAACTTACCACTGACGGTGGTCTCACGCTCCTGCCATTTGACACCGAACTGGTCATGGTAGGTAACCTGGAAGGCAGCCTTGGCAGACTCAACGGTATCGTGGGGTCCATCAAGCTTGTAGTCGGTCTCGCCCCAACGGACGTAGACGTAGTACTTGCTGGTTGCGCTATCGAAGAGCAACTGAGTCACATAGGTGACGCCAGTGGACTTCTCAACCAAGACGGCATCGTACACCTCATCATCGTAGTAGACGTACGAAGTCTTGGCGATGGGAGCGACGGCATCAACGTGGGCCTTGCGGGTAGTCAACACCTGAACAGTGCGCTTCCAGACACCATCAACCTTCTCCAAAGCACCATGGGCGGCATGTCCAGCTCCAGAGGCAACGTCGTGGACGGCACCGACGGTAAGAGCACCAGCACCAACAACCAGAGCACCAGCTCCAACGGCACCGGCACCGGCACCGAGAGCAACGGCACCAGCTGCGGCACCAGCATTCGAAACGACCTTGCGGAACCAAGAGGTTTCCTTGGTAACAGTGGGCTCGACAATGACACCAGTCTCCTTGGTGATAACAATCTCCTTAGCAACCTCCTGCTCCTCAGTCACGGCAACCGACTCGACAACGTCCTCAACAGTAGCTTCGACGGTGATAGTCTCATCGACGAGAGTGGAAATGACGGTCTCCTTTGTCTGGATCTCATCCTCGACGACAACGGTCTTCTCCTGCAATTGCTCGACAACAATGTCTTCCTGAACAGTCGAAGTGACGACCTCAGTAACGGTCTTCTCCTCGGTAATAGTCTCCTGTTCACGGGCAATGATGGCAACAGCCTCGGTCTCCTCGACGATCTCCTCGATTTCTTCAACGGTCTCGAAGGTCTCGTAGGTCTTGACCTCGTAAGTGAAGCGCTCTGTAAATGAGAATATAAATATATAGTAGTTAGCAAGTGAACAACAGCAGTGTCAGCATCAAATACAAACAATAATACAATGCCTATGCTTACCAGACACGGCAGTCTCGCGCTCCTCCCACTGAACACCGAAGTTCTCGTGGTAGGTGACCTGGAAGGCAGACTTGGCGGACTCGACAGTCTCGTGAGGTCCATCCAACTTGTAGTCGGTCTCTCCCCAGCGGTAGTAGACGTAGTACTTGGTGGTGGTAGTGTCGTAGAGCAACTGGGTGACGTGGGTGACACCGGTCGACTTGTCGACAAGGACGGCATCATACACTTCATCATCGTAGTAGACATAGGAGGTCTTGGCAATAGGAGCAACGGCATCGACATTAGCCTTGCGGGTAGTCAACACCTGGACGCTGCGCTTCCAGACACCATCAACCTTCTCCAAGGCGCCGTGAGCGGCATGTCCTGCTCCAGAGGCGGCATCCTTGGCAGCACCAACAGCAAGAGCTCCGGCTCCGACAGCAACAGCACCAGCACCAACAACAGCGGCACCAGTGACAGTGGCAATCTTGCGGAACCAGGAAGTACCCTTGGGAGCAGCGGGCTTGGCAACGACGCCAGTCTCCTTGGTGATGATCGTCTCCTTGGCCTCCTTCTTCTCGACCTCAACATCAACGGAAACGGAAACATCAACATCAACCTCGACCTTCTTGTCAACGATCACGTCCTTCTGGACATGCTCGAGGACAGTCTCACCCTCAGTGGTGGTGGTGGTAGTGGTAGTGGTCTCGGTGGTGATGACCTCATCCTCAGTGACGATCTCCTGCTCGCGAGCAATGATGGCAACAGCCTCGGTCTCCTCGACGATCTCCTCGATTTCTTCAACGGTCTCGAAGGTCTCGTAGGTCTTGACCTCGTAGGTGAAGCGCTCTGTAAATGAGAACATGAATATATAGTAGTTAGCAAGTGAACAACAGCAGTGTCAGCATCAAATACAAACAACAATACAATGCCTATGCTTACCAGACACGGCAGTCTCGCGCTCCTCCCACTGGACACCGAAGTTCTCGTGGTAGGTAACCTGGAAGGCAGACTTGGCGGACTCGACAGTCTCGTGAGGTCCATCCAACTTGTAGTCGGTCTCTCCCCAGCGGTAGTAGACGTAGTACTTGGTGGTGGTAGTGTCGTAGAGCAACTGGGTGACGTGGGTGACACCGGTCGACTTGTCGACAAGGACGGCATCATACACTTCATCATCGTAGTAGACATAGGATGTCTTGGCGATGGGAGCGACGGCATCGACGTTAGCCTTGCGGGTAGTCAACACCTGGACGCTGCGCTTCCAGACACCATCAACCTTCTCCAAGGCACCGTGAGCGGCATGTCCTGCTCCAGAGGCGGCATCCTTGGCAGCACCAACAGCAAGAGCTCCAGCTCCGACAGCAACAGCACCAGCACCAACAACAGCGGCACCAGTGACAGTGGCAATCTTGCGGAACCAGGAAGTACCCTTGGGAGCAGCGGGCTTGGCAACGACACCAGTCTCCTTGGTGATGATCGTCTCCTTGGCCTCCTTCTTCTCGACCTCGACATCAACCTCAACGGAAACATCAACATCGACCTCGACCTTCTTGTCAACGATCACGTCCTTCTGGACGTGCTCGAGAACAGTCTCACCCTCAGTGGTGGTGGTGGTAGTGGTAGTGGTCTCGGTGGTGATGACCTCATCCTCAGTGATGATCTCCTGCTCGCGAGCAATGATGGCAACAGCCTCGGTCTCCTCGACGATCTCCTCGATTTCTTCAACGGTCTCGAAGGTCTCGTAGGTCTTGACCTCGTAGGTGAAGCGCTCTATAAACGAGAATACGAATATATAGTAGTTAGCAAGTGAACAACAGTAGTATCAGCATCAAATACAAACAACAATACAATGCCTATGCTTACCAGAGACGGCAGTCTCACGCTCCTCCCACTGAACACCGAAGTTCTCGTGGTAGGTGACCTGGAAGGCAGACTTGGCGGACTCGACAGTCTCGTGAGGTCCATCCAACTTGTAGTCGGTCTCTCCCCAGCGGTAGTAGACGTAGTACTTGGTGGTGGTAGTGTCGTAGAGCAACTGGGTGACGTGGGTGACGCCAGTCGACTTGTCGACAAGGACAGCATCATACACCTCATCATCGTAGTAGACATAGGAGGTCTTGGCAATAGGAGCAACGGCGTCGACGTGGGCCTTGCGGGTAGTCAACACCTGAACAGTGCGCTTCCAGACACCATCAACCTTCTCCAAGGCACCGTGAGCGGCATGTCCAGCTCCAGAGGCAACGTCGTGGACGGCACCAACGGTAAGAGCACCAGCACCAACAACCAGAGCACCAGCTCCGACGGCAACAGCACCAGCACCAACAACAGCGGCACCAGTGGCAGTGGCAATCTTGCGGAACCAGGAAGTACCCTTAGGAGCAGCGGGCTTGGCAACGACACCAGTCTCCTTGGTGATGATCGTCTCCTTGGCCTCCTTCTTCTCGACCTCAACATCAACGGAAACGGAAACATCAACATCGACCTCGACCTTCTTGTCAACGATCACGTCCTTCTGGACGTGCTCGAGAACAGTCTCACCCTCAGTGGTGGTGGTGGTAGTGGTAGTGGTCTCGGTGGTGATGACCTCATCCTCAGTGACGATCTCCTGCTCGCGAGCAATGATGGCAACAGCCTCGGTCTCCTCGACGATCTCCTCGATTTCTTCAACGGTCTCGAAGGTCTCGTAGGTCTTGACCTCGTAGGTGAAGCGCTCTGTAAACGAGAATACGAATATATAGTAGTTAGCAAGTGAACAACAGCAGTGTCACCATCAAATACAAACAATAATACAATGCCAATGCTTACCAGAGACGGCAGTCTCGCGCTCCTCCCACTGAACACCGAAGTTCTCGTGGTAGGTAACCTGGAAGGCAGACTTGGCGGACTCGACAGTCTCGTGAGGTCCATCCAACTTGTAGTCGGTCTCTCCCCAGCGGTAGTAGACGTAGTACTTGGTGGTAGTGGTATCGTAGAGCAACTGGGTGACGTGGGTGACGCCGGTCGACTTGTCGACAAGGACAGCATCATACACTTCATCATCGTAGTAGACATAGGAGGTCTTGGCAATAGGAGCAACGGCATCGACATTAGCCTTGCGGGTAGTCAACACCTGGACGCTGCGCTTCCAGACACCATCAACCTTCTCCAAGGCACCGTGAGCGGCATGTCCTGCTCCAGAGGCGGCATCCTTGGCAGCACCAACAGCAAGAGCTCCAGCTCCGACGGCAACAGCACCAGCACCAACAACAGCGGCACCAGTGACAGTGGCAATCTTGCGGAACCAGGAAGTACCCTTGGGAGCAGCGGGCTTGGCAACGACGCCAGTCTCCTTGGTGATGATCGTCTCCTTGGCCTCCTTCTTCTCGACCTCAACATCGACCTCAACGGAAACATCAACATCAACCTCGACCTTCTTGTCAACGATCACGTCCTTCTGGACATGCTCGAGGACAGTCTCACCCTCAGTGGTGGTGGTGGTAGTGGTAGTGGTCTCGGTGGTGATGACCTCATCCTCAGTGACGATCTCCTGCTCGCGAGCAATGATGGCAACAGCCTCGGTCTCCTCGACGATCTCCTCGATTTCCTCAACGGTCTCGAAGGTCTCGTAGGTCTTGACCTCGTAGGTGAAGCGCTCTGTAAACGAGAATATAAATAAATAGTAGTTAGCAAGTGAACAACAGCAGTGTCACCATCAAATACAAACAATAATACAATGCCTATGCTTACCAGAGACGGCAGTCTCACGCTCCTCCCACTGGACACCGAAGTTCTCGTGGTAGGTAACCTGGAAGGCAGACTTGGCGGACTCGACAGTCTCGTGAGGTCCATCCAACTTGTAGTCGGTCTCTCCCCAGCGGTAGTAGACGTAGTACTTGGTGGTGGTAGTGTCGTAGAGCAACTGAGTGACGTGGGTGACACCGGTCGACTTGTCGACAAGGACGGCATCGTACACCTCATCATCGTAGTAGACATAGGAGGTCTTGGCGATAGGGAGCGACGGCATCGACGTTAGCCTTGCGGGTAGTCAACACCTGGACGCTACGCTTCCAGACACCATCAACCTTCTCTAAGGCACCGTGAGCGGCATGTCCTGCTCCAGAGGCGGCATCCTTGGCAGCACCAACAGCAAGAGCTCCGGCTCCGACAGCAACAGCACCAGCACCAACAACAGCGGCACCAGTGGCAGTGGCAATCTTGCGGAACCAGGAAGTACCCTTAGGGAGCAGCGGGCTTGGCAACGACGCCAGTCTCCTTGGTGATAATGGTCTCCTTGGCCTCCTCAACATCAACGGAAACGGAAACATCAACATCAACCTCGACCTTCTTGTCAACGATCACGTCCTTCTGGACATGCTCGAGGACAACCTCACCCTCGGTGGTGGTGGTGGTAGTGGTAGTGGTCTCGGTGGTGATGACCTCATCCTCAGTGATGATCTCCTGCTCGCGAGCAATGATGGCAACAGCCTCGGTCTCCTCGACGATCTCCTCGATTTCCTCAACGGTCTCGAAGGTCTCGTAGGTCTTGACCTCGTAGGTGAAGCGCTCTGTAAACGAGAATACTAATATAATAGTAGTTAGCAAGTGAACAACAGCAGTATCAGCATCAAATACAAACAATAATACAATGCCTATGCTTACCAGAGACGGCAGTCTCACGCTCCTCCCACTGAACACCGAAGTTCTCGTGGTAGGTAACCTGGAAGGCAGACTTGGCGGACTCGACAGTCTCGTGAGGTCCATCCAACTTGTAGTCAGTCTCTCCCCAGCGGTAGTAGACGTAGTACTTGGTGGTGGTAGTGTCGTAGAGCAACTGGGTGACGTGGGTGACACCGGTCGACTTGTCGACAAGGACGGCATCGTACACCTCGTCATCGTAGTAGACATAGGATGTCTTGGCAATAGGAGCAACGGCATCGACATTAGCCTTGCGGGTAGTCAACACCTGGACGCTGCGCTTCCAGACACCATCAACCTTCTCCAAGGCGCCGTGAGCGGCATGTCCTGCTCCAGAGGCGGCATCCTTGGCAGCACCAACAGCAAGAGCTCCGGCTCCGACAGCAACAGCACCAGCACCAACAACAGCGGCACCAGTGACAGTGGCAATCTTGCGGAACCAGGAAGTACCCTTGGGAGCAGCGGGCTTGGCAACGACACCAGTCTCCTTGGTGATGATCGTCTCCTTGGCCTCCTTCTTCTCGACCTCAACATCAACGGAAACGGAAACATCAACATCAACCTCGACCTTCTTGTCAACAATCACATCCTTCTGGACATGCTCGAGGACAACCTCACCCTCAGTGGTGGTGGTGGTAGTGGTAGTGGTCTCGGTGGTGATGACCTCATCCTCAGTGATGATCTCCTGCTCGCGAGCAATGATGGCAACAGCCTCGGTCTCCTCGACGATCTCCTCGATTTCTTCAACGGTCTCGAAGGTCTCGTAGGTCTTGACCTCGTAGGTGAAGCGCTCTGTAAATGAGAACATGAATATATAATAGTTAGCAAGTGAACAACAGCAGTGTCAGCATCAAATACAAACAAACAGTAAAATGCCAATCCTTACCAGACACGGCAGTCTCACGCTCCTCCCACTGAACACCGAAGTTCTCGTGGTAGGTGACCTGGAAGGCAGACTTGGCGGACTCGACAGTCTCGTGAGGTCCATCCAACTTGTAGTCGGTCTCTCCCCAGCGGTAGTAGACGTAGTACTTGGTGGTAGTGGTATCGTAGAGCAACTGGGTGACGTGGGTGACGCCGGTCGACTTGTCGACAAGGACGGCATCGTACACCTCGTCATCGTAGTAGACATAGGAGGTCTTGGCAATAGGAGCAACGGCATCGACGTTAGCCTTGCGGGTAGTCAACACCTGGACGCTGCGCTTCCAGACACCATCAACCTTCTCCAAGGCGCCGTGAGCGGCATGTCCTGCTCCAGAGGCGGCATCCTTGGCAGCACCAACAGCAAGAGCTCCAGCTCCGACAGCAACAGCACCAGCACCAACAACAGCGGCACCAGTGGCAGTGGCAATCTTGCGGAACCAGGAAGTACCCTTAGGAGCAGCGGGCTTGGCAACGACGCCAGTCTCCTTGGTGATGATCGTCTCCTTGGCCTCCTTCTTCTTGACCTCAACATCAACGGAAACGGAAACATCAACATCGACCTCGACCTTCTTGTCAACAATCACATCCTTCTGGATGTGCTCGAGGACAACCTCACCCTCGGTGGTGGTGGTGGTAGTGGTAGTGGTCTCGGTGGTGATGACCTCATCCTCAGTGACGATCTCCTGCTCGCGAGCAATGATGGCAACAGCCTCGGTCTCCTCGACGATCTCCTCGATTTCTTCAACGGTCTCGAAGGTCTCGTAGGTCTTGACCTCGTAGGTGAAGCGCTCTGTAAACGAGAATACGAATATATAGTAGTTAGCAAGTGAACAACAGCAGTGTCACCATCAAATACAAACAATAATACAATGCCAATGCTTACCAGAGACGGCAGTCTCGCGCTCCTCCCACTGAACACCGAAGTTCTCGTGGTAGGTAACCTGGAAGGCAGACTTGGCGGACTCGACAGTCTCGTGAGGTCCATCCAACTTGTAGTCGGTCTCTCCCCAGCGGTAGTAGACGTAGTACTTGGTGGTGGTAGTGTCGTAGAGCAACTGAGTGACGTGGGTGACACCGGTCGACTTGTCGACAAGGACGGCATCGTACACCTCATCATCGTAGTAGACATAGGAGGTCTTGGCGATGGGAGCGACGGCATCGACGTTAGCCTTGCGGGTAGTCAACACCTGGATGCTACGCTTCCAGACACCATCAACCTTCTCCAAGGCACCGTGAGCGGCATGTCCTGCTCCAGAGGCGGCATCCTTGGCAGCACCAACAGCAAGAGCTCCGGCTCCGACAGCAACAGCACCAGCACCAACAACAGCGGCACCAGTGGCAGTGGCAATCTTGCGGAACCAGGAAGTACCCTTGGGAGCAGCGGGCTTGGCAACGACACCAGTCTCCTTGGTGATGATCGTCTCCTTGGCCTCCTTCTTCTCGACCTCAACATCAACCTCAACGGAAACATCAACATCGACCTCGACCTTCTTGTCAACGATCACGTCCTTCTGGACGTGCTCGAGAACAGTCTCACCCTCAGTGGTGGTGGTGGTAGTGGTAGTGGTCTCGGTGGTGATGACCTCATCCTCAGTGACGATCTCCTGCTCGCGAGCAATGATGGCAACAGCCTCGGTCTCCTCGACGATCTCCTCGATTTCTTCAACGGTCTCGAAGGTCTCGTAGGTCTTGACCTCGTAGGTGAAGCGCTCTATAAACGAGAATACGAATATATAGTAGTTAGCAAGTGAACAACAGTAGTATCAGCATCAAATACAAACAATAATACAATGCCTATGCTTACCAGAGACGGCAGTCTCACGCTCCTCCCACTGAACACCGAAGTTCTCGTGGTAGGTAACCTGGAAGGCAGACTTGGCGGACTCGACAGTCTCGTGAGGTCCATCCAACTTGTAGTCGGTCTCTCCCCAGCGGTAGTAGACGTAGTACTTGGTGGTGGTAGTGTCGTAGAGCAACTGGGTGACGTGGGTGACACCGGTCGACTTGTCGACAAGGACGGCATCATACACTTCATCATCGTAGTAGACATAGGAGGTCTTGGCAATAGGAGCAACGGCATCGACATTAGCCTTGCGGGTAGTCAACACCTGGACGCTGCGCTTCCAGACACCATCAACCTTCTCCAAGGCACCGTGAGCGGCATGTCCTGCTCCAGAGGCGGCATCCTTGGCAGCACCAACAGCAAGAGCTCCAGCTCCGACGGCAACAGCACCAGCACCAACAACAGCGGCACCAGTGACAGTGGCAATCTTGCGGAACCAGGAAGTACCCTTGGGAGCAGCGGGCTTGGCAACGACGCCAGTCTCCTTGGTGATGATCGTCTCCTTGGCCTCCTTCTTCTCGACCTCAACATCAACGGAAACGGAAACATCAACATCGACCTCGACCTTCTTGTCAACAATCACATCCTTCTGGACATGCTCGAGGACAACCTCACCCTCGGTGGTGGTGGTGGTAGTGGTAGTGGTCTCGGTGGTGATGACCTCATCCTCAGTGACGATCTCCTGCTCGCGAGCAATGATGGCAACAGCCTCGGTCTCCTCGACGATCTCCTCGATTTCTTCAACGGTCTCGAAGGTCTCGTAGGTCTTGACCTCGTAGGTGAAGCGCTCTGTCAATGAGAATACGAATATATAGTAGTTAGCAAGTGAACAACAGTAGTATCAGCATCAAATACAAACAATAATACAATGCCTATGCTTACCAGAGACGGCAGTCTCACGCTCCTCCCACTGAACACCGAAGTTCTCGTGGTAGGTAACCTGGAAGGCAGACTTGGCGGACTCGACAGTCTCGTGAGGTCCATCCAACTTGTAGTCGGTCTCTCCCCAGCGGTAGTAGACGTAGTACTTGGTGGTGGTAGTGTCGTAGAGCAACTGGGTGACGTGGGTGACGCCGGTCGACTTGTCGACAAGGACAGCATCGTACACCTCGTCATCGTAGTAGACATAGGAGGTCTTGGCGATGGGAGCGACGGCATCGACGTTAGCCTTGCGGGTAGTCAACACCTGGACGCTGCGCTTCCAGACACCATCAACCTTCTCCAAGGCACCGTGAGCGGCATGTCCTGCTCCAGAGGCGGCATCCTTGGCAGCACCAACAGCAAGAGCTCCGGCTCCGACAGCAACAGCACCAGCACCAACAACAGCGGCACCAGTGACAGTGGCAATCTTGCGGAACCAGGAAGTACCCTTGGGAGCAGCGGGCTTGGCAACGACGCCAGTCTCCTTGGTGATGATCGTCTCCTTGGCCTCCTTCTTCTCGACCTCGACATCAACCTCAACGGAAACATCAACATCGACCTCAACCTTCTTGTCAACGATCACGTCCTTCTGGACGTGCTCGAGAACAGTCTCACCCTCAGTGGTGGTGGTGGTAGTGGTAGTGGTCTCGGTGGTGATGACCTCATCCTCAGTGACGATCTCCTGCTCGCGAGCAATGATGGCAACAGCCTCGGTCTCCTCGACGATCTCCTCGATTTCTTCAACGGTCTCGAAGGTCTCGTAGGTCTTGACCTCGTAGGTGAAGCGCTCTGTAAATGAGAACATGAATATATAGTAGTTAGCAAGTGAACAACAGCAGTGTCAGCATCAAATACAAACAATAATACAATGCCTATGCTTACCAGACACGGCAGTCTCGCGCTCCTCCCACTGAACACCGAAGTTCTCGTGGTAGGTGACCTGGAAGGCAGACTTGGCGGACTCGACAGTCTCGTGAGGTCCATCCAACTTGTAGTTGGTCTCTCCCCAGCGGTAGTAGACGTAGTACTTGGTGGTGGTAGTGTCGTAGAGCAACTGGGTGACGTGGGTGACACCGGTCGACTTGTCGACAAGGACAGCATCATACACCTCGTCATCGTAGTAGACATAGGATGTCTTGGCGATGGGAGCGACGGCATCAACGTTAGCCTTGCGGGTAGTCAACACCTGGACGCTGCGCTTCCAGACACCATCAACCTTCTCCAAGGCACCGTGAGCGGCATGTCCTGCTCCAGAGGCGGCATCCTTGGCAGCACCAACAGCAAGAGCTCCGGCTCCGACAGCAACAGCACCAGCACCAACAACAGCGGCACCAGTGACAGTGGCAATCTTGCGGAACCAGGAAGTACCCTTGGGAGCAGCGGGCTTGGCAACGACACCAGTCTCCTTGGTGATGATCGTCTCCTTGGCCTCCTTCTTCTCGACCTCAACATCAACGGAAACGGAAACATCAACATCAACCTTCTTGTCAACAATCACATCCTTCTGGATGTGCTCGAGAACAGTCTCACCCTCGGTGGTGGTGGTGGTAGTGGTAGTGGTCTCGGTGGTGATGACCTCATCCTCAGTGACGATCTCCTGCTCGCGAGCAATGATGGCAACAGCCTCGGTCTCCTCGACGATCTCCTCGATTTCTTCAACGGTCTCGAAGGTCTCGTAGGTCTTGACCTCGTAGGTGAAGCGCTCTGTAAAAAAGAATACGAATATATAGTAGTTAGCAAGTGAACAACTGCAGTGTCAGCATCAAATACAAACAATAATACAATGCCTATGCTTACCAGAGACGGCAGTCTCACGCTCCTCCCACTGGACACCGAAGTTCTCGTGGTAGGTGACCTGGAAGGCAGACTTGGCGGACTCGACAGTCTCGTGAGGTCCATCCAACTTGTAGTCGGTCTCTCCCCAGCGGTAGTAGACGTAGTACTTGGTGGTGGTAGTGTCGTAGAGCAACTGGGTGACGTGGGTGACACCGGTCGACTTGTCGACAAGGACAGCATCGTACACCTCATCATCGTAGTAGACATAGGAGGTCTTGGCGATGGGAGCGACGGCATCGACGTTAGCCTTGCGGGTAGTCAACACCTGGACGCTGCGCTTCCAGACACCATCAACCTTCTCCAAGGCGCCGTGAGCGGCATGTCCTGCTCCAGAGGCGGCATCCTTGGCAGCACCAACAGCAAGAGCTCCAGCTCCGACGGCAACAGCACCAGCACCAACAACAGCGGCACCAGTGACAGTGGCAATCTTGCGGAACCAGGAAGTACCCTTGGGAGCAGCGGGCTTGGCAACGACACCAGTCTCCTTGGTGATGATCGTCTCCTTGGCCTCCTTCTTCTCGACTTCAACATCAACGGAAACGGAAACATCAACCTCGACCTTCTTGTCAACAATCACATCCTTCTGGATGTGCTCGAGAACAGTCTCACCCTCAGTGGTGGTGGTGGTAGTGGTAGTGGTCTCGGTGGTGATGACCTCATCCTCAGTGATGATCTCCTGCTCGCGAGCAATGATGGCAACAGCCTCGGTCTCCTCGACGATCTCCTCGATTTCCTCAACGGTCTCGAAGGTCTCGTAGGTCTTGACCTCGTAGGTGAAGCGCTCTGTAAACGAGAATATAAATAAATAGTAGTTAGCAAGTGAACAACAGCAGTGTCACCATCAAATACAAACAATAATACAATGCCTATGCTTACCAGAGACGGCAGTCTCACGCTCCTCCCACTGGACACCGAAGTTCTCGTGGTAGGTGACCTGGAAGGCAGACTTGGCGGACTCGACAGTCTCGTGAGGTCCATCCAACTTGTAGTCGGTCTCTCCCCAGCGGTAGTAGACGTAGTACTTGGTGGTGGTAGTGTCGTAGAGCAACTGGGTGACGTGGGTGACACCGGTCGACTTGTCGACAAGGACAGCATCGTACACCTCATCATCGTAGTAGACATAGGAGGTCTTGGCGATGGGAGCGACGGCATCGACGTTAGCCTTGCGGGTAGTCAACACCTGGACGCTGCGCTTCCAGACACCATCAACCTTCTCCAAGGCACCGTGAGCGGCATGTCCTGCTCCAGAGGCGGCATCCTTGGCAGCACCAACAGCAAGAGCTCCAGCTCCGACGGCAACAGCACCAGCACCAACAACAGCGGCACCAGTGACAGTGGCAATCTTGCGGAACCAGGAAGTACCCTTGGGAGCAGCGGGCTTGGCAACGACACCAGTCTCCTTGGTGATGATCGTCTCCTTGGCCTCCTTCTTCTCGACTTCAACATCAACGGAAACGGAAACATCAACCTCGACCTTCTTGTCAACAATCACATCCTTCTGGATGTGCTCGAGAACAGTCTCACCCTCAGTGGTGGTGGTGGTAGTGGTAGTGGTCTCGGTGGTGATGACCTCATCCTCAGTGATGATCTCCTGCTCGCGAGCAATGATGGCAACAGCCTCGGTCTCCTCGACGATCTCCTCGATTTCCTCAACGGTCTCGAAGGTCTCGTAGGTCTTGACCTCGTAGGTGAAGCGCTCTGTAAATGAGAACATGAATATATAGTAGTTAGCAAGTGAACAACAGCAGTGTCAGCATCAAATACAAACAATAATACAATGCCTATGCTTACCAGAGACGGCAGTCTCACGCTCCTCCCACTGGACACCGAAGTTCTCGTGGTAGGTAACCTGGAAGGCAGACTTGGCGGACTCGACAGTCTCGTGAGGTCCATCCAACTTGTAGTCGGTCTCTCCCCAGCGGTAGTAGACGTAGTACTTGGTGGTGGTAGTGTCGTAGAGCAACTGGGTGACGTGGGTGACACCGGTCGACTTGTCGACAAGGACAGCATCGTACACCTCATCATCGTAGTAGACATAGGAGGTCTTGGCGATGGGAGCGACGGCATCGACGTTAGCCTTGCGGGTAGTCAACACCTGGACGCTGCGCTTCCAGACACCATCAACCTTCTCCAAGGCGCCGTGAGCGGCATGTCCTGCTCCAGAGGCGGCATCCTTGGCAGCACCAACAGCAAGAGCTCCAGCTCCGACAGCAACAGCACCAGCACCAACAACAGCGGCACCAGTGACAGTGGCAATCTTGCGGAACCAGGAAGTACCCTTGGGAGCAGCGGGCTTGGCAACGACACCAGTCTCCTTGGTGATGATCGTCTCCTTGGCCTCCTTCTTCTCGACTTCAACATCAACGGAAACATCAACATCAACCTCGACCTTCTTGTCAACAATCACATCCTTCTGGATGTGCTCGAGAACAGTCTCACCCTCAGTGGTGGTGGTGGTAGTGGTAGTGGTCTCGGTGGTGATGACCTCATCCTCAGTGATGATCTCCTGCTCGCGAGCAATGATGGCAACAGCCTCGGTCTCCTCGACGATCTCCTCGATTTCCTCAACGGTCTCGAAGGTCTCGTAGGTCTTGACCTCGTAGGTGAAGCGCTCTGTAAATGAGAACATGAATATATAGTAGTTAGCAAGTGAACAACAGCAGTGTCAGCATCAAATACAAACAATAATACAATGCCTATGCTTACCAGAGACGGCAGTCTCACGCTCCTCCCACTGGACACCGAAGTTCTCGTGGTAGGTGACCTGGAAGGCAGACTTGGCGGACTCGACAGTCTCGTGAGGTCCATCCAACTTGTAGTCGGTCTCTCCCCAGCGGTAGTAGACGTAGTACTTGGTGGTGGTAGTGTCGTAGAGCAACTGGGTGACGTGGGTGACACCGGTCGACTTGTCGACAAGGACAGCATCGTACACCTCGTCATCGTAGTAGACATAGGAGGTCTTGGCAATAGGAGCGACGGCATCAACGTTAGCCTTGCGGGTAGTCAACACCTGGACGCTGCGCTTCCAGACACCATCAACCTTCTCCAAGGCACCGTGAGCGGCATGTCCTGCTCCAGAGGCGGCATCCTTGGCAGCACCAACAGCAAGAGCTCCGGCTCCGACAGCAACAGCACCAGCACCAACAACAGCGGCACCAGTGACAGTGGCAATCTTGCGGAACCAGGAAGTACCCTTGGGAGCAGCGGGCTTGGCAACGACACCAGTCTCCTTGGTGATGATCGTCTCCTTGGCCTCCTTCTTCTCGACCTCAACATCAACGGAAACGGAAACATCAACATCGACCTCGACCTTCTTGTCAACGATCACGTCCTTCTGGACGTGCTCGAGAACAGTCTCACCCTCAGTGGTGGTGGTGGTAGTGGTAGTGGTCTCGGTGGTGATGACCTCATCCTCAGTGACGATCTCCTGCTCGCGAGCAATGATGGCAACAGCCTCGGTCTCCTCGACGATCTCCTCGATTTCTTCAACGGTCTCGAAGGTCTCGTAGGTCTTGACCTCGTAGGTGAAGCGCTCTGTAAATGAGAACATGAATATATAATAGTTAGCAAGTGAACAACAGCAGTGTCACCATCAAATACAAACAAACAGTAAAATGCCAATCCTTACCAGAGACGGCAGTCTCACGCTCCTCCCACTGAACACCGAAGTTCTCGTGGTAGGTAACCTGGAAGGCAGACTTGGCGGACTCGACAGTCTCGTGAGGTCCATCCAACTTGTAGTCGGTCTCTCCCCAGCGGTAGTAGACGTAGTACTTGGTGGTGGTAGTGTCGTAGAGCAACTGGGTGACGTGGGTGACACCGGTCGACTTGTCGACAAGGACAGCATCATACACCTCGTCATCGTAGTAGACATAGGATGTCTTGGCGATGGGAGCGACGGCATCGACGTTAGCCTTGCGGGTAGTCAACACCTGGACGCTGCGCTTCCAGACACCATCAACCTTCTCCAAGGCACCGTGAGCGGCATGTCCTGCTCCAGAGGCGGCATCCTTGGCAGCACCAACAGCAAGAGCTCCAGCTCCGACAGCAACAGCACCAGCACCAACAACAGCGGCACCAGTGACAGTGGCAATCTTGCGGAACCAGGAAGTACCCTTGGGAGCAGCGGGCTTGGCAACGACGCCAGTCTCCTTGGTGATGATGGTCTCCTTGACATCCTTCTCGTCGGTTTCGGTTTGCGTGATGATGACATCCTTCTGGACGTGCTCGAGGACAATCTCATCCTGGGCGTTGGTTGTCGTGGTGGTGGTGACCTCAGTCTTGACAGTCTTGTTGTCAACCTGAACCTCCGTCTCCCGAGCAAGGATGAGAGCGACTTCATCTTCCTCAATGATTTCCTCGACTTCCTCAATGGTCTCGAAGGTCTCGTAGGTCTTCACCTCGTAGGTGTAATGCTCTATAAAGGAGAATGTTAAATGAAAAATAATAAGCGAATGCACATTTGTACTGGTATCCTAAAATCACCATTGCAGCAGAAGGCATTTACCAGAAACGGCAGTCTCACGCTCCTCCCACTGAACTCCGAAGTTCTCGTGGTAGGTAACCTGGAAGGCAGACTTGGCGGACTCGACAGTCTCGTGAGGTCCATCCAACTTGTAGTCGGTCTCTCCCCAGCGGTAGTAGACGTAGTACTTGGTGGTAGTGGTATCGTAGAGCAACTGGGTGACGTGGGTGACGCCGGTCGACTTGTCGACAAGGACGGCATCATACACTTCATCATCGTAATAGACATAGGAGGTCTTGGCAATAGGAGCAACGGCATCGACATTAGCCTTGCGGGTAGTCAATACCTGAACAGTGCGCTTCCAGACGCCATCGACCTTCTCCAAGGCGCCAGAGGCAGCGTTTCCAGCACCGGAGGCGGCGCCGGCAGCGACGGTACCGGCACCAGCGACAACGGCACCAGCACCAGTGGCAATATGGCGGAACCACGAGGTACCCTTAGGAACAGCGGGCTGAGTGGCAACTCCGGTGACCTTGGTGATAACAACCTCCTTGACGGCTTCATCCTCCGTCTTGTTGTCGACAATAACGGCGGTGTGAACGTGCTCAACAACAACATCGTCATCCTTGATGACCGTGGTGGAAGTGGTGCCCTCGGTGATGATCTTACCCTCAGTTACAACGCCCTGGTCGCGAGAAACGATGGCAATTGCGACGTCCTCCTCAACGACCTCCTCGATTTCCTCAATGGTCTCGAAGGTCTCGTAGGTCTTGACCTCGTAGGTGTAGCGGTCTGTAAATGTGAATGTTGATAAAAAAACTAATTAGGAAATGGACAACAATTGTCTCGACATCAAAAACAAATCATCACTGAAGGTGCTTACCAGACACAGTGGTCTCGCGCTCTTCCCACTGGACACCGAAGTTCTCGTGGTAGGTAACCTGGAAGGCAGACTTGGCGGATTCGACAGTCTCATGAGGTCCATCCAACTTGTAGTCGGTCTCTCCCCAGCGGTAGTAGACGTAGTACTTGGTGGTGGTGGTATCGTAGAGCAACTGGGTGACGTGGGTGACGCCGGTTGACTTGTCGACAAGGACAGCATCGTACACCTCATCATCGTAGTAGACGTACGAGGTCTTGGCAATAGGAGCGACGGTATCAACATGGGCCTTCTGGGTGGTTTGGACCTTAACGCCACGCTTCCAGACACCATCGACCTGGGTCAAAGCACCTGCAGCGACGACACCGGCACCAGCAGCAATCTTGCGGAACCAGGAAGAACCCTTGGGAACGGTAGGCTGGTCAAGAGTGACAGTGGTGTGACGAGTCTGGGTGGTGGTGGTGGTGTCCCTGTTAGCGAGGTCCTCGACAGTGGTGTCAATGGTGCGGATAACCTCGACGTGCTCGCGCTCAGAGGTCTGGCGGCTGGTCTCGGTATCCTTGGAGATGACAGTGATGGTGTCAATCAAATCGTGCTCCTGTTCCTCCTCGCTGAGGACGTCCTCATACTCCTCAAAGGTCTCGAAGGTATGGTGCACAATGGACCATTGAGCTAAATTGAATGTTGGAACAAGGAGGATTGTAAGTTAATAAAAATATACTTGGATGTTCATGTTACATGTTATCACTCTGAATGACAGTGTATAGGGAAATACTTACAGTTAGTGGTAACTTTGCGCTTCTCCCAGGTGATACCGAAGGTTTCGTTATACTGCTTCTTGTAGTGCTGCTTGGCGATGTCGACAGTTTCGTAGGGTCCATCCAAAGTGTACTGGTTCTCACCCCAGCGAAGGTAGACGTAGTAGGTCTTGGTCTCATAGTTGTAGAGCAACTGAGTAATATAAATGACACCAGTGGATCGCTGGGTTAAGGTGGTGGTGTAGAGCTCGTCATCCTTGAAGACGCTGACCTGGTTGGCGATAGGACAGACCGCATCAACCATTGGCTTGGGTGTGTTGGTTGTGGTGCGGGTAGTGGTGGTGGTAGTACCGCCGGTCTGCTCGCCAACGACGCCGCCGCGCTCGGCCTCGACGGTGATGGTGTCGTACTCGAACTCGACAGAGTTCCAGCTCTCATCGGTAGCGATCTTGGTCTCGCGCTCGGACCACTCAAAGCCGACCTTGGAAGCGAAGAGCTCCTGGAACTCAGCAGTGGCGATCTCAGTGCTCTCGTAGGGTCCCTCGAGCTGGCCCTCGGTCGAGCCCCACTGGATGTAAATGTAGTAGACGTTCTTGATGTTATCCTGAACGAGCTGCATCACATAGTCAACACCAGTCCCGGCCTCGACCAAATGGCAGGCCCAAACAGTACCCTCCTTCTCCACGACAGTAGCATCCTCGAGAGAAATCTGGCGGTGGACGCGAATGACACGGCGGGTGATCGTGGTGGTTGTGGTGGTGGTGATGGTGTACTTGGTGAGGTACTGGATGTAGCGAGTATAGACGGTTCTGTACTCGGTGATCTCACGTTCGATGGACTGGATATCGGTGGTGGTGTTGACATCCAAGGTGGTGATCCAGCTGAACTGAGTGACATCGTAGAGCCAGACGGTCTTGCCGGCAGAACGCTCGACCAGGATGGCCTTCTCGTTGATAAAGTCGACGACCTGGGAGGAGTTGGAGACCAAGGAAAGTGAGCCTTCCTCGGAGAAGGTCCACTGCTGAAGAGATGCATCGGCCTGCTTGGTCGAGAGGATCAAGGAGCCGTTGACATCAGCAGTCAGGTACAACCCAGTGAAACGGTTGATGACATAGGATCCCTCGAGCTTCCAGAGCTGAAGATCAACAAGGGCGTGGCGCTGGGCAGAGGCGAAACGCTTCTGGACAGACAGCTCGATCGAAGCACCTTCGGCACCGCGCTCTAACAGGTAGGTAGTCGAGATCGAAGCAACCTTGTTTCCGGCAACCAAGTAGAACCAAGCGTTGCTGGGGGCAACGATGCGCTGCTCGGTCTTGGCATACTCGATGACCTCAGTTGAGGTAGCAGAGGATCGGAGGACAATCTCTTCGAACTCCTCGTAGAACTCAAAGTCCTCAGACTGCTCAGTCTCAAGAAGAATAACCTCGGTCCAGACGATCCAGGAGAAGGAGACCTCGTAGACGGACCAGGAGACAGCAACAGTGCGCTCAACGAGGATGACTTGTCCGTCGCGGATGTTGAGGGCAAGGTGAGAGTACTGCTCGGGGAAGATGTAACCTCCCTCGATCGACCACTTAATGGAGTCCTTAGGGAGAGCTTGGACCAAGCGAACGTTCTCTTTGGCCTCACCCTGGATGGTCAAAGCCAAACCGGTGCGCTTGTTGATCAGGTAACCGTCCTTGAGGGTCCAGAGTTGGATGTCAAGGAGAGCATGCTGGCTGGCTGAAGCAGCGGTGGTCTGGGGATGGACGGCGGCATGAGCACCGACGCGCATGTGGTTGATGCCGAATCCGTTATCAATGTCGACGACGTATCCGTTAGAGGCGCGGATAAAGAAGTACGAGGTCTTGGAGAATCTCTCGAGTCTAGTGATGCGGACCTGCTCCTTCTTGAGGTAGGTGACATCGCTCTCGTTCAAGATATCGAGTTGCTCCTCAGTCTGATCAATGACGGGGCGGTCCAAAGTCAACCAAGAGAAGTGGACCTCGGAGAAGGACCAGTTCTGAAGGGTCTCACCTTGGCGGACCTGGCGAATGAAGGCGTTGGAACCCTGGCGACCATAGGAAAGGAAGAGGACGAATTCCTTGCGGTGAGCAAGGCGGAGGATACCCTGCTCGATAACCCAGCGCTGGGTCTCAGAGGTGGACTTGGTAGCCTGGACAAGCTTAGCGTTGGCTTCGACTAGAAAGTACAAGTGAAAATGAGATAAAAAGAGAGAGATAGTGAGTTGATGAGTACAGAGTATTATGAGTCTGATTAAAGGCTGTGGAAATCATTAAATAAATAGTCTCTTTGTCTTACTCTTGTCAACTGCAAGGACAAGTCCAGAGCGACGGTTAATAATGTAACCATCATCAAAACGCCAGAGCTGAAGCTCAAGAAGGGCATGCGAATGCTTGCCAGACTTGAGCTTCTGGTGGGCCAACTTGACCTGGGTACCGGCCTGGAGATGGTTGACCTGGCGTCCGTGCTCAACCTCGAGGACAAGATCGCTAATGCCAGACTTCAAATAGAACCAGCAGTTGACGGGGGCATGGCTGTGGTCGACAACACGAGCCAAGTGGTTGATCTCGTACTCCTTGAGCAACTCGACGTCGTTCTCAATAGTGCTGTAGCTGCGCTCGAGAGCCAACCAGGTGAACTGAACAGACTCGAAAGTCCCTATATATCGAATGATAATGGTGAATGTCTGCATGTTAGTGGACTTGACACTTTCATATGCGCGTAAATATAAGCTCCCTGAAAACGTGTCAACAACTTACAGCGCTGATCAAGGTTCTTCTTGTCCTTGCGCTCGCCGAGGGAGATGCGGGCACGCTCGCGGGTGCCGTCACCATCGACATCGAGAACAAAGTTAGGCACGCTCTTTAGGTGAATGAAGCCGTTGGAGACAGCCCACTGCTGGTTGGCGTTGTCCTGAGTCTTGCGAGTCCACTGGATAAGGCGGGTGCCGGACTTCAAGCTACCCTCAGCAGCATCGAGAACCAAGCCAGTACGACGGTTAATGATGTAACCGTTCTCGAAGCGCCAGAGCTGGAGCTCCAAGAGAGCGTGCTTCTGGGCAGAGGCTTGAAGCTTCTGGTGGTTGAGCTGGAGGTAAGCGCCAGGCTTGGTGTGGTCCTTGAGGAAACCGTGCTCAATGTCGAGGACATGGTTCGAGGCCTTGGACTTGATGTAGAACCATCTGTTGAGCGGGAACTCGACATGGGTAGAGACCTCGGCAACCTCGAGACCTTCATCGTAGGAGGCGGAGCGGCTGACGGCTCTGGAGTGTTTCAACCAAGTGGTTTGGGCGAGCTCAAGGGTCCAGGTGTTGACAGTCGACTTGCTCTCGACCAACTGAACACGGGAGCTGTCCTTGTTAGATTCGACGTTGATGATAAGCTTGGGGTTGTGCAACAACTGGATGTTACCATCAACGACGTTCCAGAGCTGGCTGTGCTGACCGTCCTCCTCAGTAGTGGCCTTGTGCTGTTGGATCAACTTGACGCCGACGACAGCAGAGCGACCATAGATGTCGATAACGTAGCCGGTCCTGCGGTTGAAGAAGTAGCCATCCTCGTATCTCCACAATTGCCTCTCCAAAAGGCTCTTGTCGGTATCTTCGAGTGAGCGCTGCTTCTTCATGGCAATGTAGGCGCCAGCATCGGTGGGGGAGGTGATCCAGCCAGCCTCCAAATCCATGACCAAACCAGTGGCGCTGGACTTGATGAAGAACCAGTCGCCCTTGGTGATGGGGACGACCTTGGAAGACACAGTGGTCTTCTCGGTGATGGTCCTGGTGACGTTGCGCTCGTGCTGGAGCCACTCAAAAGTAGCGAGCTGGAAGACCCACTGTTGATCCGAGTTGTTCTGGGACTTGGGGCGCTGGAGCGAAAGGCGGGAGCCAGCCTTGGTGCCGTCACCCTCGATGTCGATGGCGAAGGTAGGCTTACCCTGAATAATCAAAACACCATCAACAGACTCCCAGCGCTGGTGGTGAGCCTCCTTCCCTTGTTTGGGGACACCCTGCATCAGACGAGCACCATAGCGGACAACGCCCTGCTTGCAGTCGAGAACGAGGCCAGAGCGTCTGTTGATAATCTGACCGGCATCGTACCGCCAGAGCTGGGACTCGACATTGGAGTGGTCCGAGTCCGAGTCGTCGCTGATTTGGGTGCTCATGTTGACAAGGACGTTAGGATCCATGGGGTTGGACAAGAGACTCTGCTCGACATCGACAACAAGACCAGATGATTTTGACTTGATGTAGAACCAGCCGTTGGTGGGGAGAACAGTGGTAACAGGGGGTGCCTGTGTTGGTGCGGGGACTATTGTTAAAAAGAGAGAACACTTGTCAGCAAGTAGTTTTTGCAAGTGCTGTCTATCACTGTATTCCTTCATATCCTGGTGGTTGGTTCCCACGATGGGCCGGTCAACTTACTCTCACGCTCGATGACCTCCTCAACTGCTGCTGGTGTTGCTGGGACACTCAGCCATGTAAACCTGACCTCCTCCAAGAGCCCTGTTTTGAATGAAAAAGAAAGAATATGTTCTAGTTAGGAAAATGCGAGTCTATTGTTACCCAACTGGAAACAAAAATAACAAGCTGGATGAGGTGCTTACATTGCTGGTCCGAGTTGGCGGTCGCCTTGCGCTCTCCGACAGCAATCTTTGCGCCATCCTTTGAGCCATCGCCGTCGATATCCAGGACAAGTCGAGAGTTGTAGACGTTGGCAATAAAGCCGTTTTCGTAGAACCAGTGCTGGTTGCGGGCTTCTTGACCAGCCTTGCGTTGCCACTGAATGAGTCTTGCGTTCAATTTGAGGGTGCCTAAAATAATACGTATAAAACCATCAACCATCAATACACGTACAAATACGACCATATACATGCATGTGTAGTTTGTATGCATGCATGCATTGACGCACAGACGGACATCAAATGCATAAAAAACAAAATAAACACTAAAAGACGACAAGACAAGCTCCAAAAAATCCAAACAAGACCCTTACCACCCTGGATATCGAGAACAAAGCCAGTGCGACGGTTGATCAAGTAACCAGCCTCGTACCGCCAGAGCTGGAGCTCGAGGAGAGAGTGGCGACCGTCACCCTGGTCGATCTTCTGGTGGTTCATCTCGGCGCGGGCACCAGCCTTCATTGGGTCTGTGAAGTAGCCATGCTCGATATCAACTACGAGGCCAGAGGCGGCCGACTTGATGTAGAACCAGCTTGTAGGGAAGTTATCGGGGCGAATAGAGATGGATTCTGCTCTTGATGGCGATGGGGAGGCAGGCCGGCTATCACCTCCACCGGGGTAGTACCCTGTTGTTCATTGCAAATTGGAAAACGATATAAAAGAAAAAGACCAATAAGAGTCAGTCAAATGTCCAAGGCAGATGAATGAGATGAGAGCCAACATATTTCTTTTCTTTCCAGTGTCTGCTTGTTTGGCGGGAATTAATTTTGTAAGCAGGGGTTGGATTTGGTCTGGCTCTTTGGTGGTGGGATGGTGGGGGGTGGCGGGATGGGATGGGTTGAGATATGGGATGGCGGGATGGTGGGCGCTTACATTTTTGCTTTTCGTTGTATGCCTTCTTTTCTTGGATAGTAATACGGGTTCCGTCGCGGGTTGCATCGCCGTCGATTGTGATGACAAACTTGGGGTTGCTGGCCAGGGTGAAAACACCATCGTCGTTTAACCAATGCTGACCGGCGGCATCCTAAAACACGCAGAAGAAAAAAAGATGGCGAAATACCGCTTTGTCAACATCTGAGCACACATTCTCGTCTGTTTCTCTCCTTAACTTTTTTCGTCTCTCTCTCTCTCTGACTCTCGTCGTTTCTCATTAATGTTATCTGCCTGCTGTCTCCTGTCTGCTGTCTTTTGTCTGTTGGCAACCGTATGTTGTATCCATTGCTATTGATATTGCTGTCCACTGCCACTATTGACGCTGTTGCTGTTGCTGTCGCTGTTGCTGTTGCTGTTGCTGTTGCTGTTGCTGTTGATATGGCTGCTTCTTGTTTACCTTGCCGGTCTTGCGGACGTTTTGAATGACACGCGAGCCCGAACGGACAACGCCTAAAGGACGATTCAAATGGGATGTTTGATGAACAATGGTCAGTCAGTGCATGGTGATGTCGTTGGCATGGGTGCTTGTACTCTGCGACCGTTTGCGGATGCTTTTCAACAACCACTTCCTTCTTCCCTTCCCTGACGACTTCATGCCCCTGAAAATCAATGAATTAAATTTTCTTTGTCGTCCTCCCATTGAACGCACCGCCTCCAATTTTTACCTTCCCCTTTACTCACTCCATCCCTTTTTCCTGTTGTTCTTTGTCCCTTTTTTTTTACTCCCACGACCGTTGGAAATCTGCTTCTTTTAAAGGACAGATGGCAATGAGAAAAACTGGAAAAGAACACCCCGTCCTTTGTTTTTCCCATCTGGTGCGCTCTCCCACATCTCTTCCCTCTCACTCACTCATATTGGCACCTGCTCCACTCACTTTTTCAACTTTTCCTCTGTGGGATAACTTTTCTCTTTATCATCTGTTGCTCGTCGGTTCCTCTCCATTTCGCCTTTTCTGCGCCTTTTTTCTTTTACCTGTTGCGCCTTTTCCCCCATCTCACCAATGGACAGGTTACAAAGACGCAATAAAAGAAATCAGAAAATACCCCATTCTTCAATTCGACATTTTCCTTCCATTTTTTACCTCCTTGGATATCCAAGACGTGACCAGTGCGGACATTGACAATGTAGTTCTCCTCGGCCCTCCAGAGCTGCTGCTCCAATGCGGGAAAAGAGTCGGTCGAGCTCTTGGTCGACTTGCGATGGGCAAGTTCAACGCGAGCACCGGCCTTGAGAGGGTCCTTCAAGAAACCGCTCTCAATATCGAGCACAAGGCCAGCAATGCCGGACTGGATATAAAAGGCCCCGTTGGGGAAAGACAAGACCCTGCTGGATCTGTTTGAAGCTGTAGGCGAAGCCGACATGATGTTGTGTGTTGAAGGAAACTGGGATGGAGGGGGAAAATCGGCTGGAAGGTAGTTTTTTGTGCTAAAGAGTGAAAAAAAAAAGTTGCGATGCTTTTGTGCTTTCCTAGAACCTGTTTTTTATATACAGTTAAATACAGAGAAAAGTGTTGCTTTTCGATTGGTGTTTTTTTCGTTAGTAATGGTTAGTAGAAACGTTTGCTTGTTGTTGTTTTTTTGGTTTTTTGTCCAAGAGAGAGATTGTTAAAGGTTGGAGCTGGTGATTTTTTTTTGTAATTTTTGTGAGAAGGACGGAGAAGTGAGTGTGAGTGTGAGTGAGAGTGTGGTTTTTTTTTTACTCGACAGTGAGAAAATAGAGACGAATGAGTGAATGAAGTGTGTGTGTGTGATGGAGAGGAAGAATGGGTTGAAGAGGGGGAAAGGTCTTCTTGAATTCAAGCACAATGTCAAGACAAGTGTGGGGGCGAACAAAGGGAAAGAAAGGGGAAAGAAAGAAAAAAGAGAGAAAAAGGGGGAGGGGGAAGCAAGAAAAGAGAGAAATAAGAGGAGGATGATGAGGTGTATCGATGGATGGTGGATGGCTAGAAAAGGTATATGCAAGAAAAGACCATGGGAAACAACCTCGGGAGGAGGGGTTTACTCAATCATACACATTTCAATTCATTCGTAACAACATAGCACACAAACACCATTGCCCACTGTCCATTTGTCCATTGGTCCCAATGCTCTCACAATGTAAGGTTATGTGTATATATAAACCCTATTCAAAGATGAGATAAAATAGAAAACTGCCATGCTGTCCACTCGCAAGCCTTTGTCATGTCATGCCATGAATATCTAGGCACCACTTACTACCTTACTACCAGCACCCTCGTCAATTGGAAGACATGACAAGCCTCGCGCTGCCAGTCAGAAAGTCAACTTGACCACCAAGGGCCACTCTCATTCCTTGCCACACGCGTGTTGTATATTCTGGATGTAGCCCCACGGCTTATTCTTTTTTGTGTGTATGGTAAGCAACTTTAATCATTCGACATTGCTGAGATGGAAATAAAAAATAGCAACAAGCAAAAAAAAGTCCAATTGACCTCTGCTCGGTTGTTCACATTGTGGCAATGCTTCTCACCCATCACGCTTCATGCTTGATGTTGTTTATTACGAACAAAAGGAATGAAGTACTGTAAAGAAATAGCTACGAGGAAATAATCAACTCTTGCACACAGCTGAACCTTTCCTTTCTTCTGCTTTGCTTTGCTGACAAGAACACGCAGGGGAACATACAACTTATTTCATCCAGCTAGTGAAATGTTAGGGTCAAAGGTGTGCTTCGTCTCCCATTCGTTTCAATTCGTTCGTCACTCATCAAAAGTTATAAAATAAGTAGTATATTGTTTTTGAGAGCATTGGACTATTAGCTACTGTGCCCACCCATCCAGGTCGGATCGTTTTCATTCTCCCTATTTTTGTTAAAAGCTGCTTCTTGTCATACAGGGATTTGCACCTGCTGTGCTTGCAAAGACACAATCGCCTCCACCTCCTGTCTTCATATCTCTTGTCGCAAAGAACGTATTGGTTTAACTGCTGCCAGTCTGGCAACAGTCCTCCTCCATCACTCCTTCCTCACTGAAGCATGGACATCCTCAATAGTAGCAGTCGAAACAAAGAAATCTCATGGTGAGACCATGGCGCAAAATTGAGTTTCTCTTCTTCATCCTTCCTTCTTCTTGTCAAATGAGAAAAGATACAGGAATGTTCAACTCATTTTTCCCTGTTGGTTTATTTTGTTGTCTCCAGGCTCCATCTAACACCATCCCATCTCGCCTTTCCTTTATTTTCTTCTGTCCCGTATGAGACCTGTGCAAATTGTTATATGTGTTTTGCTGTTTTGCCTGCCCTTCTTTGCCTTTCCTTGCCCTGCCCTGAATGCAATACATCCAAGACAAGGAAGTGCCTATAAATTTCTTCTTTGCCTTTCCCAGTGATGATTGATGGAAGTGTTGAGTCAAGAGCGAGTTAGTGTGTGAGTGGCCAACGATCAACCCTTTGTATTCGACATGTTCCAGATCATCTTTCTTCGATTCACCTTTGGTCTCGCCCCAATTCAGGAACTAATATACGATAGGTTTTGACCAGAACTCCGTAAACCCATGGGAGGCTGGAACGCGCGCAGCTAATCGACCTATTAGTTTTCTTTCTGTTACTGCCTTCATTTTCCACGTTGAGTGCTCCCGATGCATATATCCGTCATTGACTGAAGAAAGCCCATTCCTGGGATCCGAAAATAACAAATACAAAGGAAGGAAGCGGGTATATATGTGGCGCATTGTTCCCTTGTGTTCGTGTTCATTACATTGTGTTTCTCATGGACACGAAAAAACAACAAATGGCCAGGCAATGTCTGTTTTTACTGAAACATTTGGCCTTCATTTTGCCTATTCAGCTTTGGGAAGAATGCTACAGTACCACTGTACGCGAGAAAAGGAGGTAATGGCGTAGAAAGTCATACAACCCTCACCTATGTGCAACACATACCATCCTTTGCATGTTTACCATAGTCCACAATTGAATTGTCCGATTGTATTCTGTAAAAGTGAGCTCATTTTGCGCGCGCGCGTCGTGCGCTCTGATGTGTACGGAAGTAATTTTTGATAGATGACGATCGCCCCAACTATCCCATGCACACTCACACACACCTTGCCCTGACTTACGACAACTCTCATCCTCTCAAAAGACTATTGTTTACTCAACACTCAATTCAATCACCCATGCACACTTTATGTATTCTCTCCTTGTGTAAAAGAAAGAACACAAACAAAGGGTCAATTTGGGCGGGATGTCGCTCTCTGCCGGCCAAATGTCGCCTCCTTGCGGTGCTTTCTTTTTTTCTCATCTGTCGTTTTGCCCAAGCCCTTCGGGTCGTTCTAACCCTATCCGCTTACATTCTCGCGCGTCTCTGTTTACAAGCCCCTTTTCTACATTCTTCTCTCTTTGTCCTTCTCTCCATTTTTGCTCAACCTACTCGACCATTGAAAGACTGGCTTAATATCTACTTTGAAATATCGTGACACTTTGAAGGAAGGCAATGTACACTAGTCTTTTTTCACGAGCAAAACCTCATGACCAAGTGAAGGAATGGGAAGGAGAGAGTGTGTGCACCCATAGTACACACCTTTTGTGTGTAACGCTATTTTTCTATTTGTGCGCTTCTCTTCTTTTCATTCCGCAAAAACGAAACTGGCCTTCACGACTTTGTTGGACTGGACTATGTAGCAAGAGCAGCAAGGGAGCAAGTAGAGGGATGAACAAAAGAGAAAGCGATATAGAGAAAGAGAGGCATATGTATCTCTTGATCACCTCACTACTACTTCTGTGGATTATGCTGACCCCTCTTTTTTGTTCCTTTTCTAGGGTTTCATCCCGTACTGCACAACTCCCCTAACGACATTTCTTTTTCACATTGCGTACAACAGCATTTGACAACAATGCATCCCCCCTTTAAAATCTGCCGAGGTGGTTTTCCTAGATACCCCTTCCCTATTCCTTCCTTCTTTCCTCATCTCCTTCATCTCTCTTCTTCTTCTCTCTTTCCACTTCCTCTTTCCCTCTCCTCTCTTTCTCTTCTCTCCCCCCTCGCGTTCATGATGTCAGATGAACTATAGAACATAAACAATTCTGCATTTCTAAGGCATGTCGCACTGTGTCAATTCCATCAAACTGCACAATGACAATAACAGCAAGGTGATGAGTGAGAAGAGGGAAAAAAACCTGTTGTCCTCCTTCCTTCATTGCCAGGGCAAGCTGGCGGTGCTATCTATTACTTTCCTTTTTTTGCATGATTGAAAATACAAAGGGATACGCCGGGACATTGGAGCAAGCAAGCAACAGATGGGAAAAATAATAATATGCATGGCACAGACTCAACCCGTGCGGTCTGTGGGCCACGAAAAAGTGCCTTCTCATTCTCAGCAAAGGGTGAACAGAACAAATTGAACACGGACTGCAAAAGTAAGTAGGCACTTGTTCATGCATGGGGTTGCTTTGTGCTGAACCAAGCACACATGTTATGTAGGGGTAACAGTGCGCCTTGTCAGGTAGAAGATACGGAGAAAGATAATCATTAACACAACAGCAACAACGACAACAACAAAAACAACAACAAAGCAGCCTTCCGATTGAAAATATTTATTCTGAAACGTCCGATGAAATGGATGAATCATTCGTCGCGTCTGTTGCTATCTATTTTGCCGTTGCGTTGGAGAGTGTATGTGAAAATGCGACCATGCATCCAAAAGGTCCAAAGGGTCTAGTCGCGACACTTTCCAAACGACGCGTTTGCTGACATGATTATCATTCACCCCTCGATCATTCATGCCGAGGAGTGTGATGCCCTTTTTCACGCTCTGTTTATTCGAGCTACAGCTATCCTTTGTTGTTGTTTGTAGTAGTCGTGATCGATCGATAGTTGGTTGCACTGCAGCAGTAAGCAGCATGCGCCCACAGCAAAAAGAGAAGGTTAGAAAACGTAAGCGGGGCATATTCGATCGTACAAAAGGTCGGTTACTCGAGGAGAAGAGAAATGGTTACGCGCATTGGTTGAACAAACCAGCCAAAAGAAAGAGCGGGTAAGGTCGTACCAAAGAAGAGTCGTTCGGCTCCATTTTGGTTATTTAGTCTTTTCTGTGCAACGACAAAAGAAACACAAACGACAGGGCAGGGAGGGGACACGCACCAAGTGGCCAGGGCAGAGCGGAAGTCAAAGGAGTGATGTTAGTCACTGTTGCTGTTGTTCTTTGTCCACGCGAGTGGGTATTGCTTTGCTTTGCTTATGCCTTTTCTATACCTTTTTTGCTAGAAAGAATCCTGCTGGTGGGCGCCGGCCAGTCTGACAAGATGGAACAGCCAATTCCTGTCTGTTTGGAAAAATCAAGTTTTGCTTGTTCCTTCTTTCTAATCTCCAACCCTAATCTCAACTCCTTCTTTTGATGGATACCCGTCGTAGGGTACATAGTTTACAAATGGGATCTCAAATTTTTTTTTTTTTTTTTTTTTTGCGATTTTTGGTGAAGAAAAAAGAAGAACGGGACTTTGCGAAACTCTCGGGAAGGATGAAAGAGAGGGTGAGCGCCAAACCCTCATTTTTTCAGGCAAGTTTGTGTCGCACCTTTTTTTTTTTTTTTTGGTACTTGCCTCTTCCCATTGCATCCCGACCGCTCGACTTTTTTTCGACTCGATCCCAAACCATCCCATGAACCGTCGTCCCATCAACCACACCATACCATACCGCCGTTGTAGCTCCGCACCATCATGATCATGTGTATGGATACCCAAATACCATATCCCTATGCATGGATTGTTGTGCGTGTTGTTCAGCCATTCGCATGTTCGTACCCCCACTCCTTCTCTGCTTCCCAGCTGCAACTCCGGGTAGGTGCCAAACTCAACCTAACTCATGCTTCAGCTTTTTTTCGTCCCGCCAGGACGCGCCATGAAAAAAGTCAGCCACAGGAAGCATCCCAGCGGACAGATAAACAGACAGCAAGAGCAAAGCACACAAAACAACAAAAAACGAACTGACCATGGGTACCACCTTGCATATAGGGCCATTCGCAATTGCATAATCACCACCAAAGCGCAGAAGTTTTTTTTTCCCACTCTTTTTGCTAGCTCATTTCTTTATTTCTCTCTCTTCCTTTAGCATTCGTTCTAAGGAGAAAGTAAAAGGCATTAGAAAGCACTAGAGAGGGGGGGCCTTTTCGCTTCAATGATGATGGATAATGAATTTCATCCCTATCCTATGGTCGCAATTATGCTCGTTTCCGATAGAACCAATCGAGACACGCGGAATTAAATAACAATCCATGACGGGGTTCCAGAAGCTGGATTCATTGATATTATTTTTGAACAGGAAAAGGGGACGATAGAGAACAATCGCAATCGGGGAGGAAGAATGACACAAAAGCTGTGTCAATCTCAGTGTTCTCGACCCTTTCTTCTCTGAACAAAAGCACGCTGTTCAATGGAGCGAGAACAAAACCCCTTCCCCTCCTCCTATTTTTTTTTTTTTTCTGTTCAAACCTTGGATAGAATCGGGAAAGAAATGAGGAAGACGGTAAAAACAGAAAAAAATGTTGTGAGCATTGGGAAAAAAGGGCCAGAAGTGACAATGGGTAACAAGGAGAAGGTATTATTTTCAACTTAGGGAGGTATTGTTCAAATACATTCAATCGATCGCACATCTTTCTTTCCCCCCCAACACGATGAGGAAGAGGACCGCAACCAGCAACGACGTCGGCCTATTATTTCCCTTGCTCACAGAAAAAAACACAAACACAAACACAAACACAAAAAAAAACGAGGACAAAGAAGGGCATGAGTGCGAGAAGACCAGGTTAGGTCATCCACCCTATCCCATACTTCTATCCTTCTCTTCTTCCTTCGTCTGATACCTTGTCCACGCGTTCGTGTTTCCTTTGGTATGATGGGTGGATGGATGAGATCTTCCTTCCTTGTTCACATATCCGCGGACAATTGAGTTCCAAGGCGTTGCCACTTTCTTCTTGCCCCATTCCTCTTGGTGCGATTGACTAAGCACACTGGCAAAACGCGTTCTTGTTGTGTGCTGGGCCGATCGTTGCCTCGTGTTCGACCGTCGTATCCCTGCTAACTCATATTTTTATCACTCCGTCTTTGTCGTCGTCCTTCATCGTTCGTCGGACATCCTTTTTTTCGTCAACAAAACCCCCTGCAGAACAACGTCAGGCAAAAAAAAAAAATTAAAAAAAAATGAAGCATGCCTCAGCAACGACAAAGAATAGAGTGTCGCGAACGAATGTGAAAAATGGCGACAACAACTTCTCTCGTTCCTTGGCGGCAGACTCGTCATCACGAGCTAAAAAAAACACACACACACAGAAACAACCACAACAACAGCAAAAAAAAACTCGAGACTCTTTCCTCTCTTCAACCTCCTGTCTTCACGCCATCCGTCGCGTTGCTTTGTTGTTGTTGTTGTTGTTGTTGTTGTTTGTTGACGAGTGTGGTATCGAAGGAGATTAGCCTTCCGTACAATGAGGAAGACGCCAGGGCAACAGTACAGTTACTAGGTAGGCAGCTGACACAACAGACTTCAAAGCATATTTGATTTTGCCAGACCACATTTGTACCCACGCAAAGCGCCTTAGACCAAACAACAAAGAAGGAAGGAAGGAAGAGGAAGAAAGGACGGATGGCAGGGGGGGATCCAGGCCAACTTTTTTTTTGTTGTTTGTTACAAAAATGTAGTCAATTGAAAGTAAAAAAACTGCCTTTTTGCGCCGCACACAATCAAAACAAGATGGTGGAGAGAAAGAACATGAGCATAGACAGATGTTGATGGAGCGAACAACATCTGTGTCAACAACACAAGCACCTACACCTTACTCACACGCACACACCAACTGATAAAAAATGGTCAACAAACAAACAAGGAAACGATGGAAAGAAAGGCAAGGAAAAAAGGTCAACACACACACACACACACACACATACACAGGGGTGCATGGCATGGCATGGCATAAACAGCCATCCCACTGTTCGTCCATTCATGCAAGCGTTGTCCTTCGTCATGCCTTTTTCCTACTTTGCTCATCCTACCTTGCTTTGTCCCCTTGCCCTGAATTGCCCTTTTCTTCTCTACTTCCTCTTGTCACTGCTCAGAGGGAAAGGAAAATTAGCAGAAACACAGGCAATAAGCGTAAGCAAAAGCCAAAAGGCATGAGCCAAAGGGTTCGCTTCATGAGCCATTGACCGATGACGGTAAACTAGGAACAGGATATCAAAAATGGATGGGGCAATGGGGGAGGGCCGCATGGTATAGAGAACGAGAAAGAGAAACATCGCCTCAATGGCGAATTGGTCTTACTTTACATTCTCGGGACACTCACCTTTTCTAGCTATCCTTGTCCCAAGCCTGTGCCATGTCTCGCAGTGCCGTTTGCGTGTGCCATGGCTCTCGTGGCCGCTCTTCCCTCTTCCCTTGGCCATGTGTTTTGCACCTATCTTACAAGCAGACCCGAGAAGTAGTTGTTTTGTCATATCGTTCATTTAGTTTATTCATTCAATAGTCATACAAGAGAATCGCGACAAAACAGAAGCAAGCGCGTGTGAGAGAGTTGTCTAGTCGAAGAAAGAAAAGGAAAAGGGATTCTATGGGGAAATCATGAAGCTCACGTCTCCGTTCCCTGGCGACTCGGGGGCATAATAAAAGCCTGCCATGAGAACACAGTAGCTCAGGATGAGAATGCTGCCCTTAAAGTAGTTACTCTTGCCCTCAATATAGGTGTACGTCAACAAGAAGACAGAGAACAACATCGTGAACACATCCCACCGCGGGAAGATCAGGTTGAACGTAAACTTCCACATCTGCACCTTGCCATAGTTCAGCCAGGCAGAGACCGCAACCATCGCCGGGATCTGGATCAGACACACCTGCAACGCGTATGCAGATCCAATTTCCATCGACAGCGCAATGTTCCCGTACATCGCAAACGAGATCGCGTTCATGAACTCGGTCACGTTAGGGACAAGCGCAAACAGCGTCAACCCCAACAGTTTCTCGTCAATGGACGACACCGCATCCACACTGTCCACCAAGATTTCTATATCAAAAACAAAAGCAGGAAGAGAGGATTAATGCTCTACTCTACTCTACCCTCATCATGAGCAAGCCATCTTTCAAACTCAAAAAAGGGTAACTGTTAGGTCCTTTTCGAGCTCCACGTGGGCCTATCTTCCCTACTTTCTGTTTGCTTACCTGCAATGATAGAATACAAAACTGTGCAGGATAGTAGCACTGTGGCACTCTTAGCCTTGGACCAATTGGGGGAATCATGTCCTCCATGAGCCTCCTCGTCCTCCTCGTCATGCTCATGCTTGAGCGAGTCATGTTCCATCGAAAGCGACGAAAGCAATCCTTGCGCAGCATGGAGCGCTGGTGCTGGAACAGTGTTGCTACCGCTTGCTTCAGGTGCCGAATGGGGGGGTCGTCTTTCACCCAAGCCTTCCTGAGAGGAGGTTGCCTGATAGTCTGTAGCAGCAGTGGCCCGGCCCATCTCGGCATCAGTACGGTGAGGAGCTGCCGCTTGGGTTCCTGATCCATAATGAAGTAATTGCTGGACAATGTGTGTTGGGAGGAGCTTTCTGTAGATGGACGAGTCGCGGATCGAGGGCTGCTGAGGCTCGTGCCAAATCTGCTTGACATGAGTTCTGAGTGAGAACCAGATACCGATCAAGTAGGCAGAGGGCAAGATGATGCAGCAAAAGTACATCAACGGCTTGACATTCTTCTGGAAAAAGATATCGTCTGTTGGATTGGGCTGGTGGTGGTAGCAGCGTTGGCAAGTGGCCTCGATTGGGAGAGGGACCGACTCGGGGCAAGGTGTGCAGCGAATCTCAAACTAGTATGACAATTGCACCAAAACGTAAGTATTAGTGGTATGCCTTGAGTATTGTTATCGTATAGCCAAGATTCAAGGCGCCATGATGACTTACGCGACCGTAGATGGAGTAAAACAGCGTTGGCGTCAAGACTCCAATGAGGGACATGATAAGCATCGTAGCAGTGACACCTAATTACAGGACGTCGTCAGATTGGTATCAATGCATAAACTGAAGCGTACTCAATTGGTTATGAAACAAAGACCGAGGACCGTACCTGCACTCTTGGCGTTGAACTTCTGCTCCTTTTTCTTGACGGCTCCACTCATCATACTCATTCCAGGCATCAACAGGGTACCGGCCAAGAAACTTCCAATAAGGGCCCCCTCTGTGATGAGTCCTTTGCCCTGGGTAAGCGCAACGGAGTACAGGATGATCTCAATGATAGATCCGAAGGTAGCATTGATTACAGCACCCATGCCCAGGGACGACTGAGCAGAGATCGACGAGACGGCCATGCCAATAAAGTACGACAGAGGGATCACAGACGCCAGTCCCAAGGAAAAGATAACCTCAGGCGATGTGATAAGAGTACCGTGGCCGAGAACCTTTGTCAAGACGTATTCATCCAGAATGGTGAAGAAGACGACGGGCAGCAAGTTGATAAAGATGATGTTGGTGCCGTCATAAGTGTACTTGTAGTACTGGAATCCAATCGCGTCATAAGTACAAAGAAGGATCTCCGATCGCTGGGGAGAGAGCGAAAGCGAGCTGCCGCGCTTAAAGTTGAGTCGCAGCGGATCCCTGTGCAAGTGGGTGGCGAGAACATAGGTGAACTTGCCCATTGGAATCGAAACGACCATAAACCAGCACAAGCAGGATACAAGCATATGCAGGGGTCCTATGATGATGGTGTCAGTGTGAAATTGCAGCGGAGATTAGTTATGAGGAGAAGGATATGTGTCAGTCAAAGATCTGTTCTTTCAGGTGCATACAGATACCGCACTGCACGGTACATCATCTAATGTCGACAGCAATGCTATGACAACACGCAAACAAAAATAAGATGCCTTACCGATCAACAGGTAGTAAAAGGTGTAATAGACGATTCCTCCCAGGCGAAGGCGGTAGATGGTGCTGGGAAGGTATCTGATAAAGGTCCAAACCTTGCGATAGAACGGCACCTTGCGTTCCCGTTCCAGAACTGAGCTGCTTCTCGAGAGGAGTGGTCGAGATTCATCGTCTCCATGATCATTATTGCTCGATGCGCTGGTGCTGTACATGCGGTCGGTCCTGAGTTTCCCTGGTGGCAATTCGCGCTCGACATATTGTCCAAAGGGCCAGACGAGGTAATACGAAAGTCCGAGTACGACCCGTCCGTATGCACTTCCTCCGAAAGGGATCAGATAGAGAATGATGCCGCTGACGAAGCAGACAAGGGCGAGCCACCAGCCAAAGACAAGGGTCCAGAGCACGTTGCCGACAGAGAGGTATAGATCGGCGGAAGGTTGAGAGTGAAGGGCCGAGTTGGCTTTTCGGATGACGGAGCGGGACTTTTTGTATAGAGCTGGTTTCCAAAGAGGCAGACCAAAGGGATGTGTTTGGTTAAGCGTCTACAACCACAGAGGTAAAAAGGGTAGACTACGTTAAAAATGAGCACCAGCAGTCGGATAGAAACAGGTGACACAATGTTCCGGGTTAGGTTCGCTTTTAGCTTCAATGTCGTCGTTCGCTCGTTTGTTCAAAGATAAGAAAGTCCGATAGTATCAGAAACCCTCGATCCTCCACTATCCTGCCGTTCATCGCATGTTCCTGTCAACAAGTCTTTTGTTCTTTGTCCTTTGTCCTCCGTTCTTCGGTTCGTCTGCTCTGCTCCTTGTCTAATATCCGTGTGTTGCTGCGTCGTTCTGCGTTGTAGCGTAATTGAAAAGTACGCGGAGGAACAACAACAGAGTGATCACGAGCATTGGAAAAACATTCAAACAGCTGGGCTATCGCTTCTCTCTTTCTTTTCAAGGGGGAAGGGTCAAGAGCGGCCCAAGATGTGTCAGCACACTTGCGCAGACAATTAGGACGCAAGATTGTTGTTAACCTTACCTCCTGTCTATCCTTGAGTGTCCAAGGTTCAGCTTCACTTCCTTCACCATCGTCCTCCTCTCCCGACTGGTTGTCATATTGTTCTCGATCATGCCCAGACCGGTCGTCATAGTCGTCACCGGCCAGGATGCGTGTTGATCTCCGGGACATGCGTGGGCGTGCACGACTGTGACTTGACCGATTGTCATCATCATCCTGCTGGTTATCGTCGTCCTCCTCATCCTCGTCCTCATCCGACGATCGGTTGCGTTGGCGGATGGAGGACCGACTTGATCCTGGGCGTTTGCCGTGTGCTGGACGACGACGACGACTGCCTGAGCCACCAACGTTGTCATTAAGCACGTTAGACGAGTGTCGTACGGAAAGCTTGGGTCGTTTCAGGGTGCCTGAAAAAGAAGAGGGTGGTCCACCCTGTTGCTGTTGTGTTGGTGTCCTTTGATCAGAGGCTAGTGAGGCTGTCTCATGGTTGTTATTGTTATTGTTGTATTTGATGGTCGAGTTTGAGGCATTAGACCCCAGGGAGTTGATAGAGACTCTGCGTGAGTCCCGTTGAGAATGTGGTGGAGGGCGGTGGGAAGGGGAGGGATGTTCTTCAGAGTTTGAGTCTCTAGTAGCTTCTTGGGGGAGATTGATGTTCTCAAGTTCGTCGCTGAGATGGGAGTCCCTGGAAGTGGCCATTTCTTTCCGGGGATGAGGGGTTCGGCGGGGATGGGTAAGAACGCAGTAGGCGTCAGAGTGTATGTATAAGAGGGAGCAGTGTGGACTATGAAAGGAGAGTGAAGTAGGAGTAAGAGATAGAGATTTGTTCGTCAAGGAAGAAAGAGAAGATAAAAAAAAGGAACTGGAGAAGGGACACAACAACGAAGTGTGAAAGAAGTAAAGAAGTAAAGAGAAGAAACAAAAGTGTGATAAGGTTCGGAGAACGAAGGTGGCTTTGATCACGAGGACGAGGACGATGATGATGATGATTTGCAGAGACAGGCACAGGTACAACAATGTATCCAAAAGGGAGGGAAAACTAAAGCAAGTTAGCGTGTTTGACCTTCGGAGTCAAGGGGCAAGGTGTGGTCTCAAGTAGAAGGAACACAACGAGGAAGGCGATACCTTGAGAGAGACCTACAGCAGCACTGAGCAACTTTATTCTCTTTCTTTGTTGCATGGTGTCCGCAAAACACCGAAAAGGTCGAAATACACCCTGGAAAATACCAATCAAGGATGCCTTGCCATGTCATGTGTCCGTGTCTGTGTCTCTCGCAATCTCCATGTTATGTTGTGTCGGTGGGCATGAAGGGAAAACTGCACACAGTCAAAGAAGAAATGTTGGGATAAGAAGCGACAGTGCCACATGGTCCATCTTTCTCTCCTTTTGGCAATGTGTGGACAGGCGTAGGGTATGAAGGTGGAAAACAAGGGGACATACATCGTCTCAGCAACGTATCGATTGTAGTGTGGTGCAATATGGAGAGATACACGGGTAAGAGTCTTGGGTTGAGCACATAATTATGAAAAAGGAGCGGGGAATAGTGGCTGTGTGTCTGATGCACCGATTGAGCGTCGAGGAGGAAGAAAAAGAGGCGGAACAATCGACGGGTGGTATGAGGAGTGCAAACTCTTCAACGTTGCCTTCTCCACAACAACCCCGGATTTCCGAGCACTGGATCAAGCGTAACTCTAAACAGACGATTTGATCCGCTTCGATGCCAACAAGAGTTTGTGGACTGGTCAATGAAGTGGGCCAAGAAAAGGCGGGGTTGTGAAGGCCAAAGGACATTTGTTGTTGTTGATGACACTATTCCATTGTGTATGGAAGGCAACGTTCATTCGTAACAGTGGGATGCAGATCCAATTTTGGCCACAAGATCGTTCTTCTTTTCTTCTTGTTCAAGTATCAGTCGTTTACCTCGGCCAGGGACCAGTTACTTGTGTTGCCACCAATATTTGTGCAGGTAACCCACCGCAGACAAAGAGACTAAAAAAAGTAGGTCTGACTGTGTGTCTCCACTTTTTTTTTTTTGGATTTTTCCATTCGGTGAGCTGAACAGGATGGGTCTCAAACTGGGGCTGGATGCGTCTCTTTTCTCCACCCTTTCTCCATTCGACTCACATTCATATGCACCGGTACACAGTGCAGAAGCCACTTCACTCTTCGGACGTTTGTTGCCTTTCTTTGTCTTGAACTCCTTTTTTTTCACCGACGTGCTTCTTCTTTTTCCTCCCCTCTATTATTTCTATTCCCCCTCCACTCCCTTCTCTCCCCAGCCGCACCTGCCCCTTTTCATTCCGTACTGCCAATTACGCACACACTTTTTACCTTTCTTTCTTTAACATTCCCACCCTCTCACACTTTACAAAAATGACATCACCATGGCTCATCTCACGGTCAAGGCACATCGCCGCATTCTCAAGGTCCATCAACGTCAATCATTCCGCAGCCGCACACAGACAACCTACTGCCGCTGCATTCACCACTGCCTTCCTTCAACATACTCATAACAGCAGCTCGGATATGCGCCGTCACTTCTCTATGCCTGCACTTGCTCAGGAAGAAGACCCGGTCGTCCCATCTATCCAGCAGGTCATGAAAGCAAGAGCTCAGGTACTATTTTGTTCTTACTTTGCAACTTTATTTCACTGTCATTGTCACAAACAAAGGTCTCCTAGAGACATACCTACGGAACGACGAACTAACGAAGCACACCTCTCTCACATTACAGGCCAAGATTGCAACAATTGACCAGGAAAGACCCTTCTCCAAAGTGTTGACGGACAACTTTTCAAGGCAGCACACTTACTTGCGGATCTCGTTGACGGAAAAGTGCAATCTTCGTTGTAAGTTGGATCCTGAGAATACAAAAAATACAAGATAAAACAAACACGCGTTTAGTTCACATATAATTACGATCAAATTACTAATGCCGGCGTCTCCCACTCCTAGGCACGTACTGTATGCCAGCAGAAGGAGTGGATCTCTCGCCCAAGGACAACATCTTGACAACGCCCGAGATTATCCGCCTGGCTCGCTTGTTTGTTCAGGAGGGCGTGACAAAGATCAGACTCACAGGAGGCGAACCCACCGTACGCAAGGACATCAATGAGCTCGTCGGTGTGTGCACTTTACTTCGCAACTGGACTTCTTATCCTAGGGAGTCAAAACGTTAGATGGTGACTCATCATTACGCTCCACTAACCTTTATATGCTTTACGCTCATCGTCTCTAGAACAACTGGGCCAACTGCAACCAATGGGACTCAAGACGATCGCCATGACATCCAACGGCATTGCTCTGAAACGAAAGTTGCCCTCGCTGGTCAACAGTGGCATGAACCTCCTCAACCTCAGTCTGGATACTCTGGATCGTTTCAAGTTTGAGCTGATGACTCGCAGAAAAGGATTCGAGAGAGTTATGGAGACTATTGATGACGCCCTTGCTCTCGGAATTGATCCAGTCAAGGTCAACTGCGTAGTCATGCGTGGAACCAACGACAAGGAGGTCCTTGACTTTGTCGAGTTTACACGGAACAAGAAGGTCGATATTCGATTCATCGAGTACATGCCCTTTGGAGGTAAGCACCGGCTTGAACAGAAAAGCTAGAAGCTCGATCTCCGAATGAACCAAAATACCAGGAAAAAAAATTGCGGAGACGTGAGACAGAAGTGGGTGGTACACAGGTGTATGTAGAGATAGACATGTACTGACAAACAGTTTATCCTTTTCTTATTTTCTCTTGGTCGTTTCGATATTCTAGGTAACAAGTGGAAGGAGAACAAACTGGTGCCCTATCAAGAGCTGATCAAGAACATCCAAGCGGTGCACCCAACGTTCAAGAAGCTTGTCGACGATCCCAACGATACTTCGAAAGCATATCACGTGCCAGGATTCGCAGGCCAGATCGGATTTATCACTTCGATGTCGGACCATTTCTGCGGCACCTGCAACCGACTTCGCATCACCGCCGACGGCAACTTGAAGGTGTGTCTGTTTGGAAACACAGAGGTGTCTCTGAGAGATATGATGCGTCAAGGCAAGACGGATGATGAACTGAGGGAAGTCATCGAGATGGCGGTTAAGAACAAGAAGAAGCAGCACGCTGGCGTGTCCAACCTCGTCAACATGAAGAACCGCCCCATGATCCTTATCGGCGGATAGAGACAGGACATTCTACCTCCACACACCCTATATTATAATGAATAAAGCACTTGTACATTAGAAATTGAAAACAACGTCATCTTCAGCTATAGGATGCTTGGCATGCCGAGAAAAACAGCACTTCCTCTTCACGTCGCACAATCCACCAGCTCGTCGTCTCTCTCCTTTGGTTAGCTGTGTTCTTTTGAAGCAAGGACACAGGCACATCGACGCCAATTGCCGCTCAAAAAACATCGGTCTTTCACAAATTGGGCTACCACACTTATGCCTAAGGCGACAAGGACCACCTGGACTTGGCCCTTTACAGAGAGGCTGTTGTTTAAGCATGACGCTATTGACTGGCGGGCTTACAAACTACAACTCAACAAGGGCATACATGGTCAATTCTTCCAGCGGGCAGTGGGGCGGGTTGTGCGTGGCCATGTGGTAAGGGCATGGTCTGTTCACCTGTTCTTTTGTGAGAGCAACAACCAGCCATGAACCATTTAAAAAGGAGATGATGGTCATCCATTCTCTCCCCATTCTTTTTACTTTTTCCTTCCCCCATAGCTTTTTCTACATTATCACCGGTACGTTCTGACCACTTCTTTACTCTGTCTCTCGTCCTTTTCATTGATAGAGCTTTCCAACTCCATATTCTCGCTCCCAATTTAGATCGAAAATCCACACATCACCACATCTGTATCCTTTTCCTCTCCTTATCCCCTTACACTTCATTCCCTAACTTTCCCCAACAAACAATCCCACAACTACAACGAGGCCATACAGTTCACAACACACAGCCACCATTTCCCCCTCGACTCGGATCGACAGCTATAACAACAACAACCCCATTACTCTGGAATCCATTATAATAAGACCGCAACATCTGTGCCTTTATTTTCTTTCCTCTCTCCGCAAACAATAACTTCACTCGACCGACCTTTCGTCACAACACAACAATAACAACACCATCACCCCCCAGCACCACCATCACCAAAACCCATATCGCGCCATGGTCACAACAACAGGATTGGCGCTGTTCTCGTTAGCAGTCATCATATTGACTCGGATATACGTTTCCTTCAACCCACCAGACTTTTTGCGGCCGTACCGGGACCTCGATGGGAACTACTGTGGTAGCAACTACTGCAGCAGTCCCTTTCGACGGAAATACCATCTTCGCCCACAAATCTCGTCTGAGAGTCCCGACAATTCGGAAGGTCAAGGGCAGGATGGCAATGAAAAAAAGGAGGAGCACGGACATGAGAAGGAGGTGAAACGGAACACGTCAAGGCCGCTGCCCGGACACGCAGGAGGAGAGTCTGCAAGGGACCGCATGGGCTATCCTAGTCGGCACACGGCACAAGCAATCCCTAGGCCAAGAGCTGCAACCACTGCCGCCACTTTTACATCCAAGCAACAAGACAGGACAGTTGACGACGATAAATTGGCAATCGTTCACCACCTCCGGAACCCTTCGTCATCAACCTCAGATTCCCACCACTTCCACACATCTCTTCCGTCAATACCAACAATAATACCAACAGCGCAACCGCATCGCCAATGGCTGGACCTCGACATCTCTAACATCCACTACCACGGATCCCTCGGACCCTTCGGCACCGATGACGAGGTCCTCAAGACCATCCAGGTCCTCCAAACCGGCTTTAGTAGCAACAGTAATAGCAATAGTGGTGGAGGATATAGCGCGTTCGAGTATGCAAGGACGAGAGGTATGACGGTCGTCTGGGAAGATGCGCAGTGGTGCTGTCTGGAGGGGCGGACGTTGTATATCTTGAAGGCTATTGGGTGGACCGGTCAAGTGCGAGCGCGTGTTCTTGTCGACCAGAGTGCTGGCGCGACTCTCTAGATCAATATATATATATATGTACATATGTATATATGTATATATTATTATTTTGCATGAATGTGTACAGTAAGTAGTACATCGAATGATTGATGGAGTGACAATTATGACGAAGGAACCAGTTTGTGACGAAGGAACCAGTTTGTGATGGGGAGAGTCATCCCATCCAAGGTGGATGCATGAATAACGAAAAGAAAATAAGTGAGACAAATACACGTTTTTCATTAGCCTTCTATAGTCATCAGGTCATGGATCATGCACACAAAAAGAACTTCTTCTAGTTATATCCCCCGCCGTATCCGAGTGCTGGGCACTGGACTTGCTGACCATTCGCAATGGCATCATCGATCGGCGGAGCGTTGTCCTACTCACACACTTTTACACCTGCGAGGGCAAAAAATGTTCTCTCATAACACTTACTACTGAAGGGTGGGTGATCATAGCCCAGGTTCGTCTTTTTTTTTTTGCTTGTTCTGACTCGTTAAGCCACTCCACTCTTAATGAAGAGACTAGCTCTGCGACATGATAGCAAAAAGAGGACGAACGAATGAGAGAACTCTTGTTTGGTGGCAATGATCGAAGACGAAACGAGAAGTAGATCTCACTTGCCCACAAACCGCTTTCTTGTTATCCCTCGAGAAATAGACGAAACCGGATTGAAAAAGCTTAACATTCGAGTTTTTTTTTTGCTCTAGTTTCATTAGCTGGCAGTTTTGCGAAGGCAAAGAACCCGAAACACGCAATGGAAAAGGCCAACCAAAGTCTAAAAGTCTACAAACTCCACCAATGAAGGGAATTTGACGAACAAAGGAATGGAGAAGCTGTCCAACTGTCTGTTAGCTGCCCGGTGTCCTACAGTCATCAGGTCCATCTTCGCTCACCATGGGACGTTCACATAGTAAGGAAGCAAGGACATATTCTGTTTATTCTTCTCGGAGGATAACCAAAAACGAGAAACAAAACGAAGAGAGAGGTGGATTTGTAAACAACTTCGCTTTTTTTTTTCCCCAGTTTCTTTTTCACGCGACCCAGCAGTTCTGCATCCCGCGAGACAAAAAAAACAAGAAGCAAGGACAACAAAAGAAATCGAGAAACCTCTTCGAGTACAGTGATTCGACAGAGAGACAGCTCCATCTCCTCCATCTTCTCCAACTCCTACGAACTGCGCTTGCCCTTTTAGACTCTTTGCCTGTGTAGTCAAACCAGCTAGCCAAGCTAGCTGAGGTGGTTTAGCCAGAAAAACCCTATTCGCATTTTGATTCCCGAAGCGGACGAAAGGGGGAATTGTTGAACATAGGGGGAAAAAAAAAAACATGATAAGGGGGTGGGCACACAAATGAGACCAAGATTCAACGGACACAGACACAGGACACAGGACACAAACAAGAAAAACAGGAATGGGCACCAAAAAGGTAAAGATCGTGTGAGAGAGGGAAAAAATGGAAGGTTCTTGAGAGATGCTCGGAGTAAAAATGAAAAACAAGACCCCTTCTTCGAAGTCGAAAGGAGTCATATTCTTCCATCTTTTTATCCAGAGGACAAGCTTACAGCTACAGGTAGACTACCCATCTGTATTATTTTGATGGGGGGTCCAAGGAAAGGATAATGGAGGAACGAAGACAGAAGGAGGTAGGAGCGGAGGACGGATTTCACGACCGCCGTTCGATGTCGTTCGGTGCACGGCCACCTACACACCATCACGCTGTCCACCACATGATATGTTTTTTACTTACGTTGAAACAGGTTTAGTAACACACACAACAAAGTGAGTTTCTAGACAAGAGCAGGATCGATAACGCAACAACAACGCACGCAGAGGAATTATGCGTGCCCGCGCAGTTGCGTATTCGACGTTGCTTGACCTGCTTTTCTTCATTTGACACTGAAGGTTCCAAAGGAAGGGACTAGAGCACGTAACTCTTTGTTGGAACGATAACAGGAACAGCTTACTCAACAAATAAAACCTATGAATATAAGGCACGCTTGGCAAAGAGCAGACGTTCTTCCTGTTTTTTGGCACCTGCCAAGGAACCAAGGAGTATAAGCGACGACGTTAGACTTTATTCTCGGTTCCTGAGGCCGTTTTACCTTTGCTATGCTCTCTACATCTACACTCCTCTCGGCTTATCTGTCATGTGGGGAGCAATAAGGGTACCTTCAAAATGACATTTCACCAAATAACCACCCTGGCTCTCACTGATCCTCATTATCACCACCACAATCAATCCTGTATTATTTTCCCTCGCTTTTCGTTCACTCGGCCCCATCGTTGACCCTCCTCCATCCATTCTCAACCGGGAGCAAACCGGGAGTTTTTAATGCCGCCAGGTTGAATCTAAAAAAAAGGACTCACACATTTGTTGAGCACAGAGCTGCATAAAATATTTCCGCTTTCTACAGCGAGAACGGGGTAGCATACGTACATACGTGAGAAAAACCTGAACCCTGTTCTTTTTTTTTTTCAAACAGCGCTCGCGTGGTTTTTTTTGGTGTTGACTGATAAACGGCAACAATGGGTGAATAGGGGGGGAAGGGGATGGTTGCGATTACGACATGGAGGATGGTAAGCGATGATGAGTAGGAGCGAAAGAAGCAGAAAAGGAGGATAGGAAAGGGGGAAGGGGGAGGAGGGGTGGGGGTGGTGGTGTATAGAAGCAGGGTTAGAATGGAATCGAATCCCCAGGAGCCAGGAGCCATATCCAAGAAGTTGCCGACATACAGCACATTGGGTTACCTGAATGATATGATCATGACGCAGGATCATTCAAAAAGGGAGGGGGGACTCGATGGATAAAAAGGGGAAACCCGAGCAAGGGGGCGATAGGATGACATACGAGTGTAAGTGTAGTGACAGAGCGAGGAGGCGAAAGGGAGGGGACGGAGGCGAAAGGGAGGGGACGGAGACGAACGTCATGCAAGGTGTCAACACAATTGATGGCGGAGGAAGAGGAAGGGGGTGACGGACAGACAGATGCTAGGCACCATCAACGACACCTGCATCCAAAAAGATGAAATAGATACACCGACGAACAGATGGATACGCAAGGCAAAACGTGAGAGACCTAAGAGTTGAGACCTTGAGAAGAAGGGAGAGTAGACAGAGATAAAGAGCAATTGAGTGATTTTTTTTCCCGGGAGGAAGGTGCTTTTAAGAGAAGCGAAGGATCATAAAGCAAGACCGATAGAGGTTGTCGAGTAGAGGCGAGTCCGACCTGGATGCCGACAAAAAAAAATGAGAGTGCTGTCTGGTTTTCACGCGTGGTGGGGTTATTATTCAGGCGGCAGCTGGAGATGAAATGGGAGAGAAAGAAAAAAGGCACAAAAAAGGGCATGGTTACTGGGTAAAGTGGTCGTCATTTTGTGATGCTTAGCAATTGGACAAGTGCGCATTGTACAGTAAGCAGTATGCGAATGATGTATCTGCGCAACGGACGGACGGTGATAGGGGTGTGTGTTTGAGTGCGATCTGGGTCGTCATCGGACATGCCAGAGGAGAAGGAAAAAAGGGAAAAAAGGAAAAAGGGAACGACGGACCGTGAAAACGCAACCTGTCGTTCGGCCCTAGGATCACCCTTTCGTCTCCTTGGTATTCAGTCCAATTCAGTCAGAGTCATCATATTACAAATTGGCCAGTGGAATAAAGTTTTTTTTTTTCTTTTTTTTTTCCTCTCTGCTGCGACGATGAACACCCGGCCGACGGGCCAGTGACACTGATCGCATTTCGTTGTTCTCACACAAACAAACAATGATCAAGAAGATCAAATAAAAACCTGCTGGCTCCCGCTTCTTTTTTTCTTCTTTTTCTTCAGCCTTTTTCTCTATCCAACCGTTAATCCTTCTCGTGTGTGTGCAATATCCTCATAATTATATACCTCTTATCATCCTCTACCACACACTCACTTCTTACTGCCGCACTCCACCATCCTCCTCTTCAATTCACTCCTCTACTACTCTTCTACTCCTTCTCCTTCTCCACTCGACTTCCTGTGACCACCAGCACTTCTCTTTTACACTCCACCCGACAACTCCTTCTCTCTCACTCTCTGTTCTCCATCTTACACAACTCATTCCTCCATTCTCCTTCACACAATGATCTCAAACCTCAACCTGCGCTGCCGCAGGGTCGCAACGACTTCAAAGGCCTTTGTCGTCTCCACTATCCGCCCCCTCCAGAAACACCGCTACACCCTCTACGACCTCCAATACGTCTTCCTCTTCGCCCTCTTCTCCTTCTGCTACTACATCATGGACAAGCCCATCTGGTTCAAGCTGCCTATCGCCCTCGGCGCCATCGGCCTCTTGATCCCCAAAAAGACTCGCCAATTCATGCTCCCCTTCCTCGCTATCGCTGCCTGGTTGATCCTCTTCTATTGCTGCCGATTCATCCCCTCAGCGTGGAGACCCCATATCTTTACCTCTGTCCTCCCTGCTCTCGAAAACATCCTCTACGGCGGCAACATCTCTGAGCTCCTCGCCAAGACAACGAGCCCCTTCAAGGATCTTCTCGCCTGGATGCCCTACGGTGTTCTCCACTTTGCGCTTCCCTTCATCACTGCCGCATTGATCGTGTACTTTGGTCCTCCTGGTACTTTGCCCGTCTTTGCCAGAACCTTTGGCTACATGAACCTCGCTGGTGTTCTCACCCAGATTTTCTTCCCCTGCGCTCCACCATGTAAGTTGATTTATGGGTCTAGACGCTAGAAAATTCCTCATTGGGTTCCCGGTCTAAAATGACCAAAAAAAAGAGAGCAGCGCACTAATCCAAAAAATATCCTATTTATTTATCCATATAGGGTACGAGACCAACTACGGTTCTTTCGAGCCTGCTACCTATGCCATGCCCGGCAGCCCCGGCGGCTTGGCCCGTGTCGATGACATCCTCGGAACGAACATGTACAAGTCAACCTTCACCGCTTCCCCCCTCGTCTTTGGCGCCTTCCCCTCCCTTCACTCTGCCTGCGCCTGGCAATTGGCTTTCTTCCTCGTCTACATCTTTGGCCCCCGCTCCATCCCCTTCGTCGTCGGCTACGTCTTCTGGATCTGGTGGGCTACCATGTACCTCGGTCACCACTACGTCGTCGATCTCGTTGGAGGCGCCGGATACGCTGTTGTCGCCTTCTGGATCGGCTCCTTCTTCTTGCCCTCTGTCTTGCCCTCGATTCACCACAACGCCAAGGCCTCTCATGTCATCCACGATCTTGGCGATGCCATGAACCACCAAGAGAAGCAAACACTCTTTGATGCTGCGCATAACGACGATGACTTTGTTGGTTTCAAGCAGGACAAGGAATGGGATTTGAGTCAGGATGAGGACGAGAACGAAATCGAGGAGATGTCAACTGTTGTTGTCGTTTCTATCGAGCCCGAGATGGAGGAGCGTCCCCTCTCCCAGTCTGCACCTGCCTCGCCCATCACTGGTCCCAAGAAGAACGCCTCATACCGTCAGAGCTGGAACGGCTGGCAGGGATACGAATCCTGGATGGAGGTCTTGGTCAGTGTCAACTCGCCTCGTCCTTCGCCCCGCAACTCGCCTGCCAGCTCACCTCGCAACTCGAGCTCTCATTCGAGCGGATATGGCGGCAAGAGCCGTCGTCACAGCCGCGATTCGATGCACTCTGTCACCACCTTGAACCTTGATGTCGAGGCTAATGCTGCCTTGGTCCAGTCTGCTTTGGCAACCATTGCCGAGGATGGTGGCCAGGGTAGCTCATCGATGCCCAAGGGCCGTGCTCGTCCCTCCCGCCTGAACCTGGACCAGTCGAGCGGTTCCTCCTCCACTTCTGGATCTGCGCCCACTAGCCCAGCCACCACCGAGACCGATGCCGAGTCTAGCCATTCTGGTTCGTCGAGGCCATCATCTCCTCGGTCCCTTGTCTCTGGATCGTCTTCGCCCGCTCTCGGCAAGCGTTTCAAGGACGAGTAGAAAACTATCTATTCCCTTTTTATTATCTCCCGCATCCTCCGGATTGTACCATAGCCATACTTGTAGAACATCATAACCCCTAATTTTTCTAATTAATAACAATAGTTTGCCTAGCGAACAGCCTACGGGCACCAACAACTCTTCTTTTTCTTGCGCGTCTGCATATTGAAGTTGAAGTCTGAAGGAGTTTTCGTTCAATAATGTTGTGGGAGGCGTTGCAGATTTGATCACGTGAAGTGCCTCGCAACAGGAGGCTCTTCGCTTCGCCTTCCAAGTAGGGACCTTGAACGACTGAACAAAGACCACAAGCCTTGTCTGTCCCCCTGTTCCCACTCCTCCACTTCTTATTCGCCTGGCCTTTTTCTTCCTTCTTTTCTACTCTCCTTCCCTCCTTCCTTGCTTCTCTTCTTCCCTTTCAGCCTTTCCTTCTTCTTCTTTCCTCCACTCGTCTCCACCTCCGTCCTTCTTCTTGCATTCCTCATTCCTAGTGCTCTTTGGTCTGGCTGGGTCGTCTCTGCTGTAACCTGCCAAGTGACTGACCGACAGACCGACAGAGACAGACAATCCCTCTGCCATTCATAACCACCAACTCCACTTTTCATTCGTTCTTCCTTCCTTTTCCTTTTCCTCTTTCGCCTTGTTCCTATATCTTCTCTCTCCCTTCTCCCTCTCTTCTTCCTATCCTCCTCCTCTCTTCTTCTTCTTCTTCTTCTTCTTCTTCTTCTTCATCTTCCTTCTCATTCCTTCGACACTCATTCAAACTTCCCCCCTTCTCTCTACTAATTGCTCTTTGCATTTCAAACTCAACACACGCCGAGCGCATTCCAACGAAGCTATCCTCATTACATAACATTCATACACCGGCAATCAACTAGATTATTTATCCTTCTCAGTTCCTTTCCCAATGACTTCCGGCAGCAACAGGGGCGAATTTTCGGTCCACTTCAAAGAGTTCTTCGAGGGATGCTCGCCAGAATTCGAGCTGGCCCATGCTGTCCCTTTCGACACGACTATGCCTCAGTTCACTAGCACCGTCTACCCCCACCTTCGCCCCGACGCGACTTACGGCCTCGATCCCCAGACCATGCTCCTCAACATCACCCCTACCACCCACGCTGACCTCTGCGGTATGATCACCAATGACTTCCTTGCCCACACTCGTGTCCAAGCCGACTATAGCATTACAAGCATGCGCGTCCTCAGGAACCCCCTGGTTTGGGCTCGCTACCAAGCAGAGAAGCAACTCCGACGCCAGCTGGCCGTAAGCAGGAGAGATGCAGTCGCCCGAGAACGCGCCAAGGGCAGCACCAACGTTCACGTTCAACCTATCTCAGCAGCCAACGAGGAAGATCCCGAAGAGTTGTACCGAGACGAAGTCCTCTATCATGGAACACACCAGACGCGAGTACCCGCCATCCTCATTAACGGACTCGAGCCTCGGATGACTGTGCGAGCCAATTACGGACAAGGCGTGTATTTCTCGGATTCTATTGAGAAGTGCATGCAATACGCCGACTACCAGACGAGTATGGAGCAGGAGTACAGCATCATCCTCTGTTGCGTCCTGCTCGGCCGTGTTATGGTAGAGCCACACGAGAAGGGCAAGCGGAATATGAACGCTCAAATCAAGTTTCTGCCTCCGTCGTTCGATTCCGCAGTCGAGAGCGATATCTACAGGGAATGGATCATGTAAGTCATCTTGTTGCTGTTATTGTTCTTTGATTGTTGCTCTATCCTTTTTTGTTTGTTTGTTTGTTTTTTAGTTTGTTTGTTTGCAACTATTGAAGGTAACTGACATGGTAATTAATTGCTATCACCTCCAACATTCACCTTATTTCCTAGCATCGAGAAATCGCAGATCCTGCCGCTGTGCGTGATTAACTTCAAGACAGCGAACCACGCGGACTCGTTTCATCGCCTGGGTTCCTTCCACTCAATATTCAAGGGTACCGGTCACTATCCGAACAGTATCTCGGAGATCCAAAAGGTCTGCAATGTCCTGGTTCCTTGCGACAACAACGCCTTCGTCAACTCCCAGGTCGCCGCTGAACAACTTCGGGATCCTGACGCGAATGAGGACGACATGTTGTTCAACGTCTTCCATATCCCCCGTCGCAAAGCCAAGGTTCGAAATTTTTTCATTGGCGGCTTAAGGGAATGGATGTTTGCCGTGCCCGACGCGAACGGTGTGACAGTCTTGTTTTATTTGACCGAGTCCGAGTATACCCAACTGGTGAGCGCCTCCAAGAACATTCAAATACTCAGGATTCGTCTGGACGAGGACAAGAGCAGGTCACACAATGCTCAGAGTATCCAGGCATTTATCATCGAGTCCGAGATCAAGCTGATCCCCAATGGAGCTGCATTGGTAGATCTGATTACCGCCAAGTTACCCGAGATTGTGCAGGTCGAGTCCCAGGGTCATGAGATTGTTGCGCTCATCGAGAAGTTGAAGGCGGACGCGGTTCAGGCTGGAGGGCAGATGTATCTCTCAACCCCACAGTTTCTCCAGGCGATTCAACCGCACCAGGCTAGGCGCGCGGAGCTCGAGGCGAAGTATAGCGCTCTCAAGGCTTTGTTCCTGGGCTGGACTCCACACCAATTTGGCATGGGAAAACGAGTGGTAGAGCAGCTGAGGCCTGGCCTCGAGAAGGGTATCCAGGAGAATTATGCGCGTGCTGAGCGTCAGGCGGCGGCGATCGAGTCAGAGAGAGGGCGCATTCTTAATCAGGCCAGGATGATGGTCAAGCCTCTCACGGAGCAACAGGCACAGGAGCGGCTGGTGAAGTCGAAGGTGGAACGCGCGTTTGCGGATAGGCTCGGCCGCAAGGAGGAATTTGTCATGAAGTCCGTCGAGGTCGAAACAAGTCGGACGAGAACTTGGCCCCTTATCGTTGCAGAGCTCCTGATGCCCGTGATCATGATCAACCAGCTCAAACTGGAGACCACAAAGCATCTGAACGATACCAACTGGGTGAATCAGGACCATCGGATCCGCAGCGTCCTGGCCCTGCCGCATGCCAAGGAGTGGTGGGATGTCGCTCCGGAAGTCGTCTTTGGAGGCCCGACGCCACATCACTCTTTTTGGCCGATCAACCCGCGCAAGAGACTCCCCAACCAGTCATTTTTCCAGTTCAAGGATTATCTGGATTGGATGTTCCAGGAGAAGGAGAGCCGATTCCGTCGTTTCAACCAGCGCCCTAACACTTCAGGAACAATAGGATCAGGATCAGCGGGAGCTTCGATCCAAGAACAATGGGACGGTGTAGATCCTGGGGTGGTTCAGGCGACCTGCCAGTTGTCAAGTCGCTTTGGATTAGTGGATTTTAACCGCGAGATCCGACAGGCGGAACTGGGTAGGATGGGCACGGATCTGATTGGGGACCTTATGATGCCAGCTGAACCACATATGCTCCTGCAGGACGGTGTGAGCTCCTCCGCCGGCGCAAACGCGGAGTGTCCCATCTGCCAGGACGAACTTGTCATCTCAGGATCTGGCTCCGACAGCGTGATCAAGCTCAAGTGTTGCCGTCATTGCTTCCACGAAGCATGCATTGCCGAGTGGTTCAAGTCAAAGGACGCCCAGCTTAAATGTCCCATGTGCAACGTCATGTGCACTAGTGAGGCCAAATCGGGTGCAGCCAAGAGGGCATTGCTCGGTCCTCAGAAGCTTGGCCCTATGCCGGATGGAACTTTGGGCTACTTCTTTGATGTTCGACTTTGTTGTTACTTTATTTACATTGTGATGCCCTCCCACACGATTTCTGAACCGACGCCCACCAACCCCCGCGCAACAGTGACCATCCCGGCCGATGTTCGCTACGCCATCGTCCCCTTTACCTCCCGCCTCGGCCCTTTGTTGATGATGAGAATTTTGACGCTCTTCTATTACGGACACCTTTTCAAGGTCGGTCAGTCGTTGACAAGAGGAATGAACAATGTAGTGGTCTGGAATGGTGTCCACTTGCGGACGTCGATGTCAGGACACTTTGGGTTCCCAGCACCCAACTGGGAGATGAACTGCTGGACAGAAATCAACCAAAAGGGCATTGGAATGGGGCTTGATGAGATTGTACTTGGTATTCCCGCTGCAGACGGACGGATCACACAGACAGGATCGGCGATTGCAGCACAGGCGGCGGCAGCAGGAATCGCCATCCCCGAGACTCTTGCTGCAGAGATGGAGGCTGAGGAACTTACCCAGAAACTCTTTGATCAGGACCAGCCCTTTCTCTTTCGGCTCTGACTTTGGCTCCGTCCGACAGCGCCAACACCATCGCCACTCGCTCTTGGACGCAGTTGACAAGGCAGGACCATTCCCCACACACATTGAATCATATCCAAAAAAAACAAACAGAAAGTACAACAATAAAACACAAGCACATTCAGAAAACGTTGAATTCCTATTGTGACAAGAGATTTTATTTCCGCTGCATGGCACGTTCCAAGGTAGCAGACATGGTGTAAAGACGATCGAGGTGTGCCTCTACCCCTGGATCGCCCGACCCGCGAACCAAATCCTTCTGGACACTGGTGATGGCTCTGTTAGTCTGGGAAGAAGGATCGGTCAAGAGGGCCATGTTGTTCTGGACTGTGCGGATATTCGCCATCATGTTGAGGAGTGCCTCTTGTGTTGAGCGGAGTGTCTTTGCAGCCTCTCCCAATCCTAGTTTTTTTTTTTTTTTTTTTTTTTTTTTTTCATATTGAAGTGACGAAGAAAGTAAATAATTTGTCACGTAGTTTCCAAGACGAAAGTGTCATTTTTTTCTTCGTTACCTGGGATGGTGTCTTGTTCTTTTGAAGGGTGTGACCCGCGTTGCCGTTGTTGTTGCTGTTGTTGGTATACGAGGACGTGTTGGGAGGCATTGTGTTGTTGGTAAGAGTCGTGGAAGATGTTCATGGCGCGGATGAGCTGATGCGACGCGGTGTCGAAGTCTGATAGTGTCGAAGTATTCATCTCTAAAGACGATGAAGCCGCTTTCCATGCCGGGGTCTATTTTCATTTATGCGCATAATGACAGGGACAGATAGCATGGTGTTAAGATGCGGTAGATTCTGATCTACGAAAAGGCGTGTGATGATAAATTGAAAGAGTTGGGTTGAGTGTATTGTAGTTGGTGTTGCGAGTACAGTACCTTTGAAAGGGCTTTATTGATCTCGACACGCGTCGTCTCAAGGAGGGCCTGGAAGTCCGACATGATGGCGTTTAAGTCTTGGAGTTGCTGGTTGTTGTTGGACTGATTGCTGAGAAGATGGGCATCTTGAAGGATATGGTCAGGGAAGAGTTGGACAGAGCCCGTGAAGAGACTGGAATGGAATGAGGGTGTGGAGAGGACGGTGTCCATGAGTCTGCATGCGTTGGTGGCATCTGTCTTTGTCTTGGAGTCGGTTCCTGATCCGGGTCCGGGTATTGTTCCGGGTGGTGTTGTCTTTGTCTTTGTGTTGTCGTTCATGCTGTTCACTTGTTTGTAGAGGTGGTAATGAGAAAGGGTTGTTGCATGGAAGTTCATGAAGGTATTTTGGCTTGTGAAAGGGGTCACAGAGAGAGATAGAGTGCGCCACTAATTTCCGGAGATGATATAGTGGATTTCACGCAAAATTATCAATTTATGATCAATGTTATTCTTGGTATAAAAAGTGCGAGCCAAAAAGGCCTATTCAATTAAGCGAAGTTGATACTGGCGAAAAGCATACCCTATTCTCCAGCCTCACCCGCACCTAACCAACACACACACAACACACTCTCTTCAGAAAGACAACACTCGATCTCTTTTTTTCTTCCCTTCACATTCTATACATCTGTTCCCTTTTCTACACGACACTGAACGACAACCCCACTACATTATACGCAGATTAGCGGCTTATAATGGTTTATAGATTTTTTTATTCCGAGCACGATAGACAGTTATAAACCAGTCACATATGTGTGAATAGATTGTTTCATGTGCCCTCTCCTCTCGTGCCTGTGCCTGAACACATTGAGAACTGCGTTGCCCTCCTGCTTACATCACACTCTCTGCTCTCTATTCCTCTCTGCTCTTCCCTCCCTCTATCCCTAGGTCCTTCTATCATCACTCTCTCTACTCCCCTCTCTACTATCCTCTTCTCTCCTCCTTCCCTCAGCTTTGCCCTCACCCTGCTCCTAACCATATGTAGAGCGAGCTGACATGTAACACTGTGATAGACCAAGGATGGTGTTTATTCTCTTCTCTTTGGGTACTTTCTCGAGGGTGCTTTGGGAAGAGCCTTGTAGTATTTATCAATTGAACCAACAGTATCGATTTGCCCTCTTACGAAGGCAAGTGCATTGTTTACGGCGGACTTGTCAACCTGCAAGCCAGCTGGGATAGAGCGCAGAACCGAATGTACAATGTCCTTCTTCCACTTGTAGAGCTGTGCATCTTTGCCTCGCCACGCTGATCCGAACCACCTATTAAGCTCTGCGATGGAGGGGGACCCATCGACGCCGTGGTAAAACCACTCTTGCCACAGTTGGTCGAGCGTATTCGGTCGTGGGATCAGCTTGCACTCGGGCATTAGGGGCATATGGTGTTGGGTCTCTCCTCTCGCCCTCTTCTCGTCGGCGACTAAGACGGCTACTTGTCGCATTCTGTCCTCGACATTGTCGCTGGGGTTGAAAGCGGCCAGAGCTGCGCGGCGGTGCGCATCCCTTGAAAGAACTGCAGTGGAAGAAGTCGGAGGTCTTGATTCTTGCTGGCCAGCGTCCGGCTCTGGAAGCTGAAGAAGAGCGATGGCGGTAGCCATAGTGGTACTCTGGCTTGCTGCACTGCCGTTGACGTCGTCACTGACATTCACCTCATCGTCCTCGCTAATCGCCACCACGGCTTCCACCGTTGACTTGAGAGCTTGCATCAACTGAGATCGAACGGCATCCTTGTTCAAACATTGTCGCTTGTTGCCTGCCAGTTTGTCATTGTTGCCAATGCACCGCTTCAAGTCCTTCAGCTCGGATGCTGTCCTATCATTCTGAGCTTGTAAAGTAGCTGCTAGAACATTCATACCGGCGTGCAAACTCTGAAGTCCGGCTTGCTGGCTTTGCTGCAGGCTCCGGATTGCAGCATCTTGGACACCGAGCCTCGCGCCGACCCTGTCAAACTCCAGTTGGATGATGGGTGTGGCAGATGCGAGGGAATCCGTGAGAGGAGAGGGATTTCTCATGCTCTCGAGTAGGGTTTGCTGGAAATCTTGAAACGCAGGTGTTTTGAAGACAGGGTGATCGAAAACAGGGTGCGCGGCGGCAGCACCACCCCCGAACAGGATGACAGCTGCATCCTGAAGGATAACCTTTCGCAGGTGGGCGAGAAGGCTAAGATGGCGCTTTCTTGAAATGACCTCATTCGACAGAACGGTCTGCATATCCTTGTCCGTGTACACCTGCTTGACTTCCTTGCACTCGCCCCGTCGCAGCTTCTCACGCAACTCCTCGCGTCCGTGGAAAACGTCGCAGTCACGCATAATGTTGTCAATCGTGAGCCTCCAGAACGTGTCGGAGCAAGCATCCTCGATGAAAGGGAACAACTGCCTTTGGAGCTCAATGCTGGGGATCACAGTGTTCCGAGCCAGCCAAAAGCGCTCTAGACGGTCGCGGTCAAATCCAGCCAATCGAAGGGCCACTGAAGGCTCTACACCCTCGAGATAGTGAGTTGAGAGACGGTTCGATGCCCAGTTCCCGTGCTTAGCGATCGCCTCTACCGTAGATCCACACATATGCGCGAATCTGGAGCCGTGCTTGCGCCCAAGGTGAGTCACTGTGCCCTTGTCCAATATCCCGCTCTCATGAAGAGCCTCCACCTGCGCCTGGAACTGGGAGTTGTAAGTCATCGGTACATCCATTGGTTTGTTTCCAGCTAACAGATGGTAGTCGGTCCATTTAGGGTTGGTGAGATCAGGCGCCCTTTTGTTTTTGCTCTTAGTACAGCAAAAAAAAGGAAGAGGGGGGGGGGGGGGGAAGAACGCATTATTAAATGAGTGTTGAAATATGAGTGACACCACGCGTCGGCCGCCGACATTTACCACATGCACGCCACTTACCGACCAAAGCTCAAGCAAATAAAAGGCTAGCGCGCCAACTGGACACACATCTACTTCTTTGTTCCGAACTGCAACTCCATACTGAATCTTGCCGTCCTTGTTCGTCTTGCCTTGCCTCATCATCAGCACAACTCCAAGCACGAATTGGCCTTCTCTGTAGCTGGCATCGTTCGTATTTTTGTTGCGGTTGGGCTCGACGTCGTGGGCGAAAAGATCCGGGAGTCGGATCTGGCGTGTGACCTCGCTGCGGAACATCATAAAAAAGCAAAGACTTACATCCGCACGGTCGCGTAACCCTTTCAAGCGGCGCTTTCTCAAGCTGGCTGCGCCCTCCACATTGCGCATCCAAAATCGCTTCATTAGCTGCCGAACAATCGAAGTTGGGTTCTGGGTGAAGTCGATAGAGCCAAAGTCGGTATCTGTCGACCTCTTCCTGGCGGACATCCTCACGCGGTAAACGTCGATCAGAGGTTGAATGTACGTCTTCGGGGCCGGAACTGTGCCATAATCCATCGCTAAATTGTTCCTGTCTTCACACTGATGCTTATAGAGGTCGCCAATGGCAGCGAGGTGCAAGAGAATGGTTGCCGTCGAGTACCACCGCTCTTCACTGTTCTCATTGTTGCTGTTGTGGATGTCAACGTCTCGACTGGCGTCCCCCTCGCAGTTGTCATCGCTTTTGTCCTCCACATCGCCTCCATCGACATCATCATCAGAACACGGGTCATCCATATTTGCCCGCCGTTCGCCGGACTTGTCCTTGCTGTTGTTGCCCTTCCTGTCTCTTGGCGACGGTTTGATCCGTATGATACCTATTGCATTTATATTTTCGTTAGTTCTTATAATTTCAAACACCACCATAGCGTTTCGTCGTCGTCGTCGTATCGTATGACCGCTCACATTAGTTCCATTTTTCATATTCATACCGTTTTGAGGATCTTCCGTCTCGCAGGTCAGGCAAGCAAAGTAACGGGTTACTTTGCCTTTCGTGACGTTGTAATCATCCTTATATCCAGAAACGTCGCACCATTCCTATACCAAGGGATGGAGTGATTGAGTTAGTTAGTGCGTCGAGTCGGGGGCCATAGTTTATCTATGCTTGTGCAAAAATGGGGGTACATTTTACAATTTGCCATACCATGAACTTCTCCTGGTACCGATCATACTGGTCCCGCGTCGACTGGGCTTGCAAGGACTTGCGAGCTTCGGCCACAAGATGGGAGCTTGCTAGCTCCTTCTGCTTATTACAGAGGTGATTTTGTTGTTCAACCCTATTGCGTTCGCGGTAGGTTTCCAGCTTAGATTTTGCTCTTGCCGGCTGGCTGCCTTGCATGCTCGTCTGCTGCCGTTTGTTTCGTGCTATGGCTTTACCTTTAACAGAAAAGCTGCACGACTTGTTTAACGCGAAACAATAAAACAATAGAACGAAATAGTAAGTATGGTGGTATGGTGGATGCCAATCAGGTACAGGACATATCGCCCCAATTGTGCAAATACCTCTTTAGCTTACCCGTGTCATTAATTAGTCGGGTATTGGGGGGGGGGGGGTGTGTGTAATGTGTATTGGGGTGTGGGCTTGTTTGAATCAGGCTAATGTGGCGATGTGAAGTGAGAAAGAGGGAAGATTGGGGTGTGGGCTTGTCTGAATGAGGCTAATGTGGCGATGTGGAGTGGAGAAAGAGGGAAGAATGGAGTGACATGCATGCGTCCCATGTGGATGATTCCGCCAGAAAAAAAATAATTATGCAAGGCTGCCTATCGGTTTAAAACCGTGCCTATGCCGACGGGGATAAACCCATATGTGTCACGTGACTTTTATAAACCAACCTTATGTGGATAACCCCCACAATTCCACACATTCCTCTTCCCACTCAACCTTTTCTGTTCACTTTCCCAACGTGACACACGAACGATAACACCACCACCACCAGCACACTCTCTTTGCAAAGACGACGACATCCGTCATGAGCGACAACAGCCCTGGAGTACGTAAAACAGTTCATGAACGTTCATCACCTTGCGTTTTGCAGAGAGAGAGAGAGAGAGAGAGAGAGAGAGAGAGATTATGTACTCACAACATATTGTTCCGTTCTGTTTTAACTACTACGAAGCAGATGCACTCCTTTATGCCGGACTGGAAGTTCGTTAACGAGGCTGCAGAACAAATCCTGCACAAGGGATTCAATGGGGATCTATATCAGCGACTAGGAGGAGCTTTTATTGCTTCAGAGGCCCAACCCATAGCACAGGGTCAAGCGTCCGTCGCCTTTCGCTTTATCAACAAGCACCACTTGGCATTAAATTTCAGCACAACACCCTCTCTTGCACGGCTTATCATTGCGATCTTGGATGGCTCATGGACACCGGAGCGTGGTGAGAGGAACGAGACCGGATTTTTGCTGCTTTGGAGGAACCAGGAAAACACCATCACATATCCCATTCCACCTTCAAGCTTTCTTCTTCGCTACATCTCAGCACTATTGCACATCAACATATTCCTGTTTGACACCGCCGCCCGCCCCATTGTCATCACCCATCCCTATCCAAAAGGAGTTGTCGGTATTCTTCATGATGCATCGTCAATTCTGGGATACTCGGACTACAATGTACTCGGACCAACTCGTACGGAACAGGACGATCTTTTCATTGATCTACGGCCACCAACACCCCCGTCTCTACCACTTCCACCAGGACCTGCCGCGACATTCCGAACCGCCAAACGACCGCGCCAGCAGAGAGAAGGATGCGAGATCGACAGGGTCGCACTAGAGACCATCTACAAGGAGGAATGGTGTGTTTTGATGTCTACTATGTGAATGATTTTTAGACTTTTTTTGTTTGATTTTTACTTCTTTATTGATTGTCTTTGATATTTTTAAAAAAAAATCATTTAGTGAGGCCCGAGTCAAGAAGGAGGCGGCCGATCAGTGCCGCACGGCGAAGAAGCGTGCAAAGAAGGAGGCAGATCCGAGGGAAGCATTGGAGAAGGCACATATTGATGCAAAGCAAGCGGAAGAGAAACGTGTAAGAACGCCTCGGGGAGTCATGAATGAAACTGCTCGACGCGTTCGCCAACACTGCGGCATCAACGACGAAGAGGACTTTACCAACCATCACGCATCGATGATGATTACCCACCCTATTGGAGAACCTCAGACCGTTACTGGACGAGCTCTAGCGACATATAAGGCGGCCTTATCAAGACACTTTGACATGGCATGGATCGAGGAACAGGACCACATATCTGATCCTACCGTTGCTTCAGCAAACTCAACAACTATCGCCCTAACCCCATCGGACATCGACGCCCAGGATGACAACAGCATTCGCACTATTACCCTACCTCTTGCGAAGCTGCTCAGGACGGATCTCCCCACGAAGGATCAAGATTACATCACCAAGAGGCTAAACGACGTACAGGGTGAGGTGTCTGACTTTATGGAATCCGTTGCCATGGGAGCGTACAAGACAACACTATGGGTATGTTTTCAACATTCTCTGTCTTGGTTGTGGTCGCGCAAGGACATATTTATTTCAAGTTAACTAATATTATATGTTATCACGACCGTGTTTACTTTCTAGATCTGTCGCGGTGGCATCCAAGGAAGCATACAGCTTAACCTAGCTGACATATTCCCGCCATCCTTTGATATCAGGGACGACTACTTCAAGGAGAACCCGATCGTGGAAGCGGGAGTCATTACTCCGGAGTGGCAACAGATTGTATCCGATGCTACGGAGTTGAAGCCCCGAGTGAAGGATCCGGCAACCTTGCTATCCCAGGATTATTTGCAGTACCTTGGAGTTCGGATTCCAGAATTGAGACGTGCGAGGAAGACCCCCAAGACTACCACCCACCCCTTGTGGGATACAGTGCTTGAAAGCATCTATAGCGGGAAGCTGGTACCACAAGCCTGGGATGATTCAAGGCATCCTGACTCACCCTCATCCAACCTCTTCAAGATCATTCCAAGCTTGTCTCAAGCCTCTGGTTCCGGCGCTGTGGATGATGCCTATGCTGCTGCTGATGCCAATGTCGAGGTCGGATACCAGTCAGAGGACTCATCGAAGGAAAGCCTGGGGGGCTTGACGGCCACACTCATGCGAGAGTACGCTACGAACATCAAGATGATATGGTCTGGAGACATTTACGAGAGGTTGAGACGGTACGTGGTGCACAATGTTCTCCGACTCAATCTACGACCCCAGAGCGAGGAGAAACACCGCATCCAAAAGCGGAAGCGTGCTATCAAGAAGGCCGAGGAGATGAAGGAGGCGTCGGCATCGGCAAGCCAAAAGCGTCGAGAGTCCCTGAGGAACTGGAAAAGGCGAAACCAGGACCTATTCAATCAACTTGATCACGCATTTGATACTAGTCGAGACGAGGAGCGCATCAACAAGATTTTCGGGCTCATTGACATCCATCAAGAGCGGCGGCCAGGAGTCAAGGAGCAGAACAAGTCACGTGGACTCACCCAAAGCGACGACTACGAGACGGACTCGGAGTTTGACGGCTCAGACGACTCAGACGACGATATGGATACTGAGTTGGTTGTTTCGGGCTCGAGCAAGAGCAGCGATGATGTTTTAATGCCTTGCACTCACACAGCAGATCAAGATTGCGAGATGGGGGTCATGGAGGAGCAGTCAGATGCCAGTCGCTCTATTAATGCAGAGGCTCAGAGCAGTGGTCCGTCTGAATCTGTGGCACGCTCCTCAACAGGTACCAATAACTAATATCGGACGCTGCTCCTTGCTGAGTTTGTGGTATTAACTGTTGACTAATATCTCTCACTTCCTTTTTCTCCACCGTAGGACCAAAGGAGCCGACATCAAAGAAGCTCCGAGGTCTAGAAGCAGTAGCTATCAGGTTGCTGGAATTGCCAGACTCGAACATACCCATCACCGAAGAGACAGTCAAGGCGAAGCTCTACGAGCCTGAGATGTACAGCACGGAGGAGATTTTGGCCGTCTTGCGGCTAGTGACATTACTGAGACCGTTTACCCCTAAGAAGGCCCACTCAGGACCCCAGTCAACTTCCTATCCAAAGAGCGTCTTGACTTTGGGGCCGTTTGTGTATATTGCAAATGCAATCTTGAGATCGGCGGGATACAAGGATTTCACCCGTAGGATTTGCCCAGTTCCTGCTGTTGGGAATCGGCATGCTGTGCCGTTGGACGCGTCAGGGGTGTATGACATATTTGGCGGGCGAGCACCAGGACGCTTCGATATCAAGGGCCCAAGTGGTCGAGTAATCACCACGTCGACCGTCGCGAGACTGTCTACCGATCATCGCAAATATGTTTTCGGTGGACTTTTCAATATGGCCATCATCGACGATGCCTGCACGAAACATGGACTTGAGTTCGCACAAAGGTATGCATACATAAGGTCTTGAATATGACCTCTCCTCATTCATATCTATGACCATCATGAGTCAATTGAATAACAGTTTACCGTGCATTGTTTGTAAAATGATAGAATGACGTACGTCGACTTTTACACAGTACGCATCACGGGACGACGGGCGATAACGGGACCAAACCGCCACTTCACCAACAGTGCGTACGAAGACAAGAAGAAGAAGCATGTTAAGCCATCAGGTGTAATCAACTGGACGTCGGAACTACTGGAAACCGGGCACACCCCTCAATCTGCAGCCAAAGCGTCGGAGGAGATCAAGATTGTTCAGGATCGTTTGGTCACAGAGCTACAACCCCTCAAGAAGGGCCTCAAGGCAGCCACGACGGTCAGGAGAGAAAAGGACCGCACCCTTCGTCACTATGAAGGACACGACCAGAGACACAAAAAGGGAATCTACCAGAACCTACAGGAGGCACGAAAAGTCGTCAACAACCTGAAGAAGAAGATCGTTCCTCTCGAGGCTGAGATCCGGGAAAAGAAGTAGCAACGCTACTATTACAACAGGTTGTCCAAGGCGACCGCCCCCCCAACAGCACTATCAGAAGACCCTTCTCCCCTGCCCATCACGACTGTCACAGAGTCTGTCCCAACTGTTCAACATCCTGGGATGCAAGACTTTGTTCAGACAACCTCCATCAAGCAGCTACTGTTAGAAATTGAAGACAAGGACCGACAACTACCTGTACCAGGCACTGACAGAGGATTGGTGACTATGTCTGAGACTGTCCCCTCCTTGTGGTCAACTCTGGAATCTTTATCAAACCGATACTATATTCTCCATGGTATGTTTTCTTTTCTGCTTTACTACTGTCGCTCTATCATATCAAGATCGTGTCTTCATGCAATAATTTCCTACGGCGTTTCATTTGACGTTATAGGTCATCCCGATACTCACCACACCGGCAACGACGACGGGGCTTCAGAGCCGCCCACCTCTCACGCTGATGCTGTGGACATGGACATTGATGGCACGGACACCCAGCCCTCTCTGCATTCAGAATCGAAAGCGTCATCTCTTCCAGAACGGACTCGGAACGCCATAACGATAACTGGCTCTTTATCCCGGAAGGCAACGATCGAGGACATGCGTTTTGCCAAGTCCAACCGCATCACCGCAAAACAGGTCAAAGAAGTCGGTGGAGTAGGTAGGGCGACTCGAACAAGGGAGCGTTTGCTTCGACAGCCGGAAAATCAGAGGATTTCGGAGCTTCACAAGGAGATAGGAGAAAACTCCGTTTTGAAGGCGCAGACTATCAGTGAAGTTGACTCTGCACAGGTGACCCGACGATCAGCTACACAACCCCTTCGCAACTTCGAGGGCAGCAAAAGCTTAGTGAAACAAACCCACCACAAGGATCTTCAACTGCAGCGAGCATGGCAGACGATCGCAGCCGACGAACGACGGAAAATGCAGGATTTTTCCAGAGGTAAGTTTATGGATTTAAGAATCGGAGTGCATTGATTCCTTGTTGTTAACTCCAATGGGCATTCAAATAACTAAAACGTACTTTTATTTTTGTTTTCTTGATAGGAACAGGACAGACCCAACCAGCATCAGTCAACACAGTCGACTCTATCGATGGGTGTTGCAAGTGTGGTAGACACCACCTCCCAATCCGCGTTGGAAGGGCACTCACCTATCCACAGGAATGCCCCAGAGATGCGTTGCCCATCATCCCTATCATGTTCGTCGGGACGGCAGGAATCGGAACCGGGAGTCGCATTGGCGGTCATCTAAAGTACGGCGGAAAAAAGGTCGTTGAGCAACATGCCCTCTCCGTCCCTGTACTGATGACCGATGAAAACATGACAAGCAAAGTCTGTCCGTTTTGTTTTGCGATTCTACGCCTCGTCAAGGAACTGAGACTTGTCAACGGAGTCGAGAAGCTGGTCACAATCAACGGTGCGGTTCAGTGCGAAAACCCCAACTGTGAGAGTGTCCGCGCCGGTTATGCACGTCGAGGCAGGGACAGCAATGCATGTGTCAACATTGCACTTGCGGGATTCACGACAATCATGAGCGACAACAGACAGCCACTTCCTCCCTACAGGAGATCAACGCGTCCAGAGGGCGCCACCCCTTCAGAACCCCAGTCTCTCGCTACTGGAACACAACAAAACATCGAGCACTTCGACAACGGACCCATTGACAACAATGGCTTCCCGCGACGCTGCTGATGAGCTAGCCTAGCTAGATTTATGTAAGTTCCCATCTGCTTGTTTCCCATTTATGATTTGCTACGGAGTCTGCTATCAGTAAACCTCAGATTAACCAAAACATCCTAAATTTTGGATGAAATAGACAATAATGTGCTTTTCTTTCTATGAATAAATTGGTCCCTTAAGCAAATCTCTGGGCAGATCAATTTGCAAGCCTCGGTTTGCGGTGTCAATGCACTAGTGAAATGCCCTACTAGTGGAGAATTCCATCTAGCCATTCTGCTAGCTACAATCTCGCTCTAAAGTATCAGTGAGCTGTTTGTTATGTAACAACCCCTCTCCGGGCCCTCTTTTAAAGCCGGTGTCCTTGGAATGGCATCCATCTCTTTTGTTACTTTCCATTCCCTGGTGTCTGGGTGATAATTTAGCACGACCGTCGAACCACAATTTTGGTACAGGGGGGGCTCACTCTGGGAGAGCACGGTTTTGCCATTTCTCCACTTTTTTTTCGTGAGTACACCGGCTCAAAACTTCATTCTGTCGCCAACTTGTAGGTCTAAGTGCGTCCTGAAGAACATATCGTGTCCCTGGTGGAAAAAGTTGTGAAGGAATGAAGAAAGTGAATGAGTGTCGTTCATGAATGAGAAGGAATGAATGAAGTGGCGGAGTAGATGAAGAGGGTAGGAAAAGAAGAAGATATTTGGGTGGTGTACTTTGTGGTAATGCACATGGCCGCTCGACCAGGTCGCAGAGAAAAAGGAGGGGGAGTGCACTGGTAGGAAAAAAACAAACAAAATGAGAGTGTATCGTGCCACCCCGGGCTGACCAATGCCTTCTGCAATTAAAGATAAAACAACGAGACAATTGTTCTTCACCCAAACCTGCAGGTCCGGTCCGAGGGGAAAGAAGCAATTATGGATTAACGAGATAAAACGTCTTTCGCAAAACAATGATACCAAGTGTAAGCGCACATTGTGTTTCTGCTATTTCGATCGGGGTAAATGCAATGATGGAAGACAATCAGCAATAACTTCCTTGTGTATCAACAATAAGTGATTGGCGAGTGTGAGAAGGTGTGTGGCAGTGGTCTCCTTTATTAACATTGATACTCAGCAGCGTTCTTCCTTCCTTTCGTTCTGCCTGATGGAAAAACTAGGAGGTGCATACTTCACCTCATAGGTGCAGTGAGTAAACCCCTGAGCACGAGGTTTATCCTTTTTGTGTCTGCAGACACTAGACAGACAGTCAGACAGACAGACAGACAGACAGACAGTCAAAGAAGAAACAACGCCAGGGGAAGGAGGCTATGTCGTTGCGCCCTTCTTATTGTCGTAATGGCGTAGTGCACTATACCCTGTGTCATTCAAGCATTCCATCCTTGTCATCACCCTTTATTTGTGTTCTATTCCCAGCAGTGTGTATGGGTGTATCGGTGTGGCGGTGCCGTAAAGTTTGCTCTCACGACCAAACGATTATTTTAGGACTTTGTATCTCACAACATGATTCCCACCCTTCCATTCTATCCCAGTATCTATCCCACACACGATTGGCGACCCGCAGTCGTGCGCTAGAAAAACGAGCAAAAAAGCGCTTCGCGCGCTTCTATTGTCTAATTATACTTGTCTCGCCCTTACTCGTTATCCTTTGTTGCGGTCCAGCCCCCTCCCTTTTCTTTCTTTGTTAACCCCTTTCTTTTTCTCGTTACCCAAGTGCCGTGAAGTGGTCCCTACAAACATTGAACGGTCCCCACTGCCTCCTTTCCTTCCTTGTACTTGACCGCTTGTATTCGTACATCTTTTTTTCCTTCCTCCGTCTTATCCATCTCCCCCATTTTCTTTTTTTCTTTCTCTCTTCTCTCTTCTCTCTTTTCCTTACCTTTTCCTTCACGCCTTTAACCCTTGTTCGCAACGGCACATCCTTTCCTTCAATTCGCATCACCCTTTTTTCTTATTCTCCTCATCCTTCTCTCTCCTCCTCTCCTCCACCTAGGAGTCTCCCTAATATATCCGCACACAGCACACGCTTATCCACTATACCCATTTTCCAAACATACAACACATACCAACATAATGCATATCTCATTATTAGTCCTCGCGGGTCTAGCCATCATCTCTTCATCACCACAGCTACTACAACTGGCACAAGCGCAGCCCCAGCCCTGTGGAGGAGCAGCGTTCGCAAAAGTCGGAACAACCTTCTACATCCAAGGCGGATCCACCTTCGAAGACAACCTCATCCAAGCCTTCTGGGCCCTCGACCTCTCCTCCCCCTGGACAACCTCCTCCCCCGCCTGGTCTGCTTTATCCCCACCTGGACCTTATAACGCCTTTCACTCTGCAGGTGTTTCCTCTGATGGGTCCTCGTTTATTACATTCGGACGTGATACTGCAGCGAGTACCAACCAGGTTGCGCCGAATTGGGTTAATACGTTCCATATCGGGTCCAAGACCTGGTCGGCGGCCAATCCCCCACAGGTGGCGGATACGAGTCGGAGGGACTTTTATGCTGTCACGAATCTGGCCGGATCCAAGATCTATATCATGGGTGGGAATTCGGGCCCCGCGGGGGCGGTGAGCACGAACGTGTTGAATACATATGATCCAGCGACGGGGACGATGAATGAGGCGCCTATGCCGGCGTCTGCGCCGCAGAATAGTTCGACGTATGCGGCGGTTTGGGTCAAGCGGTCGGCGACCATGTTATTGATGGGGGGCGCTACCGCAGGGGGTTATCCGCAGAGCCTTTGGAGTTATAATCCTGCAAGTGGTGGATGGGCTACTCAGGTACCGTCTTTACTCTTTTTGGTGTTTGTGTTGTGCAATGAAAAAGAGGGTCTAGAATATATGCACGGGCGTGTGTTTGACATACTGGGTTGTGCAACTGTGTTACTCACTCCGGAGAAAACTTTATTGTTGTCTGTTCGTAGGCGTCAAGCGGACCATTCAGCCAGAATCGCATCTCGCACTGTGCCGCCAGTAGTAAGTCCTTTGCCCTACTCATATGTTTGTTGTTTCCCTCTATATGCTCTTTTTTTTTTTTTTTTTTTTTTTTGCATGATGGCCGGCACTGCATAAAAAAGAAAGACGAGACATCCATGCCTCTGTCCATCCCTTTGATCTTCTCTCTCCCCTCCCCCTCACAAAATTCGCCGTATCAATTCCATCTCTCCATCCCTCTATCCCTTTTGCTCTTCACTCACCACCTTACCCCTTCAATATTTTTACGAAATAGATGCCGATGGCTCAATTGTGGCAGTGTTCGGCGGATTCATCAATGGAGGATCCACAGCCGACCCGAACGCCTACATCCTCAACACAATCACCTGGACATGGACCGTCATCCCCCTCGCCTCTGGACGTGGACGTGGCAATGCTGCCTGTACCATCATCGACGACACCTTTATCATCTGGGGAGGATTCTACAATAACCCCAGCGTTGTGGGTGGGTTGCCTACGGGAGCGGATAATCTGCTGTTGCTTACGTTGTCGACTGGCCAGTGGACGACGTCATATACGCCATCGACGGCCGCTGGCGGGGCTGGGAGTGGAGGTGGTGGGAATGGAACTAGTGGTGGGACGGGAGGTAATGGTGGAATGGGAGGTAATGGTGGGACTGGAAGTGGGAACGGAGGGCTTTCGGGTGGTGTGATTGGGGGGATTTGTGCGGGAGTTGCGGTTGTGGTTGCGGTGGTGGCGTTCTTGTTCTATAGACGGTCTTCGAAGAAGGGCGATTATACCGTTGCTGCCTCGTCAGCAAAGCTAGAGTCTGGATCGCATGGTGCCCATCATCCTCCTGCTCCTCCATGTACCGGAGGAGGTCCCACCAATGGACATGGACACCATCACAACGGTAGTGGTGCTGCTGCACCCATTGCTGCTGGTGCTGCTGTGGCTGGTGTCGCTGCCGGACATATCCCATCCAACCATCACAACCATTCTCCACAACCGCCCGCACCATCCACCACCGCCTCCCCAACCGTTTACGACCAATCTCTCTACCACCAACAACAACCCCAACCTCAACAAATCGGATACGCAGGCTATGACCAACACCAGCAGCAGCAGTACCCTCCCTACCTTCAACAAGCACCCGAGCAGTCATTCCACCACCGCCCCAGCACAGATATCGCTTACTCCAGTGCAGGAGCACCGGGCGGAGATGTGCAATATGTCGACGAGCACGGAAACCTCTACCGCCGCTCATACCAGCCCGAAGTTGTCCCTGTACCTGTCCCATCTCCAGGAACCGCGTACTACCCGCCCCCACCGCCCTCCGGAAGTAGTGGTGTTGGGACCCCGGAGCAAGGGGCTTACCAAGCCGCGTATGGACAAGGACAGGGAGGAGAGGCACCGTACAAGGCGTTGGTTGGTGAAGGAGGAGCGCCAAGGGTGGACGCAAGCCCGTACCATGATTCGTATGGCGTTGCTGGGTCTGCGACAACAGCTGCGAAGCGGCCAGTGGGTGGACCTCAAGGTGGGCCGTTTATTGAGGTGCCTGTCGCCAAGGGTGCTCCTCAAGCCATCCTGCAGTAAAAGTTAAGAGAGTTGTAGATACTTAGTCGGCACTCTGTCCAGGGAGGAGGCTGGCGTAGAGTGCAGAGAGTACAAGTAATTCTTAGATTCTTAGTATTCTTAATCATAGATAGCATTCGATCATTTAAAACACATTTCTATTGTATGGAAGTAATGCCCGAGGCTGTCTAGTGTCCGAAACGATGTTTTCTGGCTGCTGAATGGGATCTATCCGGTCTGGCTGCGCCCTGAAATCGATACAGGGATAAAAGCGTCAACTGCTCCCATCGCATTCGCGTGCCCCAGTGAGCGAAGCAATTGCCAATGGAAAAAACGATCTCAGGTCTGAATACCGTCGTCTGGTCGTTTTGATGAAATATCAACAAAAGGAAGCGACCAAACCTGCCTGGGACCCAGACCAAAAAACCATTCCTGGTCATGTCTGATGGCGGCTATTATTTCTTTTTTCCATCATCGTTTTCTACGGTTTGAGCCTTGGCCCAGATGCCCGAGAAAGGGTCCTCTAACCCCCTGCCTCATTTTACTTTATTGAAGATACCTGCCTGACATTTACAGTACAAAGTGTACGGACGAACAAAAAAACAACTTTAGTATCACAAAAGATCTCCACTGCATCGATCGGGGCATTTTTTTTTGTCTCTTAGTGCTAGGATGCAAGAGGGCAAAGAGGTGAATCAGCTATATACCCTGCACGTTTCTTTGAAAAGGGGGGGGGTAGTCATGTTGTGGAGAAGGCCAAGAGTGAAGATGGCTAGGTCTTGTGAGTTCTAATGATGTCTTTTTTGTTTTACAGTACTTTTACTTCCTTCGTGCTTATCCGCGTCGTTCCTGCGTTTCGCCTATTAACCGATAACGTAAAAGTGGTTGGCACAGGAAGCCCCCCAGCAAAGAAGGCACAAATACTACGCGCCACACGCTCAGGCAAAATCATAAACAAAAACCAGCAGGTGCATTGATTGAGCGAGTAGACGGCCAGTGCGCCACGGCCGTGTTTGTTTTTGTTCGTTTTATGGAATTGATGAATGTGCTGATAAAGCGGAATTGTCTACGCTGGGGTTGGTGCTACAATGGAGATGTTGTTTGGACTGGGCATGTGAGTATTAGAATGTGGGTGAGCGCGAGCATCCATGGAACGAACGGTGTTTTTTTTTCAAAGTGGCAAGCTCAAGCATTGGGGGGAGGGGAATGCATGGACGGAACAGAAGCACCTTTTTTTTCACGGGGCAGCACTTCAAACCTCATGTTATGGGTTTGCCGGCGCTTCTTTCGCTTTCAGCTAGGGGGAGCGGAAGAATCGTCGTGAATGTGCTTCTATGGGCGGAATGCTGTGTGAAAGAGGGAGGAAGGAGCATTGAGATGCGCACGGTAATGGGAGAATAGGAGAATGTGGTGCAGGGGAAAGAAGAAAAGATGTATAATAGAAAATCAATGTCTACTTCGGCTGCGATGCTGGGACTCATATGAACGAGAGACCACGGTGAAAAAACAATGGGCAGTCCATGCATCTCCATAACTATCACATCTTTCTTTTTGAATGTTCCAAAAGAGCGCCCATTTTCTGTCAGATAGTTCCCGCGTGCCAGTATAGACGCACACGGTTAGAAGCTAATTGGCGATTGCCTTTTCTTCCCACTCGTGAAGAAAGGAGTTTGAAAGAAGAACGAACGAAATGAAAACAGGCAATGTTCTTCATGTTGAATATTAAACGCTCTAGGCTCATCCAGACCGGTAGCTTTAAACAGTCCAAAGGTCCAATTCACAGACCCTTGAGGTTTGTTGCGTGTGTCAACAAAAAGCAAATTGTATTGGGGAGTTGTGAGAACTGTGGGAGGATAGGGGGCACGGAGAGGTCCCCCCTCTCCCTTTGAAGGAGGGTCTCTGCATGATATGATGACTAACGGTCAATATTTTTCGAATGTTCATGGAGCGAAAACTTATTTCTCTTCACATTGTGTTCGGGATTGTTTGCGCACATGCATTGTGGTATTTCGCAGCAAGATTATTTAGCAAGTTCATTTAATCCTTTTCGTATTTCTCCTCCTTCCACAAGCCAATCCACCCTTGTGTTGCCTTCATCAACCCTTGAAAGAATCTTACTCATCGCGGATAGACGGATAAATTATCTAAAATATAACAGCTTCTCATTTCCCAATCCTTCCTCAACCCGTCTATTGTGTAACCCTCTTAACGGACTTGATCGCACAGAAGGAGGGAAGCAAGAGAAAAGGAAGTGTAAGTCATATTAATGTTGTGAGCACCACGCACACAAGAAAAAGAAATTAGCAGAACAACATCAACAACAAATCGATATAATCCAAAAGGGTCAGGGAAGGGCCGCAGATAGAGGCGGCCATCCTGACGGACAAAACGTCCTTTCAAATGTGGAATCGGGATGAATTTCGATGCGGACAACGAAGGACGAATAGGAGAAAAATAATGTTGATGCAAACTGGGCTTTTGAAAGTAAAGAAGAACGATGAGAGAAGAGGCAGGGGCAGACTGTCTGTTCATGGTTCAATTGAGACTAAAAATGATGCTCGTGGCGATATGAGAGCAGTAAGATGAAATGGTGCGTGAAGACTGAAGACGATTACCTATCAGAAACAGTCGTTCTTCCTTCTAACGTGAACAGTGCAGCCACGAGAAAGAAGAATATCGAGAATCAAAAAGGCTCTAGCCCTATCTCTTTATCCGATATGTCCTATCCTCACTAAGTCCAACTTGAATAATTGACCTTACCACCAGCAACTCGTGGTTCTTCTTGACCGTTTCCTTCTCCACCCGTATGCCATCGTAGGCTAATGAGGGGGATGGGGTGGGTGAAAAGCATAACAAAAACTAGCGCAAATTGCCCTTCCCACTTCAACTTCAGACTGTATCAACAACAGTAAGGTGTTGTTGCTTGTTTGTGCAGTTCGAAAACCAGAAAAAAAAAAAATAAAAAAAAAAAAATGGCTTTTTGATACTTGTGAAGGGACTATTAGGATTATGTTTTCGGTTATTTGTATTCTCCTCTTTACAGTTATGCAACAATCATATAAAGTACAGCTTCTTCATTTCTTATACCTACTCAATCACATTCTATCTCGCAACCGCAACACCTTCTTTGTGTACAATTCCTTGTAACCACTTCTCACAAAAGGTCGATCGAAAAGCGTAGGAAAATAAAGACACTCGTTCTTATTTGGCCCTGTATTACTATTCTACTGAAAAAACACAAAAAGAGAGGGTTGATTATCTCGTGCTCAGCCGAGAGGGAACTTTTCTTGTGTTCCAAGTCGGATTATTTTTTCTGTTGCATGCAGAGTTGCAAGCGCGTTTCATGCACACCCAGGAGTAAAAGGAGGATCAGAAAGGAAGAATGATGCGATGAAATGCAAAGGGATTACAAATGGGCAAACATCTGCAACGGGCAAACAAGCAACAAGTAGCTCCCTCTTTTTTTCCCATCCTATCAGTCTCTCCCTGCCCGCTGCATAATCACAATTTATCAGAGTGAGCTGCTGAATGAGAGAAAAGATACCCTGACTGGCAGGGACATGGAGGTGCAATCTCCTATTGTGCGTGTGTGTCGGACTGTCCATGTGAATTGGTTATTGAGATACTTTACTTGTTTGTTATTATTTACTATCAAGTACTAGTCGTGTATTGAAGTGAGAGCATTCATCCTTTCGACTCACGGACGTTGGGTTAGTTGGTGGGGATTGGTTGACTCTTTTACTGTGTGCTGTGAAGAGGTGCAAAGTTGGACGGTCGTGTCTGTCTGTGTGTTCTTCCATTCAGACAAACAGGTGAGAGCGATTCGGTCCCTCATACTATGGGCACAATACTATAGGAGTGGGTACACCCTGCCACTTCATTGTTTACTCCGCTCGCTCACTCTTGTCGCTGCAGCCATGTCCATTACTGTTCAATGCCCATTGTTTATGCGTCTTTGGCTAACTTTCTTTTCATCGTCTTGTCTGTGTGTTCATTACGCCAATGTCCCAATGCGCCAGTTTCTTCTGTCCAGTTGGTTCTCATTTCTCCGTCCGTTCTCACTTTCTTTCTCTCTTCTCTCGCCTTTCTCTTCTTTTCTTTTTCTTCAGCTCGCCACTCTCCTTCTCAACTCTTACCCTTTTTCTTATTCACTTCTCAGGCGCCCTTCACCTCCTTTTACAGGATATCATCTCATCTCTTCTACTCTTCTCTCATCCTCCTTCTTCATCGACTAGTCGGTTCTTCCCCGTTCCACTCTGTATACCCCTTTCTCACTCGACAATCCCCTTCCCCTGATCATACGCCCATCCCCGTTACATCTCATCATCAAAGGCCACGCCTCCCCAGCCTTGCCATTCCTTCTTTTTTCACGCACACAGCTCAAAGATACACCCTCCTAACGGTCCCATAGAAATCACACACAAAGATCAAATCATGCGTGGTTTATCATTGTTCACCCGACGGTCGACCGGTTTGCTCGCGTCGCTGGCGGCTCTCTCGCTCACGCTCACTGTCCAACAGGTCCACGCCTTTGGATCCAGTAAGTAATTGCATTCTACTTCCCCACTCCCACTTCTATCCGATTTCATTACTGCACGCCTCCTTCAATTGTCAGTTCGGTTTATCTGTGCATACACATTCCATCCTCCCACCATCATTTTAGTCATCCCCCCTACTAAGGGAGAGACTCCGCACCGTTTTTTTTGTTCGACATTCTCCTCATGGAGGGGATGCACAGAACGTCATTCACCAAGAAAAAGAGGAATGAGAGAATGGCGATGGGTACTTTTCATTTTTCCAACACCAGGAGAAAAGCGAAGCGCAGTGCGGTTAACAACAGGTGTGCTCATTGTCATAGCGAGGAGATCGGGTAGGAGGTCATTTTTGCCTTCGTTGTCATTTTCATCCGGTTGTCTCCTGCCCCTGGATGAATACCAACCTGCCGAATGTCCTTTCCCTTTTGATGTCACATCCTATCCTCCTCTTGACGTTATAGAAAGCCCATCTTGCCCCACCCACAGATGAAAAGTAGAGGGGATAGAAAAGTTGACCGCTGGACTTGAACACAATGAATAATTCTCTCGATGCCCCGATCCGGTTAAAGCGTTGTGAACAAAAGGGAGGCAGGAACAAAACCAATTGTTTTTACTTTTGTTCTTCATCCAGTCTGGATGAAATTCAGGCACCGTTTCTGTGTGTGCACGTTCTTTTATCGGCATATCTGAGCTAGCTTGGGATAGGTTAATTGGAGATAGAGTGTTTGATTGGGACCTAGTTGACACCACTTACCATGCAGGTCCGGTCGGTTAAGCAACTTTTTTCTCTTCATATTTCTCAAGCAAGATCGCGGTTGTACATATTGCCGCTATCAGATATTGGCAACTCTCTTAACAAACAGCCGCCCTTGTCTCCAGAGATCATTTTCATATCTCTCTCTTTCCTATCGTTCTCTTCATCTCATTCCTGTGCTACCTCCAGATCAATCCAATCAAAGTCGCAACTCTTGCCAGCATTTCCCTTCCATAGCCGTAATTTCGTTCTTCGAAAGAATGAATCCTCAACTCACTCAAACTCTTACTATTCTTTGCTCTTAAAAGTGGTTCCGTATGATGGAGCGATCTGTAAAGGATTCATCGACTACCAAGTATGGGTGCCTGACAACACCACTGTTGCAGATGTAGAAGGCGTCCTGACAGCATCGGGTATCGAACTGGCCAAGAGTCTCCCTGATCCATGCAGTTCCATATTCCTCTCCTATGCTTGCTCATCCGCATACCCACGACCCGTCTCTTCAGGGCAAGGTATGCACACACATCTGCATTCAAGATGCCATCGATAGACATGTTGTGTCTTTACGCGTTGACTTGGAAGATTAATGCTATACTGTTTGTTTGCAACTCATTAGGTGACAGCTATAATGTCCTCTTTGCCTGCGAGTCCACATGCAAGGCAGTCGTCGATGCGTGCCAAACCAGTGTCGACTTTCTCATGTCAATCAACATGCTCCCAGCAAATCCACTGCCTGACTGCTCAAAATCAGTCTCAGGCACTGAGATGTACCCCAGTGGCAGCGTGCCCTTTCAGCCTGATGCCTCTTGCAACAGCGTCCCATGTAAGTCATCGTTGGTTGTATTCACGATTTTGAATCATCGTTTGTAATGGCGTGCAACTTACCTATGCCGACCCATTCCCTTCTCTATCTTTGCTCACGGATAGTCAAGAGTAGCAATATGACGTGCGCCGCACCATTAGAAGCGTGCCTACCGCCATTTGTTCCCGATCTAGAGTTTGCGAGCTCAGGTGGACTTCGAAACACGGACGATAACAACTGCGGCTGCGGATGCTGCTTGCCCTGCCCACAAACAAACGCATTCTACAAGCCCGGCATTCTCGACAAGGGCTTCTTTATCACCGATGTTCTCAAAGGAATCTCTGCCGTTCTGTCTCTCATCTTGGCCATCTCTTACATAGTCTTGCCGGGTAAGTTACAGCACCCGAGCAACCTGATCCTATTTGCTGCCATTGCCGCATGTCTCTTCAGTTCTGCAGTCGCGCCATCGTACGGTAACCCAAGTCGAGTCCAGTGTGCCGCCAATGGTGTCACACCCGCGACTTCGTACAACAACAAGCTGTGTGAGGCCCAGGGCGCATACTTGATGTTTGGCGCGATTTCGACTACGGCCTGGCTGTCGTTAATTATTGTGAACTTGCATCTGCATACGGTTTGGAACTCGAATTGGTTGTCGACTCGTGCTTGGTTGGCGCATGTTTTGGGGTGGATTATCCCTGCGGCATTCGCTGCGATTGCAATTGTTACGCGGTCTCTCGGATGGAACAACTCCTCCATGTAAGTACTTTGATATTTTTCAAGTGTGTCTCTTCTTTTTTCCTTGCACGTCTCTGCATTTTCTTTTTCGTTCCTTCTCTCCGTTCGATCTCAGTTGCTGGCATATTTCGACTGTTGTTTATCCCAATCGTATGCATGATTTCCAGTTCCTCAACTAATGTCGCGTTCTTTTCCTACCATTCTTATTTTTTTCCACTTATAAAGGTGCATGGTAACGATGGAAAGCTCCAATGCATTGCTCTTCGCCCCCCTGGGAGTAATTGTAGTCCCCTCAATCCTCCTCCATATTGCCACATTCGCCCACATCATCCGCGTCACTCTCCAGTCCGAGAACTCTGAAACAGTCTCCCACTCCACCTTGTCTTCCGGCCGCGCCGCAAGAATCTCTCACCGCCGACATGTCATGAATGCGATCCGGATCCAATGGCGCGCCGCAGCATTGGCACTCGTCATCTCCTCCTGTGTTCTGGTCTACTGGGCATTTTACCTGGTCCAGGGGACGAAGACTGACATGTCATGGATGACTCCCTGGCAGTTGTGTATCATGTCCGGTGCGGCGTCTCAGGAAGAGTGTGGCAAGATGTTTGCGACGGGACATATGCCGAATTTTGTGTTTATGATGATTGCAGAGGGGTTGGTGTCCACGCCTGGGTTGTGGATTTTCTTGTTGTTTTTCAGAGGGTCGATTGTGCAGGAATGGAGGGAGAAGTTGTCAGGGTGGATCTGTTGTAGGGGACGGAGGCGGTCGGGGAAGCAGGATGAGGAGTTCTATGTTATTTAGATGCCCTTCTTCTCTTGTTTGTCATTTTCTGCAAGTCATTTCCATATGTCATTATCAATAAGTAATAGAAAAATAATAATACAAACAAAAAACTGTGTACGTTCCCGGTGCATCTCTGTGGCATGTCGGGCGTTAGACTTTTTCTCGTAATTTCGTCCAAGTGGGTTGTAGATGACTTTATTCCCTCGTACTCCACATGGAGCTGATATGAACGCCTCTTGTTTTTCTTCTGTTACCGTTCTTCTCCTCTTCTCTTTTGTTCCCTTTTCTTTGTTGTTTGTTAATGTTCTTTTGTTCTCTGTTGTCATCATCGCATCCCTTCTTATTGGCATCCCTCTTCCTGGCATCCCCTCTTCTCACTGTATCAGCGTCTTCTTCTTCTTCGCATCCTCATCACCCTTCTCTTCTCTTCTTTCTCAGTCATACCCTCTTCCCGACTGCACTCATCTATCCACACACACACACACATTCCACCCTCGCTTTCATGACCACCAACGCGTCCCTCCAACCCAACCCAACCAACCACCAACAATAACAACAACAACACAGCACCATCCATTCCACAAACTGATCTCACATCCTCCTCCTCATTCCTTACTCTTCGCCTTCTCAGCCTTCATCGGACAACAGCCACTTGTTCCTATCCCTCACACTTTTGACATCACCAACAGCCGCAGCCCAGGCCGCTGCATCACGCCCACCTACCAATTTCATTCATACCAAAGTCATTGTCACCATGACTTCCTCCTCTTCGACCACCACCCATACTCCTTCCTCTTCAAACAATACCATCAACAGCAGGAGCAGAAGGGATACCCTATTCAGCCGGCCCAATGGAAGCAACAATAGCCCCTCGTTGTTCCGCCACATCTGTGTTCTATTTCTGGTCTCTAGTCTTATCCTATCCACCGACATAATTTCTTCCAGTTCTAGTCTCGCTTCTGCTACTCCCTCGGTTGCGGAGCTCTCTTCCGCCGCCGCCGCTTCATCTTCCACAGAACAACAGGAACAGCACAACGTTGTGCTGCAACGACGTTCCACGGGCATCTACATGCCTCCCAAGGGCGCAACCCTTTACTATCCCAACCCTGCATCCCAATTCCCTAGCTCCAAAAGTGGGAACCCTTCATTATCAACAAGCTCGAGCCAGGAAGGTGGCAGCAATGGCGATGGGTTGATTGGGATTTCGTCCAAGGCCCATGCTGCTACCAGCAAGGGAGGCAACAATGGCACCAGTGACAGCTCGCCGGGTCTTGTTCGGGCTACTCCGAACATTATCAGCGTGCCTCTTCAGGACCTCAGTGCCGACACCGTTGTATGTATACACTACCACACACTACTCAAATTTCATTTCCACTCTGAATCAGCGCTATTTCACACATACGGCGCTCATTCATCCACCTTCCCTGTACCCACCTCGCCCACAATTCACCCCCCGACGCTCTTTTCATGTCGTTCTTTTCGACTCTCATTTCCTCCTCGTGCAGGATGCACCTTTCAAAGGGTACCTTCGACACTTCTCTCGTCATTTCTTTTCACCTCCGACAACAAGAACTATTGCACGTCAACCGACAGCCTAAATGTCTCTGCTAGTGTTGCCTTCGCCTACAAGTCTGGATGAGAGGATGGGGCAGAAATGACGCCTATGCATTGTGTTCCACACTTTATTCCCCCACCGATCCTATTCCTGGTTCGCCTTTATCCAGTTTTACCTTCATCGAGTTCCACTCTCTTCTCGCCTTCTCTTCGCCCTCACCTTCCCTCTCATGTTCTCTATTTATCAATTGAGGTGTGCTCCACGGGTGCCAACTATGTTATTTTTAATTTCTGATGCTCACAGTCCTCACACCACTAATTGCCGTCTCCACTTTTCTCTCATCTCCCCTTTCTCTCACTCCTTGTCCCCTGCATGCCTCTTTGTCTATGTTGTCCAACGTCTGATGGCACTGTTACTTGATCTTAAATCAAAAAACCACCACAACAATAACAACAATAACAAACACGTCTCGCATTTGCGCGACTATCATCACCTCCGATTCTCCTCTTATTGACGCACGGTCGATCGCCCAAATGACTCTACCTGTCTTTCTCAGTACATCGGTGAGTATCCTCCCCTTCTTTCCTAATCGAAGCGGTCAGTTGTTGTTTTGTTTGTCACGCAAAGAATATCTGTCAATGCACTCTTCTGATCCTCGCTTCTCCTTCCGACCTTTTATATTCTCATAGGCACAATTGAGCTAGGAACTCCGCCTCAGAACTTCACTATGGTGTTTGATACGGGTAGCAGTGATATGTGGGTGCCTGCTCAGGCCTGTGTCACACCCGTGTGCCTGACCCTAATCCGATACAACAGCACCGCCTCGACGTAAGTCTTGTTTCCTATACCAGCTAACAAACTTGCACTTGCAATTGTTTGTTTGTCGAAAGTCTACAATGTCCAGTATGAAATCCTTACTTTTTTTTATTCTCCGTCAATTCCATCTGCTCTTAGTACATACCGTGCCGAGAACAAGCCATTCGATGTCAAGTATGGGGACGGTTCTCATGTCAGCGGAGTCACCGTCATCGTAAGGCCCAATCGCTACCGGAATGGAAATTTGATACGAAGTGGTACCTGAATAACGGTGACGGCATTTTGTCTCTAACGTCGTCCATTTTATGTACCCTTTGTTTTTTGTTTGGTTTTATCTTTCTTATTATTAGGATTCCGTAACGCTTTCAGGAACCAAGATTGCAAACCAGTCGTTTGGGTTGGCAGCGGTGGATGATTCGACGATTGCCAAGCAGGGCGTTGAAGGTGTTATCGGTTTGGGCTTTGGAGCAGTCGCCAACATCAAAGGTAACAACTAGGGCAAGTTGAGAAATTGAAAGCAGTATGCTATGCCAGGTTCAGGTCACTGCTCTGTCTTTGACTATTTTCCTGGAGTCGTGGGCTAACTGACATCTGTCAATGCGAAAAATAGGATACTCTACACTGGTGGAAACGATGATAAGCCGAAAAAACTTGACACAGCCGATTGTGTCGATGTGGTTGGGTCGTCAACGGATGGGCGGCGCCAACGAAGGATCTGGAGGGGCGGTTATCTTTGGAGGTGTGGACACCACTAAGTATGTGGGCAACTTTACGTGGGTGCCCATTATCGACAAGACTTCGTGGAGGATCAAGCTTGATGGCGTCTCGATCGCCGGCAAGAGTCTTGGACTCTCTGGCAATGCCTTGATCGACTCTGGTACGTTTCATTTTTGCTTAGACGGGTTGCATTGTTGAGGAGCAAGTAACTGGATGATACGTGAAGTTAACGCGCTAGTCTTTGTCCTTTTTTCGGTCACAACATTAGGCACCTCTCTGATTATTGTTCCCACAAAGGTCGCGTCCGTCTTTCACGAATATATACCAGGGGCCATCGAGGTAAGCGCTCATGCCTTGTCACCCTCATCAATCACTTTAACGTATAGATAAACAAACGGCCAACAAGCTAATCCTTGAACACGTTTTCAACTCGTTAATATATAGGCGCCACAAGTGGGATGGATTCTGCCTTGTAACACCAGTGTGGGCGACTTGAACTTTACGATTGCAGGACAACAGTTCCGTGTCCCCGCAGAAGAGTTGGTAGTCCTCTTCCGGATCCCAGGATATGCCGAGTACTGCAAGAGTGCGATCGATGTCTCTTCATCGTCCTCAAATACCGTAAGCACATTTTTTTTTCCTTATCTCATGAATGAAAAACAAAATGTCTAGAACCAACATTCAGTGCTAACGTCTTTTTTTTTTTTCTTCTTTCCATTTATTATCTTTCTCTTTTTTTGCGCGCGGGGTTGACTAACAGGACTGGATATTGGGTGCATCGTTTTTGAAGAATGTGTACAGTGTGTATGACTACCGGAGTCTGACGATTGGGTTTGCTCAGCCGTCGAATGTCTACAACACCTTATCCAATATCACCTTACTTCCCAACCTGTCCAACCAACCTCAGGGACAGGGGAATAATTCTAATGGGACACAGACCGGCGGTGGTGGATCGAATGGAGATAATAGCTCTGCTTCTGTGCAGATTGGGGTAAGTTTTTTTTTCTTTCTTTCTTGCAAAAGTCGAGTGCGAGGGCTGACGAGTGGGAGAGAAATGTATAGGGGATGTTAGCGCTAATTTTTTTTTATTTCCTTTTCGTATCTTGTGTGCGTGTTTTTTTTATTAGAGCCATGCGGTATTCTACGCGGGAATGACTACAGTTGTCACGACCATGCTCCTGTTCTCGGGGCTGTAAGTCTCAACAATAAATAATGACAGTAACGTGTTTATTGAGAATTGACTGTGGGCATAGTATCATATGGAGAGAGAGAAATGAGTGGCGAAGACGGGAAGTGCAAGGAAGTGGGTTGCGAGAAAAATCGCATTTTCGAACTTGAACGTGTTGCAAACTTGCAGGTATGGAAGCCAGTCACTTTCTGGGTGCGATCAGAGGACGATCAGCAGCCAATCACGCGATTTAGAGGTTCAAGGTGAGTCAATTGGTTGGTGTGTGAACACCGTGAATCGATGCTGACTCTTTTTCGGTCGATAGGATATGAACGGTCTGTGGATGAACCCTTTCCTTTAAGTCTCCCTTTGAGCCGTTGGGGTTTCGTTTTTCTTTCCTCTTCTCCACAACAACACACTGCCCTTGTTCTTCTCTTCTTCAGTCGCCATCTCACTTCAACAACCTTTTTCCATTGCTTCAACTCGCAATTACTTTCCGCCCTTGCAGGACCTGCACACATACCACCTAGACAATACCTACCAATACACAACTACACCAACACCGAACACTTTTGTTCACACCTACACCAACAACAGCAACCACAAAAGCAACCACCTCTATACCACTAATACCAACAATCAGTTCACCTTCGACCCACTCACAACCCAACACCGCCCACCTTTACCAATCAACTCTCAACCAAAAGATGACCTCAACTAGTCATATCACCCCAGCTGCAGGAATCCGCCCCGAACAGGCGCCTCTCGGATCCCCCGTCCCCAACGTTCCCCATGCGATCTCGGTTTCATTGCCCACCTTCCGCGACAATGTCGATTACGAGGAGGGTGCTCCCCGCGTTGTCAATGCCATGGTCTCGGGATACCCCCGCTTCTTTGTTAGCTTGAAAGTCAAGGAGGTAATTTGTTGTTCTGGCGTTGGTTGCTTGTGGTTGTTGGGGGAGATTAGAAGGAGTGGAGTAGGTTGGTACAAGGTTCTTGTTTGTCATTTCTGACATTTGAAAATGGCAAAAGAAACAGAGCTGATCTGTTATTTCTTTCTGGTCGGATCGGAGCTTGGAGTATATGGTGTGTTGGTGGCGACATTTTCAGCTCTTGACGAATTGATTCTCGACGATGGTTTCGATATGTTTTGTGATGGGAACGATCCACACTGCATGGTCGCTTGTTCGCTGTTTGTGCCACCGTAATTTTTCTCACCTTTTACCAACCTCCCTCTCCTCAACTGCCCTTTTGCCTTTTAGCTGATCGGAATCTGCGAGAAAAAGTACGGTAAGCCCACGGAGAGCTGCTTCCTCTGGCCATCCCGACGCGTCGCCGAGCGCTGTCGTCACTTTGTCGAACGTTATTACGTCCCGACTATCTCGACCGATGACTCGACTCCCACGCCCCACACAGGAGGAGCTGGTGCAGGAGGAGTTAGGATTGTCGAGTTTACGATCCAGGCACCTTCGTCCGAGTTGAAGCCAGGCGGGCTCAAGCAGGTCAAGGTCTTTGCGACCTTCTTCCCCAAGGAGGCTTCTTCGTTCGCCAAGCAGTTCTGGCAGCACGCTGGAGACATTGTCACCTCCCGCTTGGCTACTTTCTGTCTTCGTTGGTTGAGCCTCAACAAGGCCGAGGAGGAGCAGCAGGAGGCCGCTACGGCTGCTGTTTTGAACGCCTCCAAGAGTGCGATCCGTATGCCCCGCGGTAACCGCCACTACACTGCTACTAAGACTGCTTTGACCTCGTCGTCGAACGGATCGCCCTCAGGAGATCTCGCCAACGGCGTTGCATCGATTCAGTTGCAGGGTGAGAAGAAAGTTGGCCAGGATGTGGATGAGGAGGACCGACCTGTTGAGGAGGAGGCTGACGGAATCGACAGCCGAGACTATGAGGTCTATGTCGAGGAACGCTATGGACGTAACCTGGACCTGTCCTTTGCTCCCAAGGCCAAGGTGGCTCTTCGTCGTCGTATTGCGACACAGGTGGCTCACCATGCCGGATCGGGCTATGTGACCGAGGATGATGTGTACCTCTACCCCACGGGCATGTCGGCGATTTACAACGCTCATCGTATCGCCTTGACCCTGTTCCCCACTCGCAAGTCGGTTTGTTTCGGTTTCCCCTACACGGATTCGTTGAAGGTCCTCCAGAAGTTTGGGCCAGGCTGTTACTTTTATGGCAACGGCGAGGACTCTGACATTGATGCCTTGGAGAAGGAGGTTCTCGAAAAGACTTTGGGTGAGGGTGTTGCGGAGGAGGACAAGATCTTGGCGGTCTTCTGTGAGTTCCCTTCCAACCCTTTGCTGAAGTCGTCGAATTTGGTCCGCCTGGGTCAGTTGGCGGACAAGTATGGGTTCATGATCATTGTCGATGAGACTTTGGGCAACTTTGTCAACGTCCGCATCCTCGAGTATGCCGACATTGTCGTCTCGTCCCTCTCCAAGATCTTTAGCGGTGACAGCAACGTCATGGGTGGCAGGTACAATTTTGAATCTATTCAGTCATTGTCAAGGGTGTTTTCTTGGTTGTTTGTGTGTACGGATGCTTGTACCAACTTGACAATTAATTCATTGTCATGTTCTTTGTTTTTTAAAATAGTTTGGTGTTGAACCCGCAGAGACAATTCTATAAGGGGTTGAAGGATGCGATGAGCCGCGAATACGAGGACTTGATGTGGGTCGAGGACGCCATCTTCATGGAGCGCAACTCTCGTACCTTCCAAACCCGTATTGCTCGCATTGACGAGAACACTGAGGCCCTCTGCGAGTTCTTGCGTACTCATCCTAAAGGTACCATTTTGTTTTTCACATGCCTTTTCCGCATTTGAAGCGAATACCCCTTTTTTGAAGTCAATTGTTAACCACGATCGATGTCTTGCCTTATGCACGAATAGTGAAGGAGGTTTACTACCCTAAGTATGTGACAACGGCCAACTACCTGACACACAAGGTCGAGGGTGCAGGGTACGGAGGACTGTTCTCGGTCGTGTTCAAGGCCAACGAAGGTGCTATCCCATTCTTTGATGCCTTGCCCTTCTACAAGGGTCCTTCTCTGGGCACCAACTTCACGTTGGCTTGCCCTTACACGATCTTGGCACATTACTATGAACTTGATTGGGCGGCGCAGTTCGGGATTGATCGTAACTTGATCCGTGTTGCCGTTGGGCTGGAGGACATGGATGTTTTGTTGCAGGGCTTCCAAGAGGCCCTTGACGCCATCCCTGAGGTCTAGGGGATGACGGTATCTTTATATTGGCGGTATCGAGACTGTCTGCTCTTTTCTTTTCGCACCTTTGTTCCTCTTTTGAATTCGATAAAGAGCAAATAAAGAAGAGTAGCGAAAAGAAACAATTGTGTTCTGCGGTTGTGCGAAATCGTTTTGAAATGTGATCGGCTGTGAAGAAGGGAGGTGGCTTTTAGAGGCGGATCGAAAAATGGATCAATTGAATTGAGCCATCCGCAACGCCGACGTTACTCATCTTCCCTGCCATCTTAGGGCAAGAGAAACCGATAGAAAAAACTCTCTTTGCCCTCTGACAGAACTACTTTTTTTTTTACTTTTTCGTTTTGTCATCACACCTCTTCCGCCTCTTTACACTTTAAAAAAACGGAGAGGCCTTCCCTTTCTTCTTTTCTTTTTTTTCTTTCCTCTTTCCTCATCAACAACCATCAACACTCCCCACTCTCACCACCACCAACAAACAACATCACAGGACATAATGACTACATCACACGACAGTAACAGCTGTGCTGCCTCTGCAGAAGTCCCACCAGCAGCACCCATCAGGACTTCGACCTCAGCGTCAACCCGAGCAAAGATTGCAGGTGGACCTACTCCTGAGTCACCTTACCCCATCAAGATGAACGGCACCGTCATCAAGGGCTTTGGACGTGGAAGCAAGGACCTCGGTATTCCCACTGGTATGCTTCCTTGAGTTTTTTTTTTTTTTTTCACTCTTGTTGAACCTTTTCTTTTAGTACTGATTGGTACTTTTTACCTCTGGAAAAAAAACCTGACCATATCTCTCCTTTTGTCCTTATCTTTCTGTTTTACGTATGTGATAGCTAACTTGCCAGAGGAGGCGATCGCGGCACAGGAAGACAAGTTGGTCACAGGGATCTACTACGGCTGGGCACAAGTCGTCGTCCGGACAACACCCGATTCCCATACCACCACCACCACCTCCAATGATACCCTTTCCTCAACCCCATCCTCAACCCTCCCCTCAACAACAGGAACCAACGCAGTCGCCCGATCAGCATCCTCGTCAAGCTCATCATTAGCAACTTCTTGCCCAGCAACCGTCTACCCAATGGTGATGTCCCTCGGCTGGAACCCATTCTACAAGAACGAGAAAAAGTCGGCCGAAGTTCATATCATGCATAACTTTCACCGGGACTTTTATGGAGATGAGTTGAGGGTTGTTGTGTTGGGGTATATTCGGCCCGAACTTGACTATACTACCCTTGGTAAGGTCTTTTTTTTTGCTTTTTTTTTTATGTTTTGCGGGAGCGATGTTTTGGGATGGGTAGCTTGGGTTGCTTTGAGAGTTCAATTGATTTTTTTTTGTTCGTTATCTTCTTTTTGCCGCCGTCCCCCAACTGGAGTGAATGCGCAAAGCGCAGACAGGATGAAGGAGGAGTGCGAAATGATTACACGATGATACATTTATTTCCCATGTGGTTCGTTTGTAATCTTTATCATCTGGTTGCTGACCCCCTCCTTTCCCCTTCCCACGTTATTCTTATGTTATCGAAATCTAATAGAGGCATTGATCGAGGATATCAACATCGACATCGAGGTCGCACACCGGTCCTTGGAGCGTCCTGAATATGCTGCCTTCAAGGAGGATCCCCTCTTCTTGCAGTTGTAAAAACAGGCGATTGATTCTATTGACACGCCCCATCAGCAGCAGGTCAACCAACAAAAAAATCCCAGCGGCGTCGGCGGCAATGGACAATTGGAGTTACAGAGTCCGACAAAGCCGACAACGCAACATACATAATAGATATGAGGGCGCTGCGCATGATATAATAAACAACAGCAGATTCCACAACAGACACGCCTCAGGATCGAGTGTACCTGTGAGTTTTGCGATCCATTTTCAGATCTTTTGTTAGATCGAGAAGGATAAGACCAGCGAGTGCTTGACATAACCAGGATTTGCCTTGTCTTTTTGAGATTCTCAAGCCTAGAGAACGTCGCATGATTGGGTTACATTTTTTTTTTTTTTATTCTTCTCTTCTTTCAAGGAACTGAAACAAGTTCAACATCTCCTCCTCATTGGACGCGCTTAAGATCCGTGGGTCGATCTTCTCATCTCTTACCAACGAGCAGGTTCGCACATTCGACTGAGCCCCATCAAATACTCTTCCTCGCCCTGCACAGCACGGATCACCATATCCGACCTCACACCACTGCCGACCATCGACCCATGGACACTTCCATTATTCGATCCACCATCCCCTCCAGAGGACTTCCAGAGACTAGAAGCGCCGTTAGACTTTGGACCTTGAACGCGGTTGATGAACTCGACTTGAATCACACGTTGGTGGACGCCATACAGTCCTGAGGCCTTGACTAGGCGGCGCTCGACAATTTCTGAGATATGATCCAATGCACCCCTAGATCCATCCGGCGCCGGTCCACCTCCGTTACTGGAACCATTCAGGAACCCATGAGTGCTACCAGACTTGCCACCGAGAAGGGACGACGATCCTCCATTGCCATGCACAGAGTCAGTTTCGCCATAGAGGGATGGCGAAGAAGGACGGAAGACGCGTGCCTGGCGGAGGAGTTGGTGTTCGAAGGAATAGTCGACAGATTTCGCCATATCGACTGCGTTCTCGACGTATTGGGTCAGGCGACGGAATTTGTCAAAGTTGACTAATGGCGCTCCTGTGTTCTTGGATTTTGGAGAGGTGGGAGGGGTTGTAGGGGGTGGAGGAGTCGTGCATGTTGGGGTAGTAGTAGAGTCAGAGGTTGAGATGGGGGCTGAGGTAAGGTTAGGCTGAGCTTGAGGTGTGAGGTTTGCCTTGGACGCGATCATTGTCGAGTTGCCGTCCAGAATGAATGTGATATCTTTCAACAGAATGGCTATTGAAATAAAATAACAATAGAGAGTATGTCAGCCACTTTGTGTTCGTTTGCTTCTCAATAGAGAAACGATGTCAAAAAAAAAAGTAAAAAATGTAAAAAAAAATAAATAATGAAAGAGAACGTACGCAGGAAGGGAATAGTTGGAGCATCAGCTTCCGCAACCGCCTGTCGATAACACCTCATATTCCCCGAAGGGTCCATCAACGCCTCCAAATTCTTCAACGTCTCCATATCTTTAGAAGAAACCAACTTCCAGGACGAGTTGAGGCGACGGACGGGTTTGGAGGTCAAGGCCGAGACGATAAACATGGACGTGTGGAGGTTGTTCAGTTGGCGGCAGATCTTGGCCACTTCGATGAACTTTTTGATGAGTTGTTTCCGGGTCTTGGATCCGGCCGTGCTCACTATCTCATGTGCCACCCAGTAGCTAAGCTATTAGTAGGGAAGGATTGAACACGCAGATATTGTTAGCACAATCAACAAAGACAAAACCAATAAGACAGAGCCATAGAGCAAAGAGAAATACTTACCATGTTGGCGCGCCGAGTAAAGGCTTCAATGGCTCCATCCTCCGCACATTCAGCTTCAACAACACTCAGTCCCGAGGGCGATTTAGGCTCATCCTCATCCTGCCCTCCATTCCCGCCATTCAGCTTATTATCAGCCGCTTGGCGCCTTTTCCACCACCCAGACATTAACTCAAACACCGTAATACTCCTGAACGCTTTCATATCCGCCAATGTCAGGTACCTCGCCAGATCCTGTCCGTTCAGTTGCAAAATGGGTGAGGATGGCGCCAGTTCTGGGGTCGGCCCGTATTCGATTGTTTGTTCGCCGGGAGATTGGGGGATGGGGCTTAGGGTAGAGGACGTAAGGTTGGATGATTGGCTGGGAAGAGGAGGGTTCTGGGATCGAGAGAGGGAGATCTTTCGGGTCCGGGATCTCTGTAAGCAGAACCGACCTTGCTCCATGATCACACTGCAGTTCTTGATCGGCGACAGACTCTGTTTGAACGGAAGATCAGACAAAAGTGTTAATGCAATGCAAAGTTAACCTTATTCATGGCCATTTGACCTCTAGGCAGTATGTACTGTACCTTGATAGAGATGCTCTTATCGATACACTCGGCTTCCATAACAAATCCCGCCTGCCGAACATCAACCTTCAGAAACTTTCTCAACGACTTGAGCAAGTTCGCGTTCAACTCAAAGTCCTCATACTGGATCTGGATCCATCGCATCAGCACGCACAGAATCCTATTGCATACACACACATATATAAAAATATATAACGTCAGTTATTAAATTCAACCATAGATACTTATTACAGGTTACAGAAAAGCCGTGGACCCGTTAAGAGAAGGAGAGACGAGACTTACTTGACTTGAATGACGGTCTGCCATTTCTTAAAGTAGAGAATCTCGCCTTGACGAGGCTGGATATGGAAACGGGCGATCAGGCGATCCAAGAGGTCCTCTGAGTCAATAAAGAACGAGTGCGACAGCAGAAAGCAACTCACATACTCCGCATCTACTCGAGATGAAGGGAATTGGCAACTGTTAGCATCATTTTTTTTTATACTCGCAGCAGCGTTTGTCGAAATGAAATAGTGCTCTGACTTTTACCCTGGGCGTTCTCATCCGCAAGTCGCTCAATGAGCTTCTCAAGCAAACCAGCAACGACTTGCAAGTGGCCTTCAAACATCTCCATCACAAGCACATCAGCGCCATTCTCGCAGATATGCAACACGCGCGGGGAAGTCGTGCTCTGCTGTGCGTTTGGGTGATTCAACGCCCAGCTGTTGTTCTGAACAGCTAATAGGTTGATTAGAAAAGAAATATTTGTATGAGTTACCGAAGTGCTCGACTGAACGATGTCATAGGGGATAAAGAAAAGATAGCTAAAGGTGAAAGATAATTAGAGGCTTACGTTGTCCTTTGGCGTAGGCGCGCATGTGAGAGTACTGGTTCAATCGCTTGACATCCAAGTTGAGAATCTCCCATCTATATACATGCGGATCAAATTATCACGGTTAGCCAGAATGGTTAAAGTGCTCATATAGGGATGGCGAAACCTTCATAACAAGAATAACTTACGCCTTCTTCATGTCGCCGAAACGAGGGCCAATCACCGGCTTACGGGCAGGATCAACAGGAATGCGACTCTCCAAGGCCTCAGACTCCCTATGACCATTACTGGTGTTCTCCGTATGAGCTTCTGAAGTAGTCGTCTCACTCGTCGTCGCCACATAAGGACCATTGTGACGAGAAGCAGCAATACTGTGGTGGATATTGCTCTCCGATGACATCTTCTTGTAAGTGGGTCGCGGTGGTCGAGGTTTGATACTCAGAGCGTCAGATTCCGTGAACGTGACTGAGTCAGTTGAAGGAGCGGGAGCGTTAAATCTTGGCGCCTGAGCCTGAGTCTGAGCCTCAGCTGGACCCTGATCCTGATCCTGTCGATGGTGAGGGGCATTCTTGGGCTTGGAGTTCTCGTCAACGGTCGGCATCATGTGGATAGAGTTACTGTTAGACGAACCCTGCTGCTGAGGTTGTTGTTGTTGCTGTGGCTGCGAGTTGATGGTCGACTGACTCTTCTGAGACGAGGCACTCTGTCGTCGACTAAGAGCATCCGACAAGGCACGCTCAGCACCCAGGATCAAAGGACTCGAGTGCCGCCTATTGTTGTTGCCCATCATCGTCATCGTTGCCATCCGCTCTGACTCAACCTGGGAAAGCGCCGATCCCGATCCTGGTCGACTTCCCTGTCTAGACGGTGTAGTGGAAGAAGATACCGCGTTTCCGTCTCTCGAAATGAAGGGGATCATGAACTCGAAAGACGCCATACGAGAAGGTGCCTGCGAAGAACTCGACTCCAACCCAAACGTCGACCGGAAATCAGGACCATTCGGTGTAGAAGGCAACGAAGTATCAAAAGCGCCACCTGAGGATAAAACAAAAGAATCCTGTCTCATCGACTGCCAGCTCTTCTCCAGTGCATCATTATAGCTCCGGCGCCTCCAGAACGATCCCGGAAAGTTGCCACCGCTACTACGGGGACTATTGTTACTACCATTGCTGCTGCTGCTGCCGTTAGTAGACAAGACGGTGTTGAATTCGGAAAGCTGGTGATCCCATTGCTCATCTTCGGGCATCTTGACAGAGTACCGGTTCCTGTCGTTGCCCATCCGGATACTGGTCTGGCGAGTGAAAGGCGAGTCTAAAATCAAAGGAGAAGTCTGGAGCGGAGAGATGCTCCTAGAAGCGAGGTATGAACTGGTCCTGTGGGTGGAATTTGGCTTGAAGATAGAAGAATCAGACCCAATAGAATTCTCGAATGAGTCATCTCGAGAGGATGCTGCTAGGGTGGGCGAAGGTGGCATGGGTGGGAGTGAGTTTGGAGGTCGTGGGGGTCGAACACGGTAATTGTTCCGGGAGGGTGTCTGTGATTCTCCTGGCGACGAGTAGGCCGAGTAAGGTCTTGGGTCAATAGGAATCGGTGCCGAAATACTGATTCCAGTAATTGTGGGTGCCTATTTGATGGGAGGGGAGGTGTCAAGAAGGCTGGACTAATCACCCGCGAAATATTTGCCACCAAAGATCAATCTCAAAAGTTACCTGGATGCTCTTTCGTTGAAAGAGATTTGACTGTCGCTTTTCCTTGACGTCAGTCTGGGTGGGCGGTGTAGGCTGAAGGGAAGATGTCATAGCCATAGCGTCAGTAACGCTCGAAGAATGCTCTGTCAATTCCATCGACTCTCGAAGGAACTCAAGAGACTTTCTTGTAGGCGAAGCCGCATTGTTGGGCGAATCCATGTGAAGTCGTGTAGCGATGGTGTTGACAGTCCGCTCAGAGCTCATACTCCTCGACATGGCCATACTGGTGCCACCCACAAAGTTACCACCAGGACTACCACTCGCAATTGGGATCGACGATGAGGATGTGCTGAAGGGCGAGGTAGGATGAATCGAATTCGTCGGGCTCATGCCGTCATCCGAGAAACCCAATCGAGTCGACCCAGGCCAGTATTGCTCGGGTAATCCAGAAGTGTCCTTTGAACTGAGACGACGATGGCGGCCATAAAACTTTTCCGACCTGATCCCAGGACTATCAGGCGGGGACAGCGTTCGCACAATACTGTCCTCGTCCGCGACGTGCGAACCCCCATACTCAGTCCCAACCCACTCTTCAGAGTAGTACTCTCCATCCGAATATGAGTCCCAATGGAACCCGTCGTTTGTGCCGTCGCCCAGAGGAGGAAAGACCGCGAGCAACGATGTAGTCGACCGCTTGGCGAAATCCGAGAACGACCGCCGCACCTTCTCCGCCATTGTCTTGAACCGATTCTTGCGCTTGAGCTTGCGCATCAGAGCTGGGTCGAGATGTTTGACCGGGATAGGGTCATCCGCGATAAAATCGACGACTGACGACGACTGCTGGTCGAATCCATTGTCAACTGGGGATCCGTTGTTGAGGTACAGGTCGTCGCGGTTGTCCTCCTGACTCTCCCTCTGCGTCTTGATAGTGCTGACCAGTCGTTGGATTCCTGAGACACACTCCAGAAACTCACCCAACACCGTCACCAACCCGTTCGCATGGAAGAGGATCCTCGAATACAAGCTCTAGAGTGAACATAGCCAAAAGAAAAAACAAGTTAGACAACTGCACTGAAATAAGACCGCACTGAAACAATAACAACAAAACAAAGGGCGCACCTTCTTGATGACTTCATCTTTCTCAATGGCATCTTCCTCCGAGTCATCATCATCAAAGTCCGAGTAGTGCTGCATCCGTCCAAACTCAACGAGATCCCGGATCTTGCGGATGCATGACAAGATCACATCCGTCTCCTCCCAGACACGTCCCACAATGATCTGATACCGTTCCAGAGCATTGGTGGCGCCAAGGGTGACCAAAGAGGTCGTGCTCGAGTTATCATCTGGCTCTGACACAGACCCATCTTCCTCCTCTCTACCAGCCTCCTGTTCCCAACGCGTCAACAGTTCCAGGATCATGTCGTCGTCGAATCTTAGCACCTTTTCGTTCTGTTGCTCACACAACGCTCGGATCGATCCAGTGAACGCGTTGGAAAGCGAGAGCAACTTGGAGATCAAAATATTGTTGCTCTCAGCCATGCCAGGCGCGGTGGGCCGTGTGTCAGTTGTTAAAGACGGGCTAGTGGATGATAGAGAGGCTGCAGCGGCAACAGCAGCGGCGAACGTACTAAGCGAAGGTTCGCCCAGAGATGCACCACTGGTGGGGGAACGGAGGGTGGGCTGCGCAATGTCCATAAAAGGGGGTTCAGACGGTTGAAGCATGCTGGTCGCAATCTGATATCTCGTGGCGCTGATGGTGGAGGTCGAATTAGAGGAGGTGGTCCGAGCACGAGTGTGGACTGGCCCTGTCGTTGTGGTGGTCATAGAGTTGTTGGTTGACCCTCCGCTTGATTTCGGCAGAGCACTTCCGATGAGCGAGGGCGAAGGAGGATGGAAAGAATGCTGGACAGGTGGTGCAGATAATGGGTGGGGAGGCGAGATGGTACTACCGGTGGCAGCAGAAAAGTCCATTGACATGGGCATTATCCGGGGGTGAGGGTGAGGGAGGCTGCTGCTACTGGTCGAGTCGGAATAAGCTGCTGCTGGGTAAGATAGTCCCATGGGGCTTGATTTGGGTATCCGCGCATTCTGGATGATAGGCGGCACGATCTGGAGTATTCCTGTAAGGGATTCTTCCAAGAGGAGGTATTGGTTCTACGGTTTCAAGAGAAAAACAAAAGGTAAGAAAGAAGGAAAGAAAATAGAAAGCAAGGGGTGTTGTTGATACCGATTCTGGAAAATGAAAGGAGGGAGGAGGCGAGTTGGGGGAAGTAGTATCGGACAGGAAAAAAAGTGGGAATGGGGTGGGGACCCAGGGGGCAAAAAAAAAGAAAAGGATGGACAGGTTCAACTGAAGGCCCAAGTTCAATGGAAAAGAAGAGTGGACATGGGAGCAAAAAAAAAAAAGAGAGAAATAGTATTCAGGGGTAAACCAAACATAAATAAAAATCAATTGGATAGGCCCTCTTCAACAACAATGACCAATTTCTGATTGTGTGAGTGCGTGCGGGCCTGCATTGCTCCTCAACGGTGGACCGTTGCTTGTGCGGATAGAATGGGGTGAGTGGAGAAGGGAGAACATGGACGAAAGGGTGGCGGAAAAAAAAGAGGAAGGGTGAGGGTAGAATAGGACATGAAGGAAAAATAAGGGAGGCGGGCTGGGAAGAAATGCAAAAATAACAAAAAAAAAAAAAGGAGCGAATGAAGTGAAGTGAAGTGAAGTGGACAACGACACCAACAACAATACTAAAGACCAAAAGAATTTACCTTGGGATCACGCTTCGTTCTGCTGTGCACCTCTTGGCTGGGGTCCATCCAGAGACGACGGATGCGGGTCTTGATCGCCCGGGCGTCGCGCGAGAGGTTGGCTCGTGTGGTCCACTTTTTGTCGCCCTTTGTCCGCGAGGTCGTAATAGAGGTAGGAGTAGAGGTCTCCGAGAGAGGCGAGGTCACACTTTGGCCATGGACATGCAAGCGAGTGTTTTGAGATGGCTGGTCGGGTAAGCGAGACGATGAATTGTTACCCAAAGCTCCTATCATAGCGCCGTCGTTGTTGTTGTTGTTGTTGTTGTTGTTGATACAGTCGGTGAGTGCAGTCTCTGTGGTCACCAGTTCAGGAGGTTGTTGTGTCGAGGAGGAAGACGAGGAGGCAACGAAACGTGCGCGTTCATGCAGATGCTTGGCTTGGTCCTCTGTTATGCTGCTCTGATTAGGATTAATGCGAGTCGAAGTAGGAATAGTAATACTTTTGTGGGTCGAGCGAGAGGAAAGAGGGTATGAGGTCTGCTGTTGCAACTGCTGCAGTTGATTGGCATTGGCGTCGCTTGAGATCAGGGTAGTTGAAGAGGACGGGATGTTGGCTGTGGATATCTCAGATAGGGGTGGACGCATTCGTTTTGAGGACAGGGTCTGTTTCTGCAGGGTGGAGGAGGAAGACGAGGGATGGAGGGGCAATGGTGACACATCATGGTGAAAGGATGGTCCATTGTACTGTGTCGAGTCTGGCATGTATTCGACTTGCTGCATGGTCGTTGTTGTCGGGAATTCAACTGAAGGCGACTTGCTGATTGAGCTGGCAAGGCGTGGACGTGGCCGAGAAGGAGGAGTGGTCGCTTCCTGGTCGGTGTCGCTCGAAGAAGGAGAAGGAGAAGGGGATGAGTCGCCGGTCCAGAAGGGGAGAGGGAGGCGACGACGTCGTTTGATGCTGAAGATACTACTTGCAACCGATCCTTTGAGTGAACCCGAGGGAGAGTTGGTGGTACTGTTGGTCTGTTTAGGATGGAGGAATTTAGAGAGCGTAAGTTTAATAGACCCAGAGAGTGAAGAAGTGATGGAACGAATCGAGGGTGGACGGGGTGCTGAATGAGGTGAATTAGAATGAGCAAAGGGCGATCGAGAAGAGAAATGAGGAGGAGTTGGTGGGAGTTCCTTTTCTTGCTCTTGTCGAGTTGGTGTTGCCTTTTTCTTTTTTCCTCTGAAAGAAAACAAAGAAGAGGCAGTTGCCAATGGTGGTAGGGAAGGGTCGGCGACTGTGGTTGACTGCTTGTTGTACGAAGTGGACGATGATGTACGAAAGGGGTTGCGAGTAGGACGACGGAGAAAGTTATTCGAAGATGAAGTTGGGGAAGGAGGAGAGCGAGGAGGGGGAGGGGCGGGTCTGTCGGGAGGAAGGGAGAAAGCAGAGAAGGATGAAGTGGAGTGGAAACGCGAAAGAGAAGGATGGTGTTGTTGCTCCTGCTGCAACGACTGTGGCGCTGTAGCTGTTAATGATGGTTGCTGTGGTTGCGATTTTGGCTGCGGTGTTGTTGTTGACACTGTAGTATAATCGAAGGTAGTGGTTCTGTCGATCTCGCTTTTGGGAGAAGCAAGTGTGGTTCCTGCTGCTTCTTCAGATGTAGTGCCAATTATTCTAGGGGGTTGTTGCTGCAATTGGCTGTAGTGGGAGTTGTGTTGTTGAGGTGAAGAAGAAGCAGAGGAGGAAGGAGTCGATAGAGGTGAAGAAGAGGACGGACAGGAAGGAAGGAAAGGAGAAGGCGATTGGTTGGGATGATGGTGATGTTGTGAAAGGGATAAAGCCATTGACGACGACGATGTAGAAAGCAAGGCTGTCGATGCTGTTGTTGGTAGGGGAGTTGCGACAGCTACACGCTCGGTTGCAGCTGCAGATGGATCAAGCATGCTCCCGCTGTTGCTGCATACTGCTCTCGAAGGTGTTGATATTGAGTGACCACCATGTATCGAGTCTGGTGTGGCCACGGAGAGGAGGAGGACGTCGAGGTCAGAAGAGTCTTGTTGTCCTTGTCCCTGTCCATCTGCGACTCCTTGTGCGTGTGCTTGTTGTCCTCCTTCTCCTTGACCTTGCTCATGACCGTGTGCGTCGTTTCCTTGACCGTGTCGGGGGAGAGACAGAAGCCTGCTGCCCCAGGTCGCAAGCGAGGAGGACGACGATGGCATATCGGGGGGTGAAAAAGGGAGTGCAGATTTCTATGGTTTGCTTTTCTCGCTCAAAAAAAAAAAAAAAAGATGGGATGGGATGGGATGGCGCTCTATCGATTTACGGGTGAGAGGGAGTAATGCAATGCGGGCGTTATTTTGCGTGTTCTTTCCTTTCAACAAATGATTTTTCAAAGGAGCGTTTTGAGAGATGGAAGAGCGACCTCTGGTCATCTCTTTATAAGGGTAGGGAGCATGTGTAAGAATGGCTGATTGGAAAACCACGGTCCCTCTTTGTCTCTCAAAGGGAAGGGAAGGAGAGGGATAGAATGCGATCGAGATTGTTGCCGTTGGAAGAAAATGTATCTGAGCAAAAGATAGGAGTCCAGGCTGCTACTAAACCAACAAGGCAGCTGTCGTGGGTCACCCTTGTCAATGCTCTGTCCCAATATGAATTGCATGGAAGCAACTAAAAAAAAAGGGCCTTTGAATGAATGGTCGAGACTGAGGTGCCCGGCTAAAGGGAAGGGAAGGACCAGGGGGTGGTTGTAAAGAAAAGCAGGGCCAAAGAAATGAATAAAAAGAAACAGAAACAAAGACAAAAGTCGGGGGAATTGTAGTACACTGCACTGTGGATGAGGGAGAGGGATAGGGTACTCGTTGTACATCACTTCCCCCCTAAAAGAAATACAACGTGCAACTTGTCCATGAAAAATCACTAGCAAAAAGGGAGACAAAGGTACCAATTTTTAGAGCGGACAGGGCTGGGTTGGCTCTTTAGGAGAGTAAGTAACCTAAAGTCAAACCAGGGTTTTATCGCGGATAATAAGAAATGGCCGAGTTGAGAGTGAGTGGAACAGAATGAGAGAGGGAGAGAGAAAGGGTTTCTGATCTAGTGACAATGGGTTTTAGGAAAGTGGATGAGTAAATAGAGCGGACACGGCGTGCAAAAGTCAGTGTGAGTGAGGAGGAGATGAACCAAAAAGAGAGACAAAAAAAAGAGGGGTCCATTGGCAATCGAGAGAGGTATAGACTGGGGATATCATTCCATCATTGCCGTTCACAACCTCCAGTTCTGAGAAGGAGGGAAACAAATAAAACAGAGACAGGAAAGAGGGGTGAAGAAAGGTGAATCGGAGTCGAGTCTAAGGGGTGGGCATTGCGTGTGTAACCGCCAGAGACAACAGGGGGATAGAAGTAAAGAGGACGATGCATAACAACATGTATGATTCATGCTAATAAAGAAGAGTTGCAAACCAGGGTGGTAAAAATGACTTCAGCGCAACGCCCAACAGATCTCTTTCACAAGCGAGCAACCGTAATCATTGTGATCATCATCACCATTATCACAGCCACTGCAATGGGCACCGGCAGGGGTACAGAGGTAGCAAAGAGCCAATAAGAAGAAAAGAGAGCCCTTGATGATCTTTGCCACAATCCAATGGAGCGGGAAAAGAACGTTTTCGTAGGTCCTGCTGTTGGTTCACCCGCTCCACACAAATCCAAGAAGCAGCTGTCGTGAAATGGCAAAAAAAAGAAAGGGTGACAGCCGTTGAGGGATCAAGACCAAGGAAGGGGGTGTGTGTGATGCTATGCGAGGTAATTATTATTCTGCATCATGCTCTTGCTTGAACACTGCGTGAGCCTTAGTGACCCCTCTTGGTTAGACTTTGATCATGATAGGGCAGAATAGGCCATGAAAAAGCAAAAGCGAAAAGGAGGAAGAGGAGGGGGCACATACTAATATAATCAAGGAAAAATGACCAGTGTATGTGCGAGAAAGCGAGTACGTGAGAGAAGGAAGGAGAGAGTCGTGGTTGTGTTGTGGCTTCATGGCATGGCATGTTGTTTATCTCGTCCTTCCTTTCCCCCTGTGTTTGTTGACGGCATCTTTGCCCTCACAGCAATGCAATTAGGTGCTTTGATAATATTTTTTGTTTGTACCCTGTGTACATGTTGTGCATGTTGTGCATGTTGTGCATGTTGTGCATGTCCGACAGACGGACAGACAGACCGTGGGCCTCAAATCATGGCTCATCCCTTTCTTTACGCCAAAGCGCAAAAACGCGCGCAAAAGCTTAGCTTTACATTCAGATATCCTGGACTATGTCCAAACTCAACTTTGACATCATTTTCTTCATTTTTCTCTCTTCCTATTCACTCTCGTCTTTTTCTCTCTCTCTCTCTCTCTCTCTCTCTCTCTCGCTCTCTCTCACCACACTCTTCTTGCCATTGTCAGCTCACACTCAACCTTTTTAGTCGTACTCCCTTTACCTCTCTTTCGCGCGTGTAAAGTAATTCGCCCGTCATCTTGGCTCTTTAAAAGGCAATGCAGTCAAATAAAGTCCCCACTGACCATGCCTGGATGATGGGTTGATAGAGTGAGGGGAAGGCGAAAAAGGAAGAGCCAATTTTTTTTGTTTGTTTGTTTGTTTGTTTGTTTGTTTGTTGTGCATGGTCGGTCTATTGCATGCACAAAACAGGCCCATTCGCAAAAAAAAAAAAAGTAGAGAGATCCTCCATCCTTGTTTTTCCGGTCCTCAGGTCCTCAGGAGAAGAAGACAATGCCCATGACTTGTGTTCACACACATATACTTTCTACTTCTTGTTGTTCTCCTTTTTCAACTGCACTACCGGACAATTGGCCCAAAAAGATGCATGAATGATGAAGGCATGAAAGGGAAAGAACTGTGGCAGGAAGAGGAGAGGATGGAGGGAGAAATGCTCGAGAGTAGGACCAGGTGAGGGTCATCATCAATCCTCTTCCTTGATCTCCGCAGGACGAACTGCCCTTTGAGTTATTTCCTCACGTCCTTCCTTATGTCGATTCGGTTATTGAAAGGTGGTCCGTTCATTTGTGAATGACGATGTCTGTTTGTTGGTTTACCTTGTCGAGCTTGTTGGGAAATTTTACGTTACTTTTTGGTGGCAAAAAAAAATGAGGTGGATGTCGCGTAATAAGGAGGGTGTGGATTGTGAGGTGGAGACCGCCGCTGATGTTGTGGACTGTTGTCGAGCGATGTCGAGAGTTGTTGAGAGGAGGATAAGGAAGTAAGGTCTCGGTGTGGATGTAGTAGGATCAACGGATCGTCAAGGGCAGTGGTTGTGTGAGAGGAAGGGAGAGGAGAAGGCGATGAGTCAGGTTGACGTGCAAGGGTGGTGGCAAGGGTGGTATCAGTGGGGATGGGGTGAGTGACAGCAATATGTGTCGATGATGAACGGAGAAATCGGAAAAAAGGGAAAGAGGAGAGAAGGAGAGAAGGAGAGGAAGAGGAAGGGACATGGGGGTATAATAAACGAAAGAGGAGAAACCATTGGGTAAGGGGTGTCTCTCTCTCTCTCTCTCTCTCTTTCTCTCTTTTACCAACGGAAGAAAAGGGGTGGGTGGATGAACAGACGTCCTTTACTCCAAGAGAACAAAAGAAGAGAGGATCGAGTTCGAGTAGACCCTAATCATAACGCCCATGGCCATGGTTCAATGGGTGGTACTCCTTGTATGTACATGTACACCATCGATCTCATCCATCCGCCTACGGTAGAAGGTACATCCCTCCCCACACTCTCTCATTCACTGAATCACTAGACCATGGCCA